TTTAGCGTTTCTGTTCTGGGGTCTGGAATGGAGCAAGCAGCCATCAGAACAGAGCTCTGATTTCTGCAAACTCATGTACAGGACTAAGGGAAGCACAAGTGGCTTGAAACAAGAAACCATGCTCCCCTTTAATTTTGACGTCTGCTTTCCTTCTGCCGTGCGTTAAGTCTATACCTAACAGACCCTCATATTGGAATATTTTTTTATCTTCCATCCCATTTTTGGTGTCTGTCTCTCTCTCTCTCCTGATGGATTTTACAAAGAGAGAGATTTGCCCGGTGTTTGTCATAATTAATTCCCACTGTTGTTGCTGCTCTCACAAGGACGGTGCTAAAGAGGTGGGTAGGAATTTCTACTGTACTGGATAGGCACATGTAGCTCAAGTAAGGCAATTGCAGTAGGAGCCTTTCATGAACAAGTCTGCTGGATTTGTCTTACTTAACATAAACTGCTTTGGTTTCAGTTAGTGGGAGACCTGATTTTGTATTTAGGAAAAACTTAAATGTCTTATGTGGGGGTGAGAGTTCTGGGAACAGCAAATATAATGGAATAATGAAAACTGAGTCTATTCCTCATCTTACTTTGTGCCTGTCATAGAGAGGTGACTTGTTCTCTTCTGAATAATTATAACAAAACTCTCATACTGTTGTACAGACTGTTGCTGTATAGAAACTGAGGGTGAGTGAAGGTTGGAGCTCCTATGAACTTTTAAAACTGATCTTCTGGAATATCTTATTAAAAACATTTCTTTAGATAGCTAATGGTCTTGCACAGGTAACTTTTTTTTTTTGTTTGGTGCTTCAGTTGCAAGTAACAAAATAGTGCTAAGTGAGTTAAATATTATTCAAAATCCAAACAAAACCATCCTAATTCATAATACGTCATTTTTATCTATCCTGTTTGTGCTACTTTTAGCTTAATTTGGTGTTAGAATCATTTAGCATTGACTATTTGCTCCATAAGAACACATACAAGTGACACTTCTGAATTGGTAAGGGAAGATAATTAAGTATTCATTGCTACAATTTTCTGGATGTAATCTGGATCTGAACAACGTGATACGGATCATGCAAAATACAACACAGTTGTTTCTCTTCCTGGCATTCAGAACTATTTTGAAAGAATGTTCTGGAGTTTGTTCAGAGTTACCTATGTTAGCTTGTTTTGATTTGTTCAAGGAACATTAGAGACTGCTGTTGGATTTTAGAGCACCCTTTCTGTTTGATTTGATAAATTCACAAACTTACTCTGAAAGATGTATAAAATATTCAACTAGTGAACTTGCTTTTGTTGTAAATGTGGATGCAGATTGTAAAAAAAAAAAAAAAAAAAGAGTATTGGACTTCATTTTTGTCCAGTTAAAATATCCACACTCTCTGCCTCATCAAAGCCCTTCTAATTATACATCAGCTGGATCTTGTGTTTGATTTCTGAGCTAATCTCGATAACTTCTGTATTACAGCTTGGTCTATTATATATTAATAGCTAAAGACCTGACTATTATAGATAGTGCCTTGGTATCATGTTGATAGGCACATTAGCAATGCAAGGAAGTATTTAAATGCTCTGCTGTCCACCCAAAAGACGAATTTTGTGTATTAAACAGGTCTAGAACAGGTATCTGTAACAAATACATGTCAGTTCCTTGAATCTGCCATTTGTAAGAGCCCATTATTCTTTGTAACAAACACAGGTCAACCACAAAAGTAGTGGCAGGTATTCAGTCCTGTTGTAACTGAGCATCGCCACTCAGGAGTGGGAACCCACAGTTTCTAAAAAATCCATTGGCTTGTCCTCACTCCTGATTCTTCCTAATGAGCTTGGAGAAGGGGAAGATGTGGGAACTGTGCTTCTAAATACATGACACATGCATACCCTCAACTAGTTAATATGAACTGCTTGAGCCAAGAAACTGATAAAGTATGCCCTTGAGTATCTTCAGCCTTCCAGGGCCTGTTGAAAGAGTGTATGGTTGCACACAGGACACACCAAGGTCACTTGAAGCACAGGACCTCTTTCCTCATTTTCTCCCTCATTACAGTATGCTTAGAAACTATGTTGTATGCAGCCAGGCCTTTCTGGTTGAGAAGGGGCTTCCTGACTGATTACAGCCTAAGGCAGTGGGTAATAGTAAAGGTACTTGAAATATCTGAACTTTAAATATCCAAGAGTATTTTTCAGTCATTAACTTGGTAACGTTTGTAGTTACCCCCTTATTAACTTCCTCATCACTTACAAGATCTGATGCAGTTGCAAGGATGGAACATAGAATAAAGTACCATAAACAGGAAACTTTCTCATTTATTTCCTTAAGCTTACGTCCAGCTGTGCCAGCCATTTTTATATTTTATTTCTTTGCTTTTCTGAAATGAGATCTTCCCAAAGATCCTTAACTGACATCTTACGTCTGTTGCTGCTGTCAGTGATGTAAATTGGAGTATATGCAGGCTGTTGCTACTTTCAGGACTCTAGTTATTTAGGGTATATATGTGATGCAGCTGGGAGTGTGCCCCCCAGCCCGGGTAGACAGAGGCACACTAGCTTTGTTGGAGCTAGTGTGCTAAAAATAGCAGTATCTGTTGTGGCATGGGTGATGGAACAGGCTAATGGGTGGTGGAACAGGCTAGCTGCCATAGTATAAATCTGCCTGACACTCACCCCCTCCACCCCCACCCCGAGTCTGTACTCGAGTGACTAACCTGTGCCACAGCGTCCGACTGCTATTGTCGCGTGTCCATCTATTTGGGCTGGGAGGCACACTACTAGTTGCAGTGTAGACATAACCTGAGGAGCCCCCTGTGCTCGAAATACCTGGGGTATAAATTACACAATGGATCATGTAGCCAAAGTAACCACCTTAGAAGTCTGAATACCTGCTCTCAATTTAAGCTTGGGAAGTGATCATATTTAAAGAATTTAGCTTTGCTAATTGTTAGTACTTTAAGCAGTAAAATGATTAGAGACCAAAAAAAAAGAACCAGGAATTTGAGGAGAAAGTTAAAGATTAAGATAATTTTAAGATCTATTGCAATGCAGTACAATGCTTGCTAATGTCTTGCTGGAAAACTGGGAGATTGAGTGCCCATGTTGCTGTATCAAGTTTACTTTTATAAGCTCTGGTCTGGTGTCTTATCAGCTGAGCCATTGGCCTCTGATAAAGTTCTCATTTTCAAAAAAGCTTTTAAAAAGCATTCTTAATGTTCACTGAGAGGCCCTGCTCCGGGGCTTACTTTTGTCACACTATACTCTTCAGTTTTATGAATCTTAACTTCAGGGATCTGTAAGCTAGAGCAAAGTTTAGAGCAAGGAAACAGGTCCTCCAGAATAGAATCAACCAGATGTTTGGATTTTTTGTGTGAAATACATCCAGCATACTTAATTTTTGGTTATTAAATACACTTCTCCATTACTCTAGGTGCATGAACAATGCATACTAAAACTACAGCTAATAACAATAGAAGGCATTAGAAATCTGGACTCCAGGGCTTCCCCTTCACTCATCCATCCCTGTTGGAACCCACCTCTCCCTCCCTTGGAAGAGTCTGAGAGAGAAAATAAGCTGTGCAGCATGCCTGGAAGGTCCACAAACCACCCTCAGACCAATAGAGAAGGGAATTTAGTCTAGGAATCTACTGAAAATACTATGTTAGCCCCCTTCCATTTAAATGAGGGACTGTTAGCCTGAGTTTCTTAGGGAAAAGGTTGAGAGCCACTGAACTATGACCTTCCTCCCATTACACAATATGGGAAGGGCAGAGTGGTATGTTTGTAACCACCAGGTTGAGAACCCTTGCCCTAGCTGATGTATCATACAGGGAGAATGTCTCTAGGTGCTCAGGACACAAACCATGAAGGTTTGAAATACTTCATATAGCGCTGTTCCTCGACTGCTACTTCAGGACTGGCTCTGTGCTTGGTTTCATTGTGATCCACCAGAGGTGCAGGCTGATAGTTCAGGTATACATTTAGTGCAGTGATCGACACCAGAAGTAACAGATCTGGTAGCTGAATTTAAGTTTATAGTTTACTTTGCTGCAAACTGAGACTTTAGATAACTAAAACTACGAATAAACAGAATTAGCTGCTTCCTCTTTCAATGTGTTGCCATCTTTAATATTAAGTGGAGATGAAGACTGAGTAAAGTGAAGTTCTGTGGGCCCAATTCTGCTTTCCTTAATGTGTGCACAGCCCCCTCCAAAATCAGTGGGGATGTTGGTCACATGTAAATAAGGGAATTTAGCCCCATATATATCTGCACTGGCTTCCATAGGATCCTTATGGAAAAAGTGCTGTAAGAGGTGATTTTGCTTACTCTTTTTCTCAGGAGAATGCCCTTGTATTGCTAAAAGTCAGTGAAGTGTTGCCAGTTAGAGCTGCCTGTGTAATCATAACATCTATTTGTGCTGTCAGACTGTCCTGCCTTATCAGATTTATTTTTGACTCAGAGGCGGAGGTATAGGGAAGTCTCCAATCAGTCTATGTCTAGGACACTGAACAATTTACATAGACATCCAGACAGATTGTTTTTGGAGCTGAATTCTTTCCTTGAAGATGAATCTATGCCTAAATCTTTCTGCTTAACTGTAATTTGGAACAATTCTAGGAAGCAATCTAACTCTTTGCTGTGTGTGTTCAGGTGATCATGTGGGTTAGTGTACTGGAGCTGCAAAGAAGACGCTCCCTTCTGAGATGACATGTGCCCCTCTAGCCAACAAATTCTTCTAAAGTTTAAAATGGCTGAGTAGTGCCTAACTGCTAAAGCCCTCAAACTATATAGGGGATGTCTGGTAGAGAAAAAGGATGAATCTGTTTTTGAAAGATCAGTAATGAATGATTGAGGAACAAGACATCCGGTGCCAGATTTATCTTTGTAGTTCACACCACAGAATATGGGTCTATGTTAATATGAAGGTTGTTTCTGCAATTCTTAAACGTCATTACAAATTAATTAGTGGGCTTCCTTGTTGCTGTATCCCCACTGGTACTTCTGTGTGTTTCAGGGAGTCAAGCCAGCTAGCTTTGATAAAGTAGCAATTCCTGAAGTGAAGGAGATCATCGAGGGATGCATCCGACAAAACAAAGATGAAAGGTAAGCTCTCCTTCTTTGAGGCCCAGGCAGCTGTATTTCAGCTCAGACTAAAGCACTGGAATAGTCCTATAAGGCTTCAGATACTATGTATTGGAAACTTTCCGGATAGTGTCGTACATATAATTCTGATAAAACATTGAGGTCTTGAGAGCGGTCATGACTGATATGATGCTGAGTGTGATTTGGGCTATTCTATACTGACCACATTGTGTTAGCTGATTTGATTATTCACAACGGTGTTCAAACCCAGTCACTCTTTGTAGTAGAGAAAAGTGATGCTCTTTCTTACTGTGCCTGTACAGGTTGACATCACCATTTGTACTCTGCAGGGATGTATTGTTTGGAATATAATCTGCACAGGTGCTTCCCAAATAGCACTAAAGTTGAAGGCCTAAATGTAGGGCATAAGACCATAATTACCTCTAGGTAAGAGGAAGTGTGAAATGGAGGATTATTCCTTTCATCGAATACCCATCTCCCTTCCACTTGGTTGCTGAGGCCCAGTGTCACTGGCATCTACCAGTTGTGGGAAGAAAGATAGGTGAAGCTCTCTCCAGCACTGGTAATGTTACTACTTTTGCTGAGAGGGATGATACGTTGCCCGGGCTGTCAGAGATAAATACAGATCTCAAACAGAATGAGACAGTTGGGTAAACAGTGAGGAGATGACTGGTCTAGGGTTTGGAGGCCATCTTGAATAGAATACTGACTTGTTTATTTAAATGGCAGTGTCCGCTGTGCCCAATATGTGGACTAACAGATGTATTATGGTACTTTAACCTTCATAAAGCCATACTGTTTCAAGAGTTATTTTATGATATGCTGGCCATTATTTTAAGTAATTAATGTGATGTTGGGCTGATAGGATTAGGGATTTGTAGTTGAGATGCAAGTGAATTTTAAGCCACTAACTGTTGCATGCTTTTGCATCATCTTGGGGTTAATCGTTTATTGCATTTTGAAAAGTTTCAAAAATTGGCACTGGAAAAGAAAAACTTAATAGCAGATTTAATCCCCCCATCCCAAAAAACAAACAGAGGAATTAATGGGAGTAGTATGAAAAGCTGAGAGTAAGCTTTTTGGGATCACCATTCAAGGAAGATGATGTTCCTTACTGATTTTGTCAAAACCTAATCATTGTGTATCTTCTCTTCCTTTCCACTTCTCTATCCTGATATGTATAGATATGCTATCAAGGACCTTTTGAACCACGCTTTCTTCCAGGAAGAGACTGGTGTGCGGGTAGAACTAGCAGAGGAAGATGATGGAGAGAAGATTGCCATCAAGCTCTGGTTACGAATTGAGGATATCAAAAAGCTTAAGGGCAAATACAAGGACAATGAGGCAATAGAGTTTTCCTTTGACTTGGAGAGAGATGTCCCAGAGGATGTAGCACAAGAAATGGTAAGGGCTCTTGTGTCCTTTTTGGGCATTTGTAACTGTGTTTTTTAGATTAGATCAACTCTCACACTTTCTTCTGAGGTTGGGGTGTAACCTGCCATGCTTTTATTGTCCTGGCAGACATAAGTGGGTGAGGGACTGGTTGTGTTTGGAGCGAACCTTCAGAGGAGACTGGGAAATTGAAGATTATACAGCAGAGCTGTACTTGTTGTATTGGTGTGGCAAGATGTGATATTGAACATCCATGTGTCCTGCTTTAGGTGGAGTCAGGGTATGTCTGTGAAGGGGATCACAAGACAATGGCCAAAGCGATCAAGGACAGAGTGTCTCTGATCAAGCGAAAGCGAGAGCAGCGTCAGTTGGTGCGAGAAGAGCAGGAGAAAAGAAAGCAGGAAGAAATCAGTCAGAAGCAGCAGTTGGAGCAGCAGCTACAAACAAATGCTACCCAGGCAGGGGCAAAGCACCCTCCATCTGCCACTGGTATCACTGCCATCCCCACTACTTCAGCATCAGTGTCCACACAAGTAGAGCCTGAAGAGCCAGAGGCTGATCAGCACCAACAATTGCAATATCAACAGCCCGGCATATCTGTTCTGTGTAAGTATATTGCCTTAGGCCATTCAGGATGTACTCTCACCCCCTTTAATTTTACTCTCCTTCCTTCTGGGGAGTCTTACTGATTTCCCTTTCAAGTGAAAAATCAGGTTACATGAGGCTGATAATTCTGCCCACAGTGGGGTATCCAAAGTATTGAGTTGCTGCTTCATTTCTTGCTCTTATATCTGGAACTCTATAGTAGTATATGATTGTAAGAGGAAGAGAAAATAGTGAGAGGCTAGTTGATCTTCCGTCCATATATGCACTAATAAAATGAGAGAGAGAGAGAGAGAGAGAAACATAAATTACCATTTGCCCTGTATAGGCAGCTGGGTATTAAGATCTCTTTTGGATATACTCAGACTTGAAAGATACACCTGTGTGTGCAAGGCAATGAGGCTGTTCATCCTCTTTAAAAAAAATTAAAAAATAATAATAAAAAAGAACCCCTGGTTAGCAGAGAGGACCTCGTAACATTTTCAAAAGAGCAGCTGAGGTCCAGAGCAAGGCAGAATTAAATCAAACTTCTTATTTCCACATTTAGTTGGGAATAACTTTTTGATAACTCTGTCTCAAAGGAGCTGTTGAAATGATTGTCAGTGGCTTTCCACACTCCTCTCCTGATCATACGGATCAATTTAGTTCAGAGTTGGAGATGGAGCTCTGAGACAGAATACTCAGGGATATATCCATATATAGGTTTGCTATATTGGAGGAAGAGAATCTTAGTTTTGGACCAGTTTTCCTCTTAATAATCCATAAAATATTTAAAAACTGCCAGTGTACTGGGTACTGTAGATGACGCAATGAAAGTAAACCCTGCCCTGAAGACCTTAGTTCAATATAGGACCTGTTGTGGAGCCTGGAGGAGATGGAAGACATCCTGTAGTCAGGGCAGGTTGTGAGACTGACATTATTGCGTGCAGATAATAAAGTTTTTTAAGGCTAAGATTTTCAGAAGGGTGCTTAAAGTTAGACTTCCAAATTCATACTTAAACACCTGAGTAAATGGCCTGACTTGGACAGTGCAAAGTACTTGTAAGCTCTGACTTCAGTTATGAACTGCTGGGAGCTTGGCACTTTGGAAAATCAAGCAACATACATTTCCGAGCCTAACTTTAGGCACCCATTTTTGAAAATCTTGGCTTGTAATATTCAAGCAAGACTGTAAAGCTTGTGAGTCCACAGTATTGTTTTTGAAACTAAAGTCTTGTGGTTTTTATTTTCAGCTGATGGGGCAGTTGACAGTGGTCAGGGATCATCTGTTCATACTGAATCATGTGTGACTAGCCAACAGACTGTGTCCTATGGTTCCCAGCATGAACAGACTATCTCAACAGCTACAGTCCAGGGATACACAACTTCAGTTGGCCAAGTGCAGTCTCAACAACATGGAGGATATCAGCCACCCACAGTGGTAAGCACAAACCTCAAAAGGCACACAGAACACTATGGACTACTTCAATCTGTTTGTCTGGTTTTGTCACAAACTTTCCTCTTCCCTTTCAATCTGCAGTGTATATATTTAGGCTTGGAAGGATAAGATTTTTATTGGTAAATGTTGATTTTACCATACACACAAACGATGAAAAAATATTTCCATAGATGATCAAAATTTACAGATAGGCAAAGTAAGAAAAATGCTGCTTGAGAACTTGAGCTTGATTTAGGGATACTTACTTTATATATTTTGGCTTGAGATACTGACAGTTTGTGTTATAACAGTTATAAAGCTTAACTTTTTGAACCTCACATCTACTGTAATTAAATAATTGTCTGCCCTCCATAATTTTCCACAACTGTGAAAATTTAAATTGATAAAATTATTAAAAAGTGCTTAAACCTATAGTTTTGCACAACTATGACAATTTAAATCTATAATAAAAATGCTTAAAATATACATTGCTATTGTGTCAAAATTATATAAAAAAATACAACTTGAAATCTGCCAAGCCTGTGCATATTGTATGCAAATACAGACTCTATTTGAAACACTTCAGGCTGTATGCAGACCTTCTCAAATGCAGCACTTCATTTAGGATGAAGAGGAAGTAATCTTCTGGGGTTTTTTGGATACATTTAGAGTGAAATGGGTGGATTAGTATCAGTCTTGACTGAGGCCTGGTCTACGCTACCCCCCCACTTCGGACTGAGGTACGCAAATTCAGCTACGTTAATAATGTAACTGAATTCGAAGTACCTTAGTCCGAACTTACCGCGGGTCCAGACGCGGCAGGAAGGCTCCCCCGTCGATGCCGCGTACTCCTCTCGCCGAGCTGGAGTATCGGCATCGACGGCGAGCACTTCCGGGATCGATTTATCGCGTCTAAACCAGACGCGATAAATCGATCCCAGAACATCGATTGCCTGCCGCCGGACCCTCCGGTAAGTGTAGACGTACCCTGATGCAACCCTAATTTGAGGGTGTTATCTCACGTTGAATTCTATGCTTAGTCTCACTCAGGATAGGGTGGTGCTTCAGCTACACTTAACAGTGAGCATGGAAGTTCCAAGGATCAAGAGTCCTTGAAAGGACAGACAGTTATTAGAATAACTTAGTGAGAGCTGCTCTAAAAATGTGAACTTGCTACATGTGTATTCTGTAAGGCTTTGATTACAGGTGTCACAGGTAAGAATTTTGAACCATTATGGAATGCTGCATGTAAGCACTCCAGACTGAAGAGATCCCACATTTGTGTGTTCCCATTTTATTTATAGCTTGTCTTGAGTTGCTTGTCAGTTGCCATGCATATTCCTTTCCCTGGAAAGTCTGCAAAGGCCACAAATACCCTTTCCACTATGTTCATCTGCTACCCTTTATTTGGTACCCTTTTTTCTCCTTGATATGTTTTCAATGCTGACTTTGTAAGAGCTCTTAAAAAACCCTGCCTTTCACTGCTGTAGTATTTATATTTCAGTTCAACAGTCATCGCTGGCTCCTTTATTTGCAAACTCAGAAGCAAATAATGGTACCATATCTGGAGAATACAAAACCATTTTCTGTTGAGTCTTGGGAATCCTCAGGTTTCTGTTTTGGTATCTATAGCAGGGAATTTTATTGGAGTTGTTAGTGGTGTCAGCCTTTCACTTTGAAGAAACTTACCAGTTGCATTGATGAATAAACGGCCTCTCCATCCTTTCCAAAGGCACTTAACCTGAAGGTTTGTGGCGCTGTTGATTCTTAATCAAATGAACCTTCTAAGCCGTCTAAAGTAGTTCGATGCTTGCTCTCTTAATTTCCCATATTTCAATCCAAGGATGTGGCTTGGACCAAAAAACATTCCAGGCTTGACATGGCTGGTTTCCAGATTGAATGACTAGAGTAACAGTAGGGAACCCACTAACAATTCTGCTGAGCAGTCCAGATACTAATCTGAAAAATCTTGCTAAAATCAGTGATAGACCTCCAGAAAACCACCAATCTGGATTTTTTTTTTTTTTACATTTGGAGTTCAATTCTCTTTGAAGGCAAGGGGCAGTTCATTGTGAGAAATTTCAAGGACTAGAGGAACAAATCTTGAAATTATGGGCTGGCTACTATACTAACACTTCCATCTTTCCTTTTTACAAGTATTTAATTAGGTCAGATTCTGACCTAATGGCTTTGGGGTTGTCAAAATCACAAAATCTTGGCTCTTTATTTAACAAAGTCATCTTCTAGAAAATGCAGTAAAACTAATATTAAAGAAGCAATTTTTTCCAAATATTAAACTCTAACTTTTTGCTCCACAGTTCATGTTGTGGATGATGCTTAACTCCTTATGGTAATCACTTGACTGAATAAAGCACTAAATGTATCCTATCAGTCCAGTTATATGTATAGGAAGCTAAACTCCTTTCTAGAAAATGAAATAGGTTTTGTGCAAGCAGAAAGACTGGAGAGACAAGTACCACTGACTTTGACATACACACCTTCCCCCACTCAACCTAGTGTGGACATCTGAAGGCTGTGCATTAAGCACCTAGGGTCTTTCATGTGTAGAATTGCTTGGTACTGGAAATACCACTTCAAAGCTTCCTGAAATGAGTGTACAGTGAGAAAATATCTCCTATATGTCAGCCCTGCTCTTCGTGTGCACATACAAATTGCTTCTGGTAGGAGCACTAATGGAACCCTCTTCACCGTTGAATAATCAAAGGCAAGCTTGAGTCCTCAGAGGTGCACACTTCCTGTTCCCTGTGTGCTGGCCTTCATTAAACTCCCTCATATCCTTTTGCCCACATAGCAATCAGCATTAGTCTCATCATCATGTATGTGTGATTTTTTTTTTTTATTTTAGCTCATTACAGTTGTACAACTTTTCATTTTTAAAGCATTCATTTCTTAATTTTGTTTTCCTCCTTAGCCTCAACGTGGTCGTAGCATGTCAGTTTGTGTCCCCCATCTTTCTGCTGTTCCCTCTCTGCCCTGCATCCTTCCCAGTATTCCTTCTACCCCACCGCCAGCATTGTGTGCACCTCTTTCTCCTTCCTACCTTCGGACTGCCCCTGAGGAAACCTTTGCAGAAAAGCTTTCTAAAGCACTGGAGAATGTCCTGCCCATGCACTCTGCCTCTCCACGCAAGCACCGACGCTCCAGCCTGCCCTCCCTCTTTGTCAGTCCTGTATGTGTTACTGTACGCCTCCTGGTACACAAAGATAAGTTACCATTAAATACATCCTGGTTTGGTTTATTAAAAGTAAAGAGGAGCCGTTTTTTTTTTTTTTTTTTTTAATCCTGTGCCCTATGCAACTAGAGTGCTGATTCCTTCTCTTTGGGAAGCACCGTGCTTATGTAACAACTAATGAGCAATGTTGGCCTGAAGTTTGATTAAAGTTTTAGGGAAAGGACTGAACGTATCAGAGGATAAAGAGAGAAGTTACAATCTAGTCTCTGTCCCATAAGGTTAGTGCACCTGCTTCTGCTTTTAGGCAGTCAGTGACATTCTTTCAGCTCCTGGATAAAATTGTTAATGTCAAATATGACCAGGTGTTAAAACTTACTAGTAGCAGCTGGTTTGCTCCAGAGCACTGTTTTAGTGGGGACAATGACCTTTTAGATTTATAATGTTAAAACAAATCAGAAGGGCTTCTATCAGTAGGAGTAGCAAACAGTTCAGCTTCCTTCTTCTGTTTGATTCTGGAGGGAAGTTACAGTTAAGTTTCCATTGATTCCTATATAAATATTGTCTTTTGAGATGGAAAGACTGCTTCTGTTAGAGCAGATGTTAGATGCTAAGAGCATGAATGGAAGGCAGTCTTTCCAGAGTAAATTGATTCCATTTGAAGTTAGAAGTGATTTTTGGCTTCAATTTATTCTTTAATTTGAGGAAATATTTCCTTTTAAGGGAAGTTGGAGAATACAGAATCAGTTTCCAGAACACAGGAATAGAGTATAAAGGACATGTCCTTATTCACTTTACTGTGCACTATGGGAGTTTGCAGCTGCTTTTTCAGAGGGGAAATTAAGTGATCTGTTTGATTATAGTGAGCTCAAAGAATCAATCACAATCTCATGGCGAAATCAGTTGCTGGTAGCTCTTGAAGAATCTTCCTAAAAGAGGGACAATATTGCATCATGGCTCAATATGCTGGGGCAAAGTGAGATGAAAGCATGTCACCAAACATTTGGAAATGATGCTCTTGATTGTTACCCTGCTGTTGAATTATCCTTGAACCAGATCTTCCTAACTGACTTGAACTTCTAGCCAATTGGAAGCAACTTCTTGGCAATTTCTTTGACTCCAATAGCCTGTAGTAGTCAGTGATTGCACAGTTGCTGCTGTTCTCCCAAGAGCAATTAAATAAATATGTAAGTACTGTTGGTGTAGAAAGTATGAGGTGCTAGTGAAAATCAGTAGTGACATGTATAGTAAAAATGCATCACTATTACAAATTACAGTACAACTTTTCCTCACCCTTCATTTTGGCCCTTGGAAAAAAAGCCAGGATGAGCCGAACCTAACACTTTAATCAAAAAGTGTATAACTTTGCTTTTGAGAACTTCACTGCTGATTTAATACAGGTCTATTCAGATTGGAGATGCAAGAGTAGTCTAGTCAATTCTAATGAGTGTTAATGGCTTGCCTACTGAGTACCATAAATGTGAAGGGCAGTTGAAATCAACTGAGTCCAAAGATGATGCAACATGAGTGACTCTTAAGAGATGTCTTAATCTTGCGACCTTAGAAGGTTCATTCCGTTGCCTTTTAGCATATAGCAAGTACTGAATGGTTTCTGAGAGGGTAACACTACATCTTCATGGGAGATAATCAGAGTTAAGTAACCAAAAACTGAAGATCTCTTCTCCCTTTCTTGCCTTTTTTGTGTACCTTGTAAACACACAATCAAGAGATTGTTGCCTCACTGCTAGCTAGTTCAGAGTTTGTTGTTTTGGTATAATTTGCACACAAATCAGTAACTCAAAGGCTTAACTTAAAGCAGTTGCAGGTATCGTGAAAGTAAGTCTGTTTCATTGTCCGCAGCAAATTATCTCTCTTTTTGTGAATGAGAAGAAGGGGGCTGTTATGGAAAAGCAGCTTCTAACAAAAGCAAATACTTCCATATGCAGTCATGTTCACCATGGATGTATTTAATGGATATTTACATTTTGTAATTTCCAAAGCAATGTATGTTATTGATCATGAACTTGGAGTAGTCATTCTATAAGGTTACTACACAGAGCTGCCTAGTGAGCTGTGCATGTTCATGTCCTTTCATTTCTAAATGTATGAATTACTTGTCTTGTTCATATCAATACAGCCTCAGTCTCTGGTGCATCCGTGTGGGGGAACACCAACGTTCCCAGATTCACAGATATTTTTCCCAACCATTCATGAACGGCCAGTGTCTTTCTCGCCACCACCTGTCTGCCCACCGAAGGTCACCATTGCTCAGCGGCGCAAGAGTACCTCCTTCTTGGAAGCCCAAACATGCCACTTCCAGCCCTTGCTGAAAACTGGCCAGAGTTTACTTCCACCTGGTGGTAGCCCCACAAATTGGACACCAGAGGCAGTCGTTATGCTGGGCACTACAGCTCATAAGGTCACTGGAGAGCCCCTACATGTGCAAGTCAGTTCAGCACCTCCTGAGGATGCTCACTATAGAATGCCACAAGAAGCAGTGTACTTAGTGGGCATGCACTACCAGCCACAGTTGCCAGAGCATTACGATACAGTAGCATATAATTCCTATGGGACTGAACAGTACTTGAAACAGGTGCCTGAACAGAAGCATGTGCAAGGTGGCCCTCTTCAGAGCTCTGTTTATGACTGCCAATCTGGGCAGACCTTCCTGCCAAGACATTTACAGAGCTTGAGGCTGGATTCTGGAATGAGCCCACTTTCACCATTGTCCAGTGTTTCATCTCCATTAAGTGCAGATTCCACACAGATGAAATGTCACCAGGTATTTGTTCCTCATTCTGCACCTGCTGTGCTTACTCACAGTGGTGATGGCAGAACAAGCTGTGTTTTTGAGTTCCATGTACACACACCAAATTCGGCTCCAGGAGAAGGGGGTATCTTACCCCAACGTATTTACAGAACCTGCCGGGGGTCAATGGATTTTAATCAGGAGGAGTCCACTCAGGCAACAGGGTTGCATGGTCGCCTCCAGCCTGTGACAGAGGAACTGTGTAACTATCTTGTTCCCGAGCTAACAGTACCCAGAGCGGGATCTATCAGAAAGAGCTGGCCAGAAGGAAGTCCAGAATACTCAAGTGATTCATCACAGCTGACTTCCTCTGACACTGGTGATTTCCAGTCTCCTCCCCCAACAGGGGTGTGGTCTACAGCTTTTGGTTCAGACTTCTCGTTGCCCATTGTCCCATTGCCTCAGAAGGTATTTCAAGAGTCGCAGCTCTTCATCTGTTTCCAACAGGGAGCCTCAGCTCAGCAGGCCTTGTCCACCTCGCTTTCATCAGGACCACCTGCACTCTACCCTCAGGTTACAGGAGCAAACCATTCCAGAATTTCTCTGCTGTTTAAGTCCTCCTTTACACAATTAAAAGCCAGGTTTCCCTTCTTTCCTTCTCCTCTCCCTTCCCCACTCCAAGTTGTTCTAGATCTTGGAATTCAGAGGATATGTTCCTGCTATATCAGTAATATACTAGGATCTCAGTAGCTTACCAGGTCTCACCTAAATAAGTGAGACATCAACAGTTAATCATTCTACCTTCAGCCCAGGCTAAATCTTGGTAGTTGGGGCCTTCTGACATTTGTAGCAAATAGTCAGTCAGTACTCCTTATCATATTTTCCTAGCTGATGTTCAGTTCAGAGATCCAGGGGACTGAAATGCAGGGTTGACTTTTCATCCTGAAAAGGTTATGGATTGGGTACAATAAGGTATGACTAATTCTGTGGGAAGAAATACTGTGACCAAAGAATCATGCTTTCTCTGGTCATGCAGTCAGTGTCTTCAATTAAAGAATTTAATATTGTTTAACAAAATACTATTCATACAATGTAGGATAGAAAAACTAAAATGCCAGTTTACCTGTCCACTGTCCAGATGCAGGCAAAACTCTTACTAGGTTTCAAAGGGATTTCAGGGGATGAGGTGTGTCCGTAAATATACACAGATCTGGGAATGTATTTATTGAAGGAGCACTTGGAAAATAAATTTTCATAAGTAATTTTCAAAGTTAACTATTTTGATAAATTAAAATGTAAACTAAAGCCAATTGCACAAATTGTCTGAGCTTGATATTCATAAGGTATCATTTCCACATAATGGCAGTACCTGGGACTGTTAAAAATAAAACAAACTTAAACATTGTTGGAATTTACATATTTTATCGATACATGTAGTACTTTCACTTACAAGAGCCAGGAGAGGAGAGGACCTACCTAGAAGTAGACTTCTCTTCTCCCTCACTCCACTCATTTCAACAGTGAAGTTAGGATTCTCTTCACTGTTGCAGTTGCAGGGGACTAGCCCATTTTTTGGAATGGAGGAGATGTTTAGGAAGAAAAGGAGCTTTGTTGTTCTGCAGTGTATAAATGTAGAAAGGTCAGGAACCAGGGATTCAGTCTGAATGCTTTCCTCATGGGATAGTGGAGACTTTTCTTCCCACCCACTCAACACAAGTAGAGGCTTGTGGTGATAGCTGTTTCAGAATGCAGCTTTTAAGCACCAATCTGTTAGATGACAGTTGCTGAACTCCAAAGGAGCCCACTTAGAGCATAGTGAACCTTCAGTGTAAGCAGAGTGAAAGTCTAGTGAAGTGCTTTGAAACAATTTGGGACTATACTACCCTATAAACACTATTTTGTTACAACAAACGTCAGTAAGTGGTTTCCTATGTATGTTAAAGACTAAACGAATGGCTGGGAAGGTAGCCCAAAATAAGGAAGATAATCCGTATGAGATATATTTTTATTAAGAGCTCTTGACTAATGTGTTAAAATAGTGCATGATTTAGGACTTAAACTGTAGCCTCATGTAAAAGCGGCATTACCTTGGTATGTAACGTTTAAATCGTAACGAATAGGCAATACCTTCAAGAAACTATTAAAAGAGCAAAAGAGAGAGCTTCCCTGGATGGTGTTGTGTTTTCCAAGGATTTTTCTTAAATCATAGGAATGCTTTCGAAAAGTATTCATGGAAGCAATATACTGCAGGCTTGTACACTATCTCTAAGGGAAATCTTGTGGCTTTAGTAATTTGAAAGAATATTTCATACAGTACTTTATACAACTTTCTAAATGTACTAGACACTTCCTACTTTTTCAGCCTTCCCACTGAAGTGACAAACTAAGAAAGGGAGCTGGGTGACCTTCCCTTTCTGGGCTATCCTGAGGTGTATAGTTACTGTATGTCCCAGTTTCTGATCCAGAAGGATATTTAGTCAAGTGGGAACGAAACTGCTGAGGAGGTAGTTGCCATACTGTTTCTTCAGTCTCTTCCACATTCGCTTGTAATGTCCTTCATCCATTCTTTTATTTGCTTATTCATTCAAAGTTGTCACTTTGTGTTAGCTAGGACTCTGTGGACTGGAACCCTCTGTCTCTCCAACAGCTGATCCAGTTGATAGGCTCTGAACATTTATTAGGGTTTGAGAATCTGTAAGTGATTTGGTGTGGATTTTTGACATGTCTTTCAAAGTGAGCTGAGGACACACACACACACACACGCTTGATTTAATACTGGTCTAGAACTCTGTATCTTTCTTCAGCTGATGCTCAAGGATACAGATTTCATATCCTTTTTTCATTTTCTTTCTTTTACCCCGGCCACCTAAGTGTGCTCAGTGTGTAAATGTTTAATGCTTCTGTTCCCGGCTATCATACCAGGACAGCTTGACGTAGATCCTAAAGAAACACTGCAGAAGGATGAAACTGGTAGGCTGACTTGCCTAATATGGAGGGCTGTTTGGGTTGCACTGGTGTTTTTTTGTATTAGTTGTTCTGGAAAGCTTAACAAAATAGAGCTCATCACTGCCCCATAATGCTCTGCTCTGTTGAATAGCTCTATATTAAAATTAAGCCATAGTATTGTTTTGTATTCATTAGAAATTTGTTCCAATTAGACCATCCTAGTCAGAAATTATAGATGCTTGTTGCAGAAGCCAATAATTGCCCAGTCTGATTCTACCTGTTTCCATTTTTTTCCTGTAGACACAGGTGCAAGGCCAGCCAGTCTCAAGTAGTATATCAGTGGGGGTACCATGCCAGCCTACACAGCAAAGTCAGCAGGTAAGAATAACAGTTCCTAAAGCTGGGACTGATGTGTAGTAAGTTTAACTTGCAGCTTGCTTTTTATGGGAAAAAGTGAACAGGAGGATATCCTCGTCCTTTGTAGAAAGGATATAGGCTTGTTGGTGCAGATGCTAGGCACAGCTGCCAACTTTTTTATATTCTAGTGACTTTTTTATACATGATGGCTTATTTTTGACTAAAGGATGTAATTGAAGCTTTCCAGATTGAATGGGAATCCTCTTGATGATGTGTTTGAGTAGGCAAAGGTGTAAATCTTCTCTACTCTCGCAACCTCAAGTTTAACACATCTAGTTCTAGTGTGTGCTTGGTTTTGAAAGTGAAATTTTGTAAGCTAAGTACAAGTGGACTATAGTGCTTGCAGAATCTGGCCTTCCAAATTTTCTCAATGATTTTCTCAATGAGATTCCCTGTGCAGGGGCACCTTCTCATAAGGGTATGGTAAAAGGACTTAGGTCTAGGTTTTGGGCAAAGGGCTGAATAACTGAAAGACATGTTTTCTTACTTGGGCACTGATACAACTATTTTGTAGGATCTTTTTGTGAATGCTGTCTTCTGTGCCTTTCAGGAAGGTGTTGAATCTCTTTTTATTTGAAAAGAGAGCTCAGACTAACTCTTAAGTAATTTTAAGATCTAACAAAATGATTGAGTAGGTGGAAACATGAAGATGAAACACCAATCTTATGGTAGCTTACCCTTTTGTCCTTCTGGCATTGAAGTTTGTATAGTGTACAACCCTATTGTCATGATGTAAAGTGTAGTAGCAAGGAGACTTCAGACTTAATTTTTGAATTTCTTGACTTCTTTGGACAGCCTTAATGCTAAGCAGCTATGCTTAGTGTAACTGTAGGATAATGTGAAATCAGTCTTACTAGCTGTCTAATATACTTGTTCCCACATCTGTGTTTCTGATAGGTACACAACAGAGGTTTCACTCAGAAAAACTGTACATCTTCTCTTGACAGCTTTGACATCTGCCTATTCTAGGTAGCCCTGTCTGATCGTCTGGCTTTTGTGATATGAAATATTTTCTATGCTGAATAATATTCTGTTAATTGTTTTTTCACTTACACTAATTCTGTAACAGGATGCATTAGCTTCCATTGTAACTAGTGAAAAATTAGGGCTCAGTGTTGGTTCCAGAGCTGTTTTAATGCTGCGGAATAGAAACTATCGTATATGGTTATCTCGTATACTTACAGAGAGTGAAATCTAGGAAAATCTACCCAAACACATCTAAATCTGAGAAACGTTTTTATCTGAAGAGAAAATAATCTCTTGCCATCTTTTCTCCTTGCAACAGAGTGCACAGCAGCTGGCTCCTTCCCAGCAGACAGGACAGTACCAGCTGCAGCAGTCATCCGTTTCCAGTGGAGCTACCCCATCACAACCAGTTTCTCAAACTCAGACTCCACTGATCATGCCGATGCCTCAGGTACCAGCTGGAACTCAGGTAATTAAACTTGGTCTTTTGCAAAATTAGGAGATTTCTCCTCTCTTCCTTTGTTGGCTGCCCCTTTTACTGGTCTGCCTTGTGTCCTAATGGTTCAGAAAATACTGCTGGAGGTGACACGATTATTCTACTATGTTTAAGAATTTTTGGCAGGAATAGAAATGTCTGTATGCCTGGAATCCCTTTCTTTAGAATATGTGGCAGAAGTTCAGTGGTTCAGTTGAGGAGCAACAGCACTTAAAAGGGAGGCCTTTCTTACATAGATATCTTTGTCAGGTTGTCTAAAATGTGACAACAAGACATAACTTCTGCAAAGATTAAAATAATGTGTCACCTGCACTTTGAGGAGTTTCATGTGGCATTGTTGACACTTTATGTAGGAGAAACCTACTCCATCCAAATTACATTTGTGTGTTCATAATCAAAAAATTGTTCTCCAGTTAATAAGCCATGTACACTGCCTCTTCTGAACTGTCGTCCTCTTTTCTACCGGCCTTCCTCCTTCACTCCTTGGCCAGGATGCTTCTGTTACTGAATGGTCTTATTTCGGATTGGCTCACATTTTTTGATACTATGAATGTGAGCTTTGTTAAATTTAAAGGGTTTTTGTTGCTTGTTCATTTGAACTCCTTTTCCAATTGATTGCTGGCTTCAATTGACTTGACCTTTGCCATTCTCTGTATGCTGACAGTGGCTTTTCACTCTCCATTGCTTCCTGCCCATACCCGAAATGGGCAGACTTCCCCATTTTGTTGTGGGGTTTGCATCTCTTCCTGGTAGGGAAGGGAGGGAGGGAGGATTGGTTGTAGAATTAGAATGAGAGAGGACCAGAGTTTGTTTACATACATGTTGGTGCTGCAGCAGTGTTCAGATCTTGCTGTTCTACCCCAGCACAACGTACATGTTGCAAAAGGTGGTTTAGAGGTCTTCAGGAACGAATTGCAAAATGAGAACCCTTTGGAACACAGCAATCAACTCTCCAGCTACTCTCCCCAATCCACTCTTAAAGGGTGTGATAACTTAAATAATTCTTTTTTCTTTGACTCATACATTAAAAATCTGCTTTCTGCAACCCTGCTTCCTAAAAAGTCTATCTCTATTTTCTTTGCATCCCCAGCTTCCTGTTTCCCAAGCAGTGCCGATCATCCAAGGCGAACCTCAATTACCTGTTGCAGCACCTTCTCTCCCTCAACCTTCAATTGCCCCAACCATCCCCATTGGCTCTCATTTTCTCCCTATGGGACAGCCCTTGTCAACCTCCCTGCTCACCCAGTTCTCAGTCTCTCAGCTCCCCATAGCAGCATCTCATGCGTCAGTGGCTCAGCCAGGCTTCCAGTCTCTGCCTATCTCTATGGCAGCTGGCATTAACCAGCCACTTCTCACTCTGGCCACATCTGCTGCAGCAGCTGCTATCCCTATAGGATCAACCATTGTCCCTAGCCAGCTTCCAGCTGTTCTACAGTCTGCGGCCCAGCTGCCCAGCCAGGTTCTCCCACAGCTCCTGCAGCCAGCTGTTCAGTCCATGGGATTACCAGCCAGCCTTGGACAAGCTGCTGAAGCTGCACTTCCAGCTGGAGATGCTTTGTATCAGGTATTGTTGCAAGCCAGCAAGAGGTCTCCTTGTCCTCTGTTCCTCTGGGGCACTAGACCTGATCTGCGTGCTGCAGATACTTGCCAATACCCGAATTTGGCGGGAGAGAGAACAAGCCACATGTTTTTTGTCCCTTTTTTTTTTTTAATGAACAAATCTGTTCTCTCATTACACTTGTATGCAAGAGGGCATAGTTTCATTAAATTTTATTTGTTTTTGGACACCTAACTATGGATTTATTGGCAATGGAATTTCTCTGAAAGAGCTAGTATTTTTTCTGCTATATGTGACAACTATGAATTTGAAAATTGATAATATTTTATCACCCCTGCCAAAGACATCAAATTGCTGCTCTGTGTCCTGGAAAGACACTGTGTGGGGTATCTGGCAACACCAGTCTTCTGGCACAACTCATTGAGGGAAAATTGATATCTTAGCAATAAACCAAACTATGTGATCCCTGAACATAAGTGAAGTATCCGATGCAAACATGGAATGTTGAGATGATGGACAGGAGCTAATCAGTGTCTGATTATTTAGAAGTTTAATCATTTACTGCTGTCAGGGTATAAAAGGGACAACTTGCATAGTGATGGGAATAGAGGCCCAACATGTGATGTTTACCACTATTGTAATGTAATATATATTACATTGAAATGTGCTGTCCAACAGCAGATAATAGCTAGTACTGTTTACTTGCGGTGTGTAGCAATGTTGCTTGGCACTCAGGTCAGCCCACCTCCTGAGTGTGGAAAGGGGAGAGATTGTAGGAACATTAGCTATTAGTTATGAAAGATTACCAGCAGAGGTTGCGTATCCTGTCTGAGTAGTGGCCATTCAGCCTGCAAGCTCTTCAGATTTTCCACTTCATAATTTTGTAGATAACTATGGGGGGAGTTGGAAGGTGAGGATTCATTTACCTGCTAGGGACTTTGAAACCCTTCTCTTTTGTGAGAGCCCTGAGAGAGAATTTGCTGGTTCATACTACATGATTGTTCTGGAGGTGAACTTGTTCACCTGGGCAGTCTGCTCTGTTCCTCTTGGAAAATGATTTTTAGAGGTGCTTGAACATTCTGGAAGGGTGTCAGGTTGGAACATGCCCCTGCAGCTTGACTTGCCATGTTTTCTTTTTTCAGCCTTTCTTTCTGATTTCCTAACTTCCCCTGAAATGCACTAATTCAGATTCCTCATTTCTGTCACAGGGCTTCCCACCTCGGCTGCCGCCGCAATACCCAGGAGACTCAAATGTTGCTCCCTCCTCTGCTGTGGCCTCTGTTTGCATACCTTCTGCAGTACTGTCCCCTCCCTTACCCACTGATGCATTGGCTCAGCCAGGCTATCTTGCTGCAATGGTGCAGCCTTATGTGGAACAGAACATTTTAGTTCCTCTGGGCGGTCTAGGAGGACAGGTTCAAGTGCCACAGCCTGCAGTGAGTTTAGCACAGCAGGTCTCATCTGCGTCTTCACAGCAGGGAGCTTTAGAGGTAAATGTAATCTCTGCAAGTTCTGTGTGTAAACTATAAATGTCAGGGCATGAATTACATTGCACTGTTTGTGGGGTAAATTAATCCCTTCTGTGATGATATTCATTTGGACATAATGAACTAATCTCTCAAATGACTTTTTCTTACAGCAGAATGTCATGCCAATGTGGGGACCTTGTTGCCATTGGCTGTTCTGTTGGGAAGTGAGTGTGCCTCCCAGAGGCAAAAATCTGTTAACACTTCACTTCTTGCTAGTACTCTAGATCCTTTTTGGTCTTCTCAAAGACACTCTGCCATTGGTAGCCCTTGAGAATCTCTCTTATACATGTTCCCTGCAGCCTTGCTGCTGTTGGGGGAGAGATTCGAATTGTCTTTGTGTGCTGCGTTGGCTTCCTTGTTGCACAGTCTGCTAGTAAGATGCTGGCTGCATGGCGAGCTGTAGTATCACAGTGTAGCAGATGGGATGGCTGACCTCACCAGGCGCTCTGTATGAGACTTGCACTAGAGCCCTCTTCCTTGGGTATCAGATTTGAGAGGACTAGACCCTGGTTGTTATAAATTGTTCTGGAGAAATGGTGCTTTCTAGCTTCGAAGTTTGATTGGGGAGAAAATATTAAAAGGTTGATTGTGGTAAGAAATAACTCATTGGCATGCTTGAATGTTTGTTTTCTCTTCGCAGAGTACTCAGGGAGCCTCACAGGCTGCTCCTTCAGAATCTGTACCATCAGCACAGCAACAGCTTGCACAGACTACCCCATTGGTCTCCTCACTAGACAGGTAACCAGTGGGTTTTACCAAGTTGAACTTTTTGGTCGAGAGGAGTTTCTTCCCTTGGTGGCTCTTTGGCATCTGTTCTTTACTAGGGATATTTTCTATGTAAACTGAGGGGAATAACTTCCATTTTTTTTCTAGAAGATTTCTCTCCAACTCCTCCAAGCCTCCTCTTTTTAAGCAGGGCCTGGAGAAGGCACACCGATTGTGTGCAATGATCTGATGTTACCATGCCCAAGTGGGTCACAACTGACAATACCAGATTCATGACAAACTGCTGAGAATTAGGGCAAACACCCCCCAAAACTGGTGGTTATTCTTCCATATGATTTACCAAACCAGCAACAAAAGTAAATTTCTGTCTCACTACATTGGCTAATGAGAAGTCAGAAATAGTCTCCTTAAGTATCCCAGCCTTTGTTCCAACACCTAGACACTAGACTTAGTGATGAGTGGTTATTTAAAACCAATTTCATCAACCAAAGGGGGGGTTCTTCTCCCAAAGGATCAGTCACATACCCAGGTCAATATATAACTTAGATCTTACCCAATAATCATGCTGTTGCCAATCCTTTAGTATCTAATATCTAAAGGTTTATTTATAAAAAGAAAGAAAGAGGTGAGAGTTAAAATTGACTAAAGGAATCAAATACATGCAATAATTGCAAAGTTCTTGGATCAGGCATAAAATTGCAGGCTTGTTAAGTCTCTGGTTCCTTCGAAAAGATTGGAAGGTCCCTCAGTCTCTTGGTTAGAATGCTCTCATTAGTATAAGTCCATAGTCCAGAGAACAGAGTGGGAAAGAGGCCAAGTGGAGATGTTTCTGGGGCCTTTTATATTTTTTGTCATATGATGGGTCTGGTCTCAGTACAGTCAGTGGAAAAGTACAGGCACAAGATGGAATCAAGTGTCACATGAGCTGGTCACATGCCCTTGCATGTTTCGATGAGTCATAGCAGGGGCCATTACCCATATTCTGTCTGGAAAGTTCACAGGAAAGTCCATCAGGTGGGGATAAGCTGCTTCCATGGCCCATTGGGTTCATTGATGGGCCATCAACTTGAATAGTCGGTTCACAATGTGCTGGCTAGACTGGATGTAAACTACCTTGTAGGAGTTACCACATTTGAAATACAGGTATATAGTCAATATTCATAACTTCAGAAATGAAAATGATACGTGCATACTAATAGGATAATCATATTCAGCAAATCATCACTTTTCCATTGACCCCTCACATGACATACTTTGTACAAGATTTGTTGCAATTGTATAACAGTGGTAGCAACAGTAATATACATGGTCATATCTTAATCAGATAATGTCACACCTGATATGGTAATCTATTGCAATTACACATCAAGCAAGGGGGTTACTCATTCCTATGATACTCATACTTATTCAGGGGTTGAGCCTTGCAGAGCTTGATCCTTCATCCAGAAGATGCATTTAAATGGATTACTTTACAAACATATTTTATGGATCCCTTCCTTTCATGTGTGGTTACATATTTATTATTCAAGCAACCATATGTGAGTAAAGGATTATCCTCCTCATACCCTGTCCTCACAAGAGTAATGAGTATTGCTCTTAAGAGGCCACCCTCTCTTGGGTTAAGAGGGGAATTCAGTCATCACACACTAAAGAAGTTCAAATATTTGTGAAAATTATTAAAACTAATTATTTTGGTTTTTAGTGCACATTCTGATGTTGCTTCGGGCATGAGTGATGGGAATGAGAATGTGCCAGGATCTAGTGGGAGACATGAAGGGAGAACCACCAAACGCCATTATCGGAAGTCTGTACGCAGCCGCTCTCGGCACGAGAAGACTGCTAGACCAAAACTGAGAATTCTCAATGTGAGTTATGGCTTATTTCAGTGACTGTAGTAGTGGATAATGTCTTTCTTGAGTTTTTACAGAACTTCTCTACCCACCATCCTGAAGAGGGGTATCCTTTGTTTCCCTTGTGTCCTAAATTCTGATAACGGCCTCCCATGTGAAGTGGCTAGGCTTCCACCCCATCTCTTTTCTTGGTGCCGTACACTATACAGGGGTGTACAAAATATTCTTCCTGCTTTGGAGGTCAGATAGTGTTCCAAAGATGAGCTATTAGCTATGCTGCGGAGCATTAAGCACAGCAGAACATGGTCATTCAGGAAGCAGTGATACCAGTAGTTGCTACAGAATATTTGCTTTGCCATTTGCCTTGCCCCTCAGACTGTGTTGACTGGGCTGGAGTTCATTTAAGAAACCTCACCCTATCTTCACTATTACCATTAATGACTTTCCTGAAATGTTGGGACAGACTTTTTGTTCTGTTTCTTGACATAAGCAGGAAAGTTTACAGAGAAGTCAGAGTTCTAGAGAAAGATGGTCTATGTTGAGCAAGAGGGCTTGAAGGTTGATGTGGTTGGGAATCCCTTAGAGGATCATTGCCGTTCAGTGCATCTGATCTCTGTTTGAGAATGGAAAGTGAATTGCTCAAGGAGGAGTACAGTACAGTTGGCCCTCTTGGAGATCTCTTGTTGCTTTTCTGCACCTGGCCTTCCCTGGCTTTAGGAACAAGAGATGTCTGCACACTTGTACTCAGTAGTTGTTCATGATGTTCCATTGTGTTCTGCAGTTCAGGCTGGAAAGCATATTTCTTCTCTTTCAGGTTTCAAACAAGGGTGATCGGGTGGTTGAGTGCCAGCTAGAGACACACAATCGGAAAATGGTTACTTTCAAATTTGACTTGGATGGTGACAACCCGGAGGAAATCGCAATAATTATGGTGAGCTACATCTCCAGTGCAGATGGAGAATTGACCCTGATCTTGTTATCCATATTAGTTGTACAAATCACCTTAAATTAGAGTTCATCTAACCTGCCTTTTTGAATTACTACTATTCTTATTGCTTCCCTGTGCACTATAGTCTTTGTCTCCTCTTCCAGTCACATTACTAATATTAGAAGCAAAATCTTTCCCTAATGACTGAGTGGTAAAGAACAGTGTCCAAAGCCAACATGTTTGGTCCAGTATTTGCACAACTAGTTCATCTGAGGATTTGGGTCAGCTTCTATCTTAAAACTTCAGTGTCTTCAAGTAAAACAGTTTTAACTTTGTACTCTAGGATTTTAAAAATCTCTTACTAACTGCTTGTTGTGAGCTGAGCTAATAAACAGTAAACTCGATTTCTGGAAATACAATATAAAACAAACTCCTCCAAGTGCAGTCCTGTTCCTGTCACTGGGGAACTTGAAGAAAATTAAGTACTGTCCCTATGTGAGCTCCACAGTAGGTGTATCTGAGTCCCTGTACCTCTAATCAAAGATTTTAGGTTGCAGTGTCTGTTCAGCCCTCACATGTGCTCTCCTTCCCTCATGATCTACCTGGAGGCTATCTTGTGCGGGCGTACCGCCCACAGTTCCTTCTCGACTGCCTTTGGCCTCAAATGGAGCGATCAGGTGTCTTGTTACTCTGCATCATTAGCATAAGTAGTAGTTTAATCCTTTTGTTTCCCTTAATAGTTAGTTTCCGGGATTTTTAAAAAAAAAGGGGGGGAAAACCCTTCTATTTCATGTTTCCTGCCCTTTCTGGGGAACCCTCTACACCTCCCCTCTCCCCCAGAGGGCGTTTAGTAGTTTAGACTCTCTAACCTCTCCGTTTAATTAAAAAAAAAAAAAAAAAAAAATTCTGCTTTCTTTGCTTTTGAGGGTGATATCACTGTGTAAAGTATTGGGAGAATCGTATATCCACAAAAGTGCAACCTCTGCCAGCAGCTCAAGGCAAGGTCTCAAAAAAACCAAATCAGGATCTGGAGTTAAAACGCCTCCTGATGGAGAGAGCACTTCACCCACCAGCTGACTCCAGTGCCAGACATTCTCCAGGACACATGTTGTCCCTGGAGCCTTTAACTTCCCTTGGGGTAGAACTGAATGTTGCAAAGCTCCTGTCCCTGGAGTGTTCCACACATAAGCAACCATCAGTACCTACAACTTACCACCGACACTCCTCCACGGCACCAAGTGAATCTGTGGAACCACAAGAATTCCCGTGCCCTAGAGCAGTGGTCTCCGAACCTTTTTGATCGCGCACCCCTATCAGTAAAAAATTTTTGAGCATGCAACCCCCTGCCGCGCTGGCTCTACCATTTTTGCCAAAGCAAAAAAGAAAAAAAAAAAACGCTCCGACTCCCGCCCGAACTGCTGCAGCAGCAACAACAACAAAAAAGCTGCTTGGACTCCCGCCCGAACTGACCAAGTGCCAAAAAAAAAAAACCCGCTCCTTCTGCCACGCACCCCCAAGGATCCTCTTGCGCACCCCACTTTGGAGACCACTGCCCTAGAGACCTGGAGGTCATGGAAGAACCACAATCCCCATTAATTGATACTGGGGCCCCATGCCTGGAATCACTGAGGACATTTACTGCCAATGCCCTGGTCAGCACCACCCTTACCTTTGAGTCTGACAGTGACCAGGCGCATGTTATTTCCCTGACCTATCACTGTGGCGTGCCATCACAGTACTAGAGACCTCATCAACTCCACCCTTGCGCTGACCTGCAATCTTGGTGTGGGCCTCTTTGTGCACTTCCACTACCCCTCCTCCCCCACCCCCAGTTGCCCTATTGGGATCCTTGGGTGATGTACAGATCCCACACTTTGTGGGTGTCTGTGTCTCTGAGAGAGTTGGCAAGACTGTCTCCTGTAGCTTCACTATCTCTAGTCCCTGAACTGGAGGAGGAGGAAACTTTTGAAGCACAGGAGGAAAGGCTTGAAAGGGAGGCTATCCCTCCAGCAAACTTCTCATCTTCACCAGATAAGGCTTTAACGCCTCCCCCCATCACTAGCTGATGATTTTAAGAACTTTTGAGATCTTACTAAGAGGGTGGCAGATGAGTTGCAAATTCCCCTACAGGAGGTAGCAGATACATATCACAAGCTGGTAGATATTCTGCATACAGTACTTCCTCCTTCTCCAAAATCGCCCTCCCAATTAAGGAGGCGCTTCTTGACCCTGCCAAAGTCATCGGGCAGACACTAACCTCCATTGCATCGACCTGCAAGAGAGTGGACAAGAAATATTACATGCCTCTCAGAGGCAGACTTTGTTTCTACATCCTCAACCCAATTCAATTGCTGTAGATGTGATTAATGCATGTGGCAAGCAACATCATGCCAAGTCGACCCCATATGATGGAGATTGGAAAAGGCTAGATTCCTTTGGAAGGAAGACTTATTCGTCTGTGACATTGAAGTCCAGGGTCGCAATTTGGTCATGGCCAATTATTATTTCATTAATTATGGAAAAGTCAGTGTGTTCATCGAACATTTACCAGAGGCACAAAAAGAGCAGCTTCAGGTCATTGTCATAGAGGGCAGTTAGTGGCCAGGACTGTGCTACAGACAGTGTTGGATGCTAGGTCTCCCTGGCAGTGATATTGAGGCAGGCGTCGTGGTTACACCTTTCTGGGTTGCCCAGAAAGGTACAGACTATGGTTGAGGATCTCCTATTCAACGGGCCCAAGCTCTTCACTGATATGACTGGCGCCTCTCTCCACACCTTGAAGGATTCCATGGGAATCTATACAGCGGACAAAAGAGGAGACATGGCTCTCAACCACAGTACAGGTCACGACCTTCTCAGTACCCAGCCTCACAATGCTATTATGAGCCGCAGTGCAAGAGGCTCAGGGTACAAAAGTGAAAACAGCACCCCAGTATGCAACCTCTGACCGTCTCTTCTCAGCACTTTTGACAGATTGAGGGCCTGAACAACTACGCCTTGAAACATCAGCTACCATCTATGCACCTGTCACATGATTTTGGCAATTACCTGACCTCCTTTCACAGCAGCTGGGACAAATGGCTCTTGGAGATGATTTCAAAGGGTTACGCCATTCATTTCTCGTCCCTCCCCCATTCTCACCCTCCTTCGCCATCACTCTTCAGGGACCCTTCTCACGAGAACCTGCTTCGCCAGGAGATAGATCTGTTACACCTAGGAACCATAGAACCAGTCCCAGCAGAACTCAGAGGCAAGGGGTTTTACTTCGATTTATTCCCTGATCCCCAAGGCAAAGGGAGGTTGGACACCCATTCTAGACCAAAGGGCATCAAACAGATGTGTGAAGGTGCAGAAGTTCAAGGTGGTCACGCTAGGAGCCATTATTCCAGCTCTGGAGCAAAGAGCTTGGTTTTTGGCCCTCGACCTACAAGATGCCTACTTCCACGTCTCAAATCTGACCATCGCACAGGAAATGCCTATGGCTTACCTTTGGGCAAGACCATTATCCGTACAGATGCTCCAATTCGGCCTCTTGTCCGTATCCAGGGTATTCTCCAAGGCTGTCTGTCATAGCGGCACACTTGCAAACATAAGGCATTATCTACATTATCTAGACAACTGCCTTGTTGAGGATGCCATATGTGCCACTCAGATCACCACGCGCACTTTTGCACAACTGGGCTTACAGCACAACATCCATAAACCAACCCTCAGCCCGTTACAGCGACTGGAATTTATTGGAGCCAAACTTGACACAGTGCAAGTGAGAGCATTATTCCTGCTGCACAGATTTACCACCCTCACGAGCCCCATAGAGACAGTCCAGGCTAGCCCACAAACGTCAGCCAGGATCTGCCTACAGTTGCTCAGTCATATGGCAGCATGCACCTTCGGCACTCTGCACGCCTCATTGTTCATGAGGTGTCTACAGATGTGGCTCAGGTCCGTCTGTTCCTTGAACAAAGACAGGCTAAGCAAACCGCTATCAATACCCTCCACTATAAAGCATTCCCTGGACTGGTGGAAAGACGCATCCAAGCAGACGTTTCATTTGTACAATTGCTACCGACGCTGACTCGGACGTATGCCTCCCTGATAGGCTGGGGAGCCCATCTACATGACCACAAGGTTCAGATCAAGTGGTCTCCTACAGGAGCGGCTCTCGTATCAATCTTTTGGAGTTAAAAGCCATCAAACGCCTGTGCACACTTTCTCCAATTCATCAAGAATACCACGTGAAGGTCACGAGAGACAATATAACTTGTATATTTTACATCAATCACCAGGGGAGTGCCTGATCTCCCTCCCTCTTCACAGAAGCACTCAGACTTCGAATTGGCGCATCTGACACAGCGTGCTTATCTCAACCATCTACCTACCTGAGATGCAGAACGTGACAACCAACAGTCTGTCAGAACGTCTCTCATGACCACAAATGGGAACTGAACTCAGAGGTGCTTCATGACTAAGGCTACAATTTAGTCACAGGTATTCTTAGTAACTCATGGACAAGTCATGGGCAATACACACAAAATCACAGGCCTGTGACCTGTCCATGACTAAATCTTAAGGGGGTTACTGCTGGGGGGTGCCAGGACTGCTGCTGGGGGTGAGGGGGCATCTGGAGAGGTTGCTGCTGGGGGGGTGGTTGCTCCAGGGGGCTGCTCCTGGGGCAAGCAGGGGGCCAGCCATGGTATCAGCTGCCGGGGGCCGCCTGGGCACCACTACTGGGGGTTGCCCAGGGAAGTGGCTACTCCGGCTGCCTGGGCACCACTGCCAGCGGCCACCTGGGGAAGCGGCTACTCCGGCTGCCAGGGGACGTGGGCAGCGGCTGCACTGGCCACCGAGGCACCACTGCTCAGGCGGTCCCTGGGGCCAGCCTCACCGGCTGTTGCTCAGGTGGTCCCTGGAGCTAGCTGCACAGGGCCGCCTGAGCAGTCTGCGGGGCTGCTTCAGCAGCGGCTGGAGGCGGCTGTCCCGGGGGCCACCTGGCTAGCTGGCCTTAGAGCCAGCTACTTGGGCGGCCCTGGGGTCAGCTACGCTGGCCCCCACAGAAGTCGCGGAGATCGCGGGAAGTTATGGAGTCCTTGACTTCCGCGCCAAAGACGGAGCCCTATTCAGGACACGTTCACCCTTTGGGGAACCCTGACTATAGATTGGAACAAGAAATGTCCTCATTATTGCTCCAGAGCAGTCCTGGGGAAACAGTCCTTGGGAGATGTGCTCATCCTCCCATGGGACAGGAACCTTTTGTACACCTTTCCCCCCACTCCTCTACTGTCCAAGGTACGATGTGACAAAGCAAGAGTTATTCTGATAGCCACCTCCTGGCATAGTTTGGTTTCCTTACCTGGCACAGATGGCACTATGTTCTCCAGTTCCTCTTCAACCCATTCCTCAAAACTAACAGCTCCTTCACTCCAACTTGTGGATCCTCCGCTTCCAGGCGTGGCTCCTTCTTGGTTCCAGGATCTAGAGGTAGAATGCTTTGATGAAGTAAAAGACGTGTTATTACATAGCCGAAAATTGACCACTGCTTAACTGCAAAAATGGAAGTGATTCCAAATTTGGTGGTGGTCTAAGCACATAGACCAAACACCTTCCTCCCTCCATCTCCTCAAAACTCTGTTCCTTTAAGGTACACCTTGCAACTATAACGGCGTTTCACTGTCAAGTAGACAGATATTCTGTTTGCTCACCCACTGACGCGTAGATTACTTAAGGGTGTTGGAAATCTCTTCCCACACATGACACCCGCTCCAACCTGGGATCTTAATTTACTTCTCTGAGCCTTGACTATGCCTCCTTTTGGTGACTTGCTCTCTCTCACACCTGTCCATGAGCAGATAGTCTCCTGGCAACTCAATGCTCAGTTGGACAGTTGTGTACTAATATTAATTTTAAAGAAAAATTGTTTTTGACTAACCTGCACAAAACACACACGAACACTCCCGTCACTTAAAGTAATACAGTTACGTTGATAATTGAATACATTTACAGAAAGCTTTCATTGTGGAAAACATTTTGTATAACTCTTGTTACTCATTCATAGATAGGTTTTTCTTGAGGTGCTAACAATATACGTCAAAAATCTGAGACACACACACAAAATTGTAAAAGGAAGATTCTTCCAAAATTGTCATGAAATGTACACCTATAAGCTATTAAATTACACTATCCACATTATATACACTCAACATACACCAGTTACCTCAGTTATTGTTTCCAAGTAAGTCTGAATTAATTCTTGTTGGTTTTGTCATGTAGAAAATAAACTGATTGGTGAGGGTCATATATGCTTAGTCCCATTTCATTTGGCAGCAGCAAGGATAAAATCTTTAATAGTCTTCTCTCTCAAATCCTTCTGTGGGAAATTGTCTTGTCATATCTTGAAAAACTAGTGCATAGGGCTCATGAAATAGAACATCATGGCATTGCCATGCCAGTAGCAATATCCATTTTCAGTCAGAGTGAAAAACAGATAACAGCTAAAAATATGCTTCAGCCTTTGAACAGAAGAGTTTATAGTAACTGATGTTTCTGCACAATTGAAATGTACAGCTGGTTTATGTGGCTAGTCACAGAATTAAGCTTGTGAAGTTATTTGGTCTCTTCTCTGGGAGATATGGGTTCACCTTAAACGCAGTTTGCCAGTGCAGAGCAACTTGGTTCATCACAATTGTTTGACTCTGGTTATGAAAGACTGAACAGGCAGAGAAGAGAATTGAAGTTCATTTCCAGCACTTCGTGAGGAGATCTCGCACAGTACTTTCAAGTTCCAATGACCTTAGTCCTTCATTCCTTTTACTGCAGCTAAACATTTGAGAGCTGTTTTGAACACTTACGGAATATTAAATCAATAGCTGTAATAGGAATTGGTTGCACTGCCTGACTTCAATTATGCAATGATTTTGTAGCTGTGTTGGTCCCAGGATATTAGTCAAGGTGGATGAGGTAATATCTTTTATTGAACCATCTTCTGTTAGTGAGAGAGACAAGCTTTCAAGCTACACAGACCTATTCTTCAGGTCTGGGAAACAGTGTGTCGCAGCTAAATATAAGATTGAACAGATAGTTTGGCAGAAGTAGTAAATTTCAATTAAACATTTTATGCCAAGCAGAAATCCTGTGATGAAGTGACAATAGCTTACCTGGATGAGTGAGACTTTTAGTGCTACTGTAATACAAATAATAGAGGACCAAATAAGAGTCCTGTTACACTTGAGGCTATAAAAATACAGACTATCCCTTCCCCAAAGAGGTCACAGTCTAAACCAGGGGTCGGCAACCTTTCAGAAGTGGTGTGCCGAGTCTTCATTTATTCACTCTGATTTAAGGTTTTGCGTGCCAGTAATACATTTTAACGTTTTTAGAAGGTCTCTTTCTATAAGTCTGTAATATATAACTAAACTATTGTATGTAAAGTAAATAAGGTTTTTAAAATGTTTAAGAAGCTTCATTTAAAATTAAATTAAAATGCAGAGCCCCCTGGACCGGTGGTCAGGACCCGGGCAGTGTGAGTGCCACTGAAAATCAGTTCGCCTGCTGCCTTTGGCACACATGCCAAAAGTTGCCTACCCCTGGTCTAAACTAAAGCAAGATGCAACAAGTTGGTGTGACAAAAATGGCCAACGGAGAATAAGGGTAACACTGAAAGGAAGGCATAATTGCATAGACAGAATCCATGCACAATTTATAGGTTTGAAGGGGTTTAAAAATATAGACAGACAAGGGATATTAATGATGACAGTACTCCTTGTTTTGTTTCATTTACAGGTGCAGAATGAATTTATTCTAGCAACTGAGAGAGATTCATTTGTAGAGCAGGTACGAGAGATCATTGAGAAAGCCGATGAAATGCTCAGCGAGGATGTCAGTGTAGAGCCGGAAGGTGATCAGGGCTTGGAGAGTATGCAGACGAAAGATGACTGCTTCTTTCCAGGGTCCCAGGTAAGTGGGGAACTGGTTGCTTCAGCCAGACTGTTTACAACCTCTGTTTTGAGAAAGTGGTGGCATAAGTAGAGCTGGCCAGAAACTGGAATTCCTGTTCCACATTTGAAATTTCAGAATTTCAAAAAATTGCTCCAAAATGGAACAACAATGAAATGATTTAGAAAAAAATCAGACATCTTGTATTGACATTTTCAAAGTGATTCCTCTGCTCCTCCAGTTGTCCAGCATCCTGGCAGCCCACCAGGCAGGGGAAAGGGGTTGTGAGGGCTTCCAGGACTGCTTTGGAGCTGGGACAACTGCAACCTATGGGAGTCCTGGCTCCAGGGCAGTCTGCCTGGCAGGAAATCAGGTAGGTTTCCAAACTTTCCTGTCTTGGTAATTTAGATGTAATACTGGCATGTTCCCATGGAACAGAGTTTCGGGTGGGGGAAAGGGGCGAAGTGAGGTAGAACTAGACTAGATTGGTGAAGTACGCAAATTCACAGTATTGCTTACAGTAGCAGTACACTGAATACCATAGTTATGCCACTGAACTTGTGTTTGAGGTTGTGCTTGAATGTGAACTTTACTATTATCTTTTTGCAGAAATTGGAGGGAGAGTTCAAACAGCCAGATCCTGTATCTTTCATGCCGCAGAGAATTGGTAAGCTTTATAATACTTATCCAACAGTTTCCTAGTGCTGACTTTGATCCAGCTGAGGAGCGCAACCTTTATATGCTTGAGTGCATGATCTGGCAGGACATGCTGTAATGAGTGAGATGCAGCACATCGCTAAATACCTAACTTCTCTTTATTGTTTAGGTGTTCCTCCCAGCTCTTTCACCCAGGTTGTCCATTCTGCTGGAAGACGGTTTATTGTCAGTCCTGTCCCAGAGAGTCGGTTAAAAGAACAGCAGTTTTTCACCTCTTCTATTCCTGCAGGAAAGGAACTTCCAGATATTGGTTAGTTACCCAAAGCTCTCTGAAGTTTTGATTGTTAATATTTATTTATGATACCAGCTACAAGTTGTTTAACCATAGTGACCAGTTCTTGTAGTAGCTGTCAGTCCCAGAATATTAGAGAGACCATAGGTGCCAACTCTGTGGGTGCTTCAGCCCTGGAGCACCCACAGGGAAAAATTAGTGGGTGCGCTGCACCCACCAGCAGCCAAGCTCCCCTCACTCCCCGCCCCACCTCCTCCTCCCCTGAGCGTGCCGCATCGCTGCTCGTCCGCCTACCTCCTAGCACTTCCTGCCCGGCTGCCACCAAACAGCTGTTTGGCAGTGTTAGCATGCTCTGGGAGGGAGGGGGAGGAGCGGGAATGTGGCAAACTCAGGGAAAGAGGCAGGGTTGGAATGGGGGCAGGGGTGGGAAGGGGCAGGGCAGGTGCGGGGCTGGGGGTGGGTGGGTGGGGTCGAGCACCCATGGGAAAGAGGGGAAGTCAGTACCTATGCGAGAGACAAGATAAGTGAGGTCATATCTTTTATTGGACCAAATTCCACTGGTGTGAGAGAAGCTTTTCAGTTTACACAGAGCTCTTCTTCAGGTCTGGGAAACACACGCAATGTGTCACAGCTAAATACAAGGTGAAACAGATTGTTTAGCATAAGTAGTTAACACACATTTCAAGGGACCATTCAAGGTGAAGTGGCCCGTTAGCACGCCTCCAATCATAGGGGGGAAATGGAAGCTCCTTTCCCCTCCACCCTCTCCTTGTGCAGAGAAGGGTTACTAGGATGATCTGAGGAATGGAAAACCTACCTTATGAGAGGAGACTCAAAAGAGCTTGGCTTGTTTAGCCTAACTAAAAGAAGGCTGAGGGGAGATATGATTGTTCTCTATAAATATACCAGAGGGATAAATACCAGGGAGGGAGCGGATTTATTTAAGTTATGCGCCAGTGTGGACACAAGAACAAACTGATCTAAACTGGCCATCAACAACTTTGGGCTTGAAATTAGGTGAAGGTTTCTAACCATCAGAGGAGTGAAGTTCTGGAACAGCCTTCCAAGGGGAGCAGTGTGGGCAAAAAACCTAACTGGCTTCAAGACTGAGCCTGAAAAATGTATGGAGGGGATGGTATGATGAGACTGGTTACATGCCTTTGTAGGCAATCTGTGACTGCTAATAGCAAATGGGACACTAGATGCGGAGGGCTCTGAGTTATTACAGAGAATTCCTTCCCAGGTATCTGGCTGGTGGGTCTTGCCCACATGCTCAGAGTCTATCTGATAGCCATATTTGGGATCAGGAAGGAATTGCCCCCCAGGTCAGATTGGCAGAGACTCTGGGGGTTTTTCACCTTCCCCAACAGCATGGGGCATGGGTCACTTGCTGGTTTAAACTAGTGCAAATGGTAGATTCTCTGTAACTTGAAGTTTTTAAATCATGATTTGAGGACTTCAGTAACTCAGCCAGAGGTTAGGGGTCTATCACAGGAGTTGTTGGATGAGGTTCTATGGCCTGCAATGTGCAGGAGGTCAGACTAGATGATCGTGATGGTCCCTTCTGACCTTAAAGTCTGAGTCTGTGAATGGTCCCTTGAAATCAGACATGCCAAACCCGTGGGGAAAAAAACGAAGAAATTGGGCTTATTTTTGGCTTAATTGGCTTGAGTTGCTTGTTGGCTAGTTTTTGGCTTGTAGCTTGTTGCTTTTTTTTTTTTTTTTTAAATTGGCTCCCGGCAAGTAGGGGCAACAAGGGGAGAGATTCAGAGGTACACAGTGGGCCCACCAGTCACAGACTGCACACCGGGAGGATCTAGTCACATAGAGTGTTGGGGTTCTTCGGGATTTGCTTGTTTTGACCTTTTTTTGAAATGGGATTAACTTGATTTTTGGTTTACCGTGAAAGTTGGGGTGCTTATTTACCACGTGAAAGTTGGCAACTGTGCTTGAAATGTGTGTTAACTTATGCTAAACAATCTGTTCTACCTTGTATTTAGCTGTGACACAGTACTTTTTCCCAGACCTGAAAAGAGCTCTGTGTAAACTCAAAAGCCTGTCTCTCTTAACAGAAGTTGGTCCAATAAAAGATATTACCTCACCCACCTTGACCAGTTCCTTACATTAGGGAAAAAAACATACTGAAAATAAGGAACTGACTGCTGGTTAGAGCCAAAAATGCTTTTGGGCAGCATTATGCAAGATTTTCCTCCTCTGGATCGCTGTCTGTTAACTAATACTAACCATTGCTGTTCCAGTGCTAGGCTCCTATAGGGTTCACAGCACATCTTAAATTATGATTTGCAACATATCCCCTGGCTCTGTAATCCTAGGTCTCTTTTGAATAGCCTACGTAAATCATGCCATAATGCACTATACTGGAATGGTGTTAATCTAGCAATGGTAGGTAAACCATGGTAAACTTCTCTAGGTGGACTGACTGGATTTTTTTTTTTCAGTTGCTTCCTCTTCATCACATGGTCCTGGGATGAACCTGTCTCATTCTGCCTCATCACTCAGTCTGCAGCAAGCTTTCTCTGAGATCAGGCATACTCAAATGACAGAAGGACCCAGTACAGCTCCTCCAGTTTTTAACCAAACTATACCACCATTTCCACCTGTACTTGCTAACATGGCTGGGAGTCTACCATCTACATCAGTGGCTCCTCTCCCAGCATCTCCCCCTTCCACCACTGGTATTGCTCTTCCAGTAGCTCAGTCTGTTGTTCCCCTGCCTACAGAAAAGGTGCCAGCTGGAGTTGCACCAAGCACAGGTGTTTCAGGCTCCAGCTCTCCCACAACATCACAGTCTGGGCACCAATTAATTGGTGGAGTGACTTCCAGTATGAGTGCACCTGCTTCTTTTTCATTAACTGTTACATCGCAGACTGCTCAACCACTGACTGAAGAAGTTGTCCCTAATATCAGCGCACCTGCTTCTTTAACATTGCCACCAACACAACAGATTCCTGTCATGGTTGGCCCCAGTGTTAGTGCCCCAAGTGCTGTACCCCCACCTGCGACATCTCCGCCTGCTCAACAGATTTCAAGTAGTATGGAGTCTGTGGCAGCTCCGCAAACATCTGTAGCCCCAACTATGGCTCATAATGTGACTTCACAAACTCCTCAGCTCAGCAGCAGTAGCTCCACCCCCAGTCTTGCAGAAACAGTTGTTGTAAGTGTGCTACACTCAAAGCCTGAGGATGGACAATCAGTAGATAAATCGAAGCTGTGCAGTGCAGCTGGCTTGTCCCTTCCTATCTCTGCACCATTGTCCTCTGCAGTGGCATCAAGTATATCTAGTTCAGTCCCTCAGCCTGCTGTGGTGCATCCTTTACTCATCCCATCAGCAGTTGCATCAACACCTGTCCTACCCCAGGCAGCAGCTGCAATCTCTACCCCCATATTACCCCAGGTTCCTTTATCTGGCATCCTACCACTGACGCAGCCAGTTGCTAACTTGCCTGCAGTACAGCAGACCTTGATACACAGTCAACCTCAACTTGCTCCGCTACCCAATCAACCTCATACTCAGTGTCTGGAGGCTGATGTTGACACTCAACCCAAAGCTCCTGGCATCGATGACATAAAGACCTTGGAAGAAAAGCTACGATCTCTATTCAGTGAACATGGCAATGTTGGAGCACCACATCCACCAGTATCTCTGGAGACATCACTGGTAATGGAGACTACAGTCATGCCTGGTGTACCAACGACTGCTGTTGCACCAACTAAACCTATGACCGCCACTACCAGCTCTAGTATACCACCAGTTAGTTTGCCCCTTGGACCAGCTGGCTTACCAGTGATGACATCAGTTGCCACACCTGGTCAGGTGGGCATTCCTGTCACCTATGTTCCAGCATCAGGCAGCATTGCAACAGCAGCAGTGAAACCAGTGACCCCTCCCTCAAAGCCACCTCTTAGCAGGGTACCGGTAAGGAATCCAGCACTCTTGTGAATGGTGTTAAGTATACGAGAGAATAATCTTTTGGAAAGAACTCTTGTTCTGAAGCAAGGCTGAAACAGAATGTTTATCCAAACTGATTTGTACAGTCTATTAGTATATTCTCTGTTTTTAGTGCAGGTACAGTGTTGGCATGCTTTTTCCCTCTTAAGCCAAGTACAGGCAGCTGTCCCCCCTCCCCTGCAGCCTCAGCTCGCTCTGCCGCCGGCGCAATGCTCTAGGTGGCAACTGCGAACTTCTGGGGCAGCGCAGCTGCAGAGCCCGGCCTGACCCGGTGCTCTGTGCTGCTTGGTGGCGATGGCGTGGCTGGCTGCAGCCAGACGGCACAGCTGTAGCGCCGCCAGCCACCGGTGCTCCAGGCAGTGTGGTAAGAGGGAATGAGGGGTTGGATAGAGGGCAGGGGAGTTCGGGGTGGTGGGCGGGGGGTGTGAATAGGGGTCGGGGCGGTCAGAGGGCGGGGAACGGGTTGAATGGGGACAGGGGTCCCCGGGGGGCAGTCAGGAAGGAGGGGGGGTTGGATGGGCCGGTGGGGGGCAGTCAGGGGCAGGGGTTTCCATGGCAGTCAGGGAACAGGGAGAAGGGGTGGCTGGATGGGGCAAGGGTCCTGGGGGGGGGCCGTGAGGGAACAGGGGGGGTTGGATGGGGCAAGGGTCCTGGGGGGGGGGCCGTGAGGGAACGGGGGGGTTGGATGGGGCAAGGGTCCTGGGGGGGGCGGGGCAGATGGGGGTGGGGACTGGGCCACGACCCCCTCCCCTAACCGGCCCTCCATACAATTTCCGAAACCTGATGCGGCCCTCAGGCCAAAAAGTTTGCCCGCCCCTGAACTAGATTCTGCCACAGTTACTTTCCACTTGCTTAAAGATCTAAGAAGGCTTTATCCAACAAGGAACTGTCTATCACGGTTTGCTGCCATAAAAAGCTACCACCCAAATATCATTGGGTCAGGGGTGGCCAACCTGAGCCTGAGAAGGAGCCAGAATTTACCAATTTACATTGCCAAAGAGCCACAGTAATACATCAGCAGCCCCCTCATCAGCAGCCCCACTGATCAGCACCTCCCTCTCTGCCCCCACACCTCCCGATCAGCTGTTTCATGGTGTGCAGGAGGCTCTGGGAGGGAGGGGGAGAAGCGAGGGCACTGCAGGCTATGGGGAGAGGGGTGGGAAGGGGTGGAGTGGGGGCAGGGCCTGTGGCAGAGCCAGGGGTTGAGCAGTGAGCACACCCCGACACATTGGAAAGTTGGCGCCTATAGCTCCAGCCCCGGAGTTGGTGCCTATACAAGGATCTGCATATTAACTTCTGAAGAGCCCTATGTGGCTCCAGAGCCACAGGTTGGCCACCCCTGCATTAGGTTATCATGCCACTTACTATGTGTGTCTTCTGAAATCAAGGAGACATACCCGCACTAGCTCTGATCAATCTAGTGTACTAGAAATAATAGAATGCAGGCAAAGTGACACAAGAGGTGGGGGAGATCTGGACATAATGGAGGGGAGGAGAGTTGGAAAAAATACATGCAGAGCCTCTTAGTTATTAGGTCCTCCCACTTTTGTAATGATTTGAAATAACTAACTGGAATGTGCTGTCTGACTTTGCTGTGAGGCCTGCGTGCCTCGTTCTACCCTTTCCAGTTGCTCTAACACTTTCCACATAACCTGGCTGGATTTTTTTCCCCTTACCAAGATGCATGTTCCAGTCATCTGCTTGGGCAGTCAGCAGCTTCAGGTAGCTGTTTATGATGGGTAAAAAAATTGACCCAGGGAGGTTAAAAATATATTTCTTAGTGGATGGAGATTTCCTCAGATATCAAAAGTGTCTCGGGTTCTTTATTATTGCTTAAAGCGATTTACTACAATCACATGAATATTGCCACTCTTAAGCAGCAGTGGAATCTTAATATAGAGATGTCAGGGAAACTGGGTAGGGGCCACATCCTATTCTGGATTGCCTTGCTTAGTTGTCACTAAGCTTTCTATTGGAAAATTATGATCGTTGCAGTGGTTCTCATGGATTTGAGAGATGTCAAGATTCCTGGCTTTTTTTAAAATAAACAAAAACAAAACTACTTGCCTCAGTCATAAACACAGATTGTTTCCCTGTGGCCATTCAAAGAAAAAATGCAAGTGGATATCTTAGCTGCAATGAATTCCCTCTTAACACTGTTCCTTGCCTCCATAGGAAGTCTCCACAGGGAAATTCTTAAAGGCTTCTACTAAGTGATGTGAGTTATTGTAACTTGCTGACTGCTCCTACTGTTGTTCTTTGTTTGATGGACTTGCATTTCCTGTTCATTATCCATAGGTGCTACCGGTAGGTTTTGAACTTCCAGCTGGCACTCCATCCAGCGAACAGCTGCCACCCTTTCCAGGACCTTCACTAACTCAGGTGCTACATGACTTGGCAGATTCTGTCTGTTACTTCTCCTTTCTCTTTCAAAGAGCATGTTCCAATTAAACTCTCCATTGCATGGTCTTGGCTTCTTCACTTTCTCTTTTGACTGAGTAACCCCTTCTGTGTAGTAGTGACCAGAGTCACTTGTGCACTGGAAAGGCAGCCAACTTTCCCTTTGGATTACTGGACCTTAATGTTTGAACTCTGGGTGCAATGACGCAAGCTTATGTTTTTACTTCTATTTTGAGCTTGAGGGAGAGCTTCTTAAAAGCCCTTGTTTTACAGATAAGTGTATTCAGTGTTGAACAGTAGCTGTGTTTCAAAGTCAGTTATGTGCCAAATATGTCGTCTTAACCATATTTGCAAGGCAACAGTAATCACTGGGTCTTTGAGTGCTGGTGTTGCTAGTTACACCACCTGCAGAGCTCAAGGGGTGAGACTGAAGGTGGTGTATTCCATAAGATGTAGCTATTTCAAACGTGCATTTCATAAACTTAGTACAGAAACTTCTTTCAGCAAATCCCAGTGTTGGCAGAAAACACACTGGGAATGGCCAGCCCTGAGGAGGACAGCGAGTTAAAGCAAAATTAGTAAATTAACTTGCCCAGTGATGCTGAAATCCTCTTTCCAGTGGATACATGAATTAGTTGTATGTAAATGAAGAGAGTCATGAAACTTAACTTCAGAAGTATTACACACACCTGTGCTATGATTAGAATAAAAGGAGTATCTGGGAGCAAAGTTCTAGCTCTGCAGGGAGCAATAAATATTGCAATACCCATCTAGCTGTTGAAAACCCAAGACTGCTGGCTATGAGAACTCAGTGGGTTTTTAATAGTCTCCTTTTCCTAGTCTAGCAAAGTTGGTGCAATTCTATAAATCTTCTAATGTTGATTAAAGATTATAGTTCAAGCAAACTGCTGGGACCTGCATTTGGCCACCTTCTGGTGTATAGATAGCTGAGAACTTCCAGGGAGACTGGTGGATGTTTTGCCTTGTCGGTGAACTTTTGAGGCTGTTACTTATTGCCTTAAAGACCAAGACAAACCTTTCTGACTGACAACTGCCACTTCCTTCTGGAAAATAGAGGAAAATTCATAGAAGGAGTTATGGAACTCAAGAGAACATAGGAAAAAAAGCAGTCAAGATCTGCAATGAAATAAAGATTTCTAGATATCTTAAATTGCTGTGCAATGAGGTAGTATGGAGAAAAATTAAGCATATCTTTAAAGAAGAAACATACAATATATGATGAAAGAAAAGCTAAAAATAAAAGCAGTGAAGATGGGGACTTGTAAGCAGTCTGTATCCTGTTCTTAATGTGTTTTAGAAACAGCATGGTTAGTGTCAGGTTATTTACAGAATAAACACAAACTGGACTTTTCTTCCAGTGAACTTGGCCTGTAAATGTAATCCCCATTTCTTAGATTTAGATTTATAAAGGAGGTGGTATTATGTGTTAAAGCAGGCATCTGGTAATACCTGCTTTAAAGCTGCAAAACCATTTCAGTTATAAACCTAATGTTTTTTACACACACCTTTCTGAAGTATTTACTTTTTTGAAGTGAAATTTTCCATTTGTGGTTTGTGCCAAAGATGACCTATTTTTGGAATATTTAAGCAAAATCCTTTCAGCCAAATTTGAGTTATGGACATGAAACAATACTGCCTTTTTAAAGCCATTGTTTTATTTTTATATATATAAAAATAAAATTCAGGTTAGAAGTACTTTAAAAGTTTTATAGCCAAAATGGCTATAATATGGAACTTTATTGCCTTGTGGGCTATTGCCAGTGGCTGGATGAGCAGGGAATGAAAATTAAAGGAGAATTCACCTCTGCGTATTCTCAGAGATATCAGCTAAGACTTTTATTGGAGCCTGATGGAAGCTTTGCCTGTTGGCATCACAGTATGTTCTCCCTGCTCAGCCTGACGTGCTCAAGGACTGTAGGTCTCAGGCTTCTTCTGAGAAAAGTAACACAAAATGGCCCTTCTTAACTCATCTTGTTCCCTTTCATGCCATGTATTGGAGAGGAGCATGTACCCAGCAAAGGGAATTTACTTTTGTGTGTGTCATACTAGTTAAATCAATGTGATATAAATGTCAGTTCATAAGTGAAACCATTTAAATGTGCATGTCACGCATAAAGCCGTAATCTTAAAAAAGAAAAAAAAGTTTGCACTATGTAGTATAACCTTAATATTAAATCCCTTGACACTATGATGTCATCTTAGCTGTTGGGCTATTTCTGAAAGCTGGGTTGACATACTGGAGGTTATATTTGTTCTTGCAAGATACCATTTGGGCAGGTTTTATGCTTCCAAACACATGAAAAGTAGAATTACCCAAGTTCTAAACTTGTTTGGTTTCAAAGAATAGAAGTAGTGTGGTGGGGTATGAGCTGCTCCCTTACTAGTGGTCATGCATTGCCCAGGGCTTTAACCATTGTCTTTTGAAATCTTCCAGTCAGTTCCTTCTTGATTGTGGTAAGCAAAAGAGCTCCCTTCATGAACTGTGACTATTCAGACACTGTTCTGGCTCTTCAGCCCATCTAGTGACACATTGTTTTGGAATTCTCTTAGTGTCCCTTCCTGACTGCCATTAAAGTCTACATTCCTTCCTTTTATTGTAATGTTAAAATTTTATTTTCAGGAGTCAAGGCCTTTTGGCCCCCTCTAACCAGTGAGCACTGATAGTCATCAGAGACACCAGAAGATCCATGACCCGTTCTAGTCTTTGTTTAGGCATTTACATACTTTGTCTTGTACATCGGCTTGCAGCACTTTGATGTCATGCATATAATTTTTTTTATGAAGACTTTTTGGTATTGGCTCTTTTGCTTTCTTAAAATGTTTTCCCAAAGGACTATGGTTCAAGGTAATCATGACCTATTGCCCAGGCGGGGAGTGCACATATTCGTCTAATCTAACAGGATGATCAAGGACGCCACTCTGGAAGCAGTCGAAATATCAATCTGTATCATCACTGGGATCACTAGGGCTCATGATAAACTGTCCAAAGTCACAGCTTGTCTCTAACAAACAAATGGAGCATATAGGAGTCATGCTAAGTATAGTTCAACTCAAAGCCTTCCTGCCCCATGTCAGAAAGAATCCAGGACACCACCAGTTCAGCAGAAAGGATGAGGAATAGCCAGCACCTGACAACTTGGACCATGGTAACAGTGCATTCATAAAACAGCAACGAAGAGTCCTGTGGCACCTTGTAGACTAACAGATGTATTGGAGCATAAGCTTTCGTGGGTGAATACCCACTTCGTCAGATGCAGCCTGATAGAACTTCGTCAGATGTCATAATAGCCTGATAGAGAGAACTTGAGTGGATACCAAAATACTAATGGAAGCAAGCAATACAGGGGACTTGTACTACATTTTGCAGAAGAATGATTTCTTTGGCTTGGGATGGGATTTGGCAGTCTCAATGGAGGCTGATAGGAAGGTTCTCTTGGTCTGTAATACAGCCTCAGAATAGACTGAGGAATTCATTATGTTTCAGCCTGTCTGAATCAGCCTTTGTTTTCTATCGACCTCAAATTTCCGCCCCTCTGTGTTTTCTTCCAGTGTAGGGTGTTAAAAAATAAGGAGATCAGTGTGGGTGACGGGGAGGAAGGGTCCATTTGGGGTCCAGTGTGTCAGTGGTCCAGGCTAATGTAGAATGTACATCATGCCCCAGTGGGCAGAGAGCTGAACGTAGTTTACCGGATGACGGATTTACATTAGAGGACGTGTGGCGAGCTTCATGGTTCACAGAGAAAGTGACAAATAATTATCTTGTCTCAGATCCCACTCAGTGTCAACCCGGGTTTGATTTATTGCAAAGGCAATGGAGCCTTCTGAACCAGTTTCATACCGAACATGGAATTTGTGATGCAGTAGAATTTCAGTGGCATTTTAGAGACAGTCCACTACATCAATGTGAGCAGCCACAAACCATGACACACGTTGAGGACTGCAAAATGACTCAACTTCCTGTAGGTCTTCATACCTTGAACATCGTTGATAAGGACACTGTGGCTTGGCTTGACCGGATCGCATACACCAAATAAGTAAACCTAGGCTGAAGATCGGGTTCCAGGTATGATGGCTGTGTGAGTTGGACCAGAGATGACCTGTGAAAGTTCTAGGAAGGCAAATGAAAAGATGTGTTTTGGGATTTCTGTATCTGCAGCCTTGTCAACGGGAGTGTTCTGATCTCCCAGGACAAGTCTGAAGTATTTCGCCACCACTGCTGACAAGATGTCAGTGAGCAACTTTAAGAATCCTTTTATCTATGATGGTCTGTAAATAAGCCTAAAATCTATGTTGGCTTTGGCTCTTGTCTCTGGCAGATGACTGAATTCAAATGAAGTTGTCTTACCTGAGGCACTTCTGAGCCATTCAGAACCTGTGAACTAAAGTTTCTTACAGAAGGTCATTTCTTGTTGCAATGACTTTAGCTCAGAGGGAGAACAAGCTTCAGGTCCTAATAACTTATCCACCTTATACCAGAGTTAACAAGAATAGTGATGCTGTAGACTTGCCAGAGATTCCTTTCCAAGGTGGTGTCAGATTTCCACCTTAATGAGCCTCTCATCCTGCCAACTTTTTTCCACTTACTATGTGCCCATCCCAGTATGGCCTTTATCTAGGCACTCAAAATTAAAAGGTCTTTTTTGTGACACTAATTCTGTGGATAATGCCATTACTCAAAATGGTCTGTGACTGAATAGTGTCTGTGACTGATGTGTTGCATTTCTCATTGCTTATGATCTGGCTGGCTTATTTAGTCCAAGACAGGGCAGTCTCTGATGTCTGCCTCAGGAATGTTTCTCACTCAGATATGTGCAAGGCAGCTACATGATCATCCATTTATATGTTTACAAAAATCAATTATTTGGATCCTAGTCTCTGTGGAGAGAGATTCTTGATTGTCTGGCATAATTTGTTTCTGAACTAGAGTCCAAACTTTCTTGCCTTTTGAATTTTTTTTATTTTGGGATGTTCTCTTTAAGAAGTCTATCTTAAGACACCACCTCAGGCTGTTGAAATGTTAAACCTGCTACTTCTGGAGGTACCTCCCCATTTTTTTTTATTTTTTTTTAAGCAGCACCCTGTTCATCTACATAGTTGGCTTTGGCATAGCTCTTGTCTCAATTTGCAATGTAACTGTTACTCTTTTGTTTAGGGATAACCCTTGAGCTACTTTCACTCCTGCCCAGATGGTATCTTTAGAAGAAGGCAAATTAATTAACCTGTAACCTGGTTTGGTGAACTGTGTAGCACATACTACCTGTGAGGAACGTTTGGGATGGCCCATGCCATGAACCTCTGCCCTTGGAAACCAAAAACGTGAGAGCTCGGAGGCTCTTAAACATTCAGTCCGTTCTCAAGTTTGAGAATCCAAACACAATATCTTCAGAAAAACAGAGCTACCACTTAAATTTTCCTTCCTATTTTTTGGTTTAAACATGTAGCTTAATTTACTACCTGTATATGATGCAGGAAGCAGAGGTAATTGGAGGTATTGAAACTCTGTATTTTTTGCTATACAATTTTGCAACCTTAATATTAAGTAGCTTTTGATGTTAAATCTTGCCATGTGCATAGCTGGTGCCAAGGGACAGCTGCTTATTTGTAGCTTGTTGTTTCAGTCCCAGCAGCCTCTAGAAGATCTGGATGCTCAGTTGAGAAGAACCCTCAGTCCAGAGACTGTCCCAGTGACATCTGCTCCTGCCTGTGTAAGTTTGCAGTGTTGGTGTTTAAAGCCTTTAGTTAAGAGTGCTTCCTTAAGTTTTTATGCTCTTGGATAGTTGCCTTCAGAAGCAGTGTGTCAAACTCTCTCTGGTCTTTTAAAATAAAAATGCTTTGATGCCTCAAAAGATAGAGTGCTGTGCAGGGAAACATACTTGTATGACTTACAAACTAGTAACTCTGGTAGGCTTTTTAATAGACTTTCTGGCCTGTTGCTAGAGGTGCCCTGATAAAACAAACAAAAAAAACCATTCATTAAGAAACTGTGAGAGCCTTTCTGAGGATGGAGCAATATAGGAGATCAGAATAAAGAATGACGTGTGACTGTCTTCTGAGTCTACAAGAAATGATTCTGATGTACTTGGGGGCAAAAGGTGCAGCTTGTGCTGGATTTTGTATTCCCTCATGGCTGACTACCAAGTAATGTTATGGTCCTTAAGGAGCCATGCAGTAAGGGGTGGTTGCAAATTTTAAGATCTAATATGAAAATAAAACTAGTCATTTGGAAAGGAGGTACTATATTCAGATGAATGTAGGCTCCTACTACTACAGTAAATAAGAGCTTGTCTACATGGAGGGCGGTGGTGGTAGTGGTGGGGGGAACGACTGGAATACCTAGTGCAAAGTAGGTATTCTGCACTAACTCCCTGTGTGGACACACTTTATTCCACACCAAGGGGTTGTCTACATGCGTACACCCAGGAAAACTAATCTGAATATAAAGTGAATTAGTTAAATTGCATTAAACCCCTGTGTGGACTGTCTCATTCAGAATGCATGTGGCCTTAATTTAAATAGGTGTTGCCCTTTAAACTTGGACCCTTAGCTATTTCATACCAACTTCCCCTTATAGATGGTACTAAAACTCCCTCAAGTTATCTAGAGGAGGAGCTCTGCTGAACCATTGGAGATAAAATTTGAAAACACAAACATATATCTTTATGCAAGATTCACTGAGATTACTTGTTACTTTTGCCCATGGTCATTCCTTTATCCTTAAGTAAGATGGAAAAATATTAATATTGCAGGATGCTTTAGGTAGGCTGTGGTAAGGATCAATGTAACAGCTAAAGGATTTTCTTTGTTTTTATAGCCTATGCCAGCAATGGCTTCTACAGCAGTTACTGGAGTGGTGTCTGCACCAGCACAGCCCCTGAAAGAAGGTATTTATGCTGACACTTGCCACCTCAGTCTTCTGAGGAATGTGAATGGACTTGCTGAACAAGAGGATTTGATGTTAAATGGCTGTCCTAAAACTGCAGGCTTTATTAGAGGAACTGGAAAGGCACTGGCTTTTGATGAACTAGACTAAAATTCTCTTACTGCAGGTCGAGAGGTGCAAGGGATATGCTAGCTTATTTAATTTTTAAAACTCTCCAAAAATAAGCTAAATCAAGATTTACAAGGACTCTCCGCTAAACCTACTGCTAAGGAACAATGTTAGGATTTGTAGAGTGAATGCCTCCTCTCTCTCATACTATATAGTCAGCAAGAGTGAGAAGACTATATTGCTAGTTTTGATCCTTCTGTGCTTTAACAGATCTTTAGGTATTTTCCTTCTTTCCACTGTGCAAAGAAGTGGAAATCTTCGTATGAGCAGTGCTGGGGAAAAAGATTTGCTTTCTGGTTTCATTTAGAGAAGTTGAGGACTTTCCAATCCTAATTTTATATCCAGCTGCTAAACAATTAATGATTGGACAGTTCTGTAAAGGTTCCAGAATGTTTCAGGTATTACACATTTCTGCGCCATAAATAAATAAACGCTGTAGCTAGCTAGCTCACTTGCTGGCTTACACTAGCTTGATAATATATTCACTTGTAGACAAAGAAGTTTTGTGGGGGAAGATATATTCCAAACGTTCTCCTGCCCAGTTTAGTTCAACGAACTTCACTTACCTTTTTATGAGAGAAGAGTGCTGCTGTACTGTTAAGAGTATTTCAAAACTAGTTAGAAGAGCTAAGATTAAAAGAAAAAATCAAATGCTGAGAATAATTTTTATTAATATACTCATTAATATACTGTTCTGTGAGATTTCCCTTGTGCAGCCAATGCTTTATGGCAGACCTTCAAGATTGTTTACGTAGGAAAACAGTCACATGTAGGGCTGCCTGCAATAGATTTCCCCTGGAAAATTGCTTCCTTACTTGAGAATACGTTCTCCATCCTGCTGAAGTTTATTAGAATCATTTTAATTGGAACACCATGTTGGACCGTCTGCTGAATAAGGATGACAAAGCAATTTTTAAAATTTTGAATGCCAGATCCGCAGTTGCACAACTGGTGTGATGGGCAGTAGTTGTATGCTCCCAATACTGGAACCAGGCCAGCCTTTGTTACAACTTACCACACACTCATGGTGATCCAGTTGCATCCCAGCTGCACGTATTGCTGGAGTGCAGAGGTGCTCAGTGCATGTTCTCCTTCCTCAGCCACAGCCCCCTACATCACAGGCTTTGAAAGTAGTTGTGTAGAGCCATTATGGCAACCCAAGAATTTCTCTTTCATTAGAGAGATCGCTAGGTAGCTAGTTCCACTAGTCCAACAGTGCAATGCAATTGGAGTGTGGGGGAGGGGAGTCCAAGAATCTGGCCCTGAAGATCTAAAATGAGAATATTATACTGACTAAAAATGATTCCCAGCATTTGATTTTTTTCTTCTTTGTTCATTTCTGTATTAATATACTTATTCTAAATTTTATACTGGTTTAATGCTTGGGTAATCAACATTTGACAGTGGATAAAAATGCCTAAAGGCGCTGGCCTTAACGGAATTTGCCACTATTGTCCCATTTAAACAGCAGTCGGTATCATTCACTAGTAAGCTACATTACTTCCCTGAATGACATGCCAGTTAATTATACTTCCAGATTACATGTATTATATTTAAGTGCCAGAATATGTTGAGTGGGATAACTATAGTGAAAACCAATTTGTCTTGAAATTGTGGTATGGCCTGGGGTATTACATACCCTGTTTCCCCGAAAGTAAGACATCCCCCGAAAATAAGACTTACTTCCAGTTTTGCCTCTCGCTGTAATATAAGGCATCCCCCCGATAATAAGGCCACCCCGGAATATAAGGCCCCGAAGCTCCAGGAAAAATAAGACCTCCCCTGAAAATAAGACCTAGCGCATCTTTGGGAGCAAAAATTAATATAAGACACTGTCTTATTTTCGGGGAAACAGGGTAATGTTCCTATGGGTGCTGCACTTCAGGCTCGCATGTGCCTTTGATAGGAGCCTTTTTGGTAGCAGTGCCAGTTAGTTCCACACATGCACCCCAACTATCTTCATGCCCCATACTGAAGGTATGTAGGGCAGTGTCAGATGAAGCACCCTCAGTTCCTTCTCAACTGCCTCAGCATGAGACAGCATGTTTTGGTGCCTGCTTCATAATTAGCTGTCTCTTAGGGAATAGCTTCTAGATTTTACATGTTATTTAGGTCTTAGTTACCCCCTGTTAATGTTTAATCTAGTTACAGTAGTTGTAGTTTTTGTTGAGACTTCTTCAAGAGACTCCTTTGTGGTGGTGTGGGGAGAAGTGGACCTGGGCCTGCCTTTCTTTGACGGAATTAATTTTCTGGTTATGCCTTGCTTATGTTACCTAGATTTAAAGGTTGCCTCACTTGCCTGGTGTCCATCCAAGTTAGTAATGGTCACTCTCACTGTATCAGCTGCTTAGGAGACACCAACATCCCACCTAAGTAAATTTGTTTGAGTCTTGAGTAAGTCTAGATGAGTCAGGGAGATTAATCTTAGGCTTCTCATGATGGAGTACTCCCTTCGACCTGCCTCAGACTCAGAAACCCCCTGGTAGAGCGATCTTCCAGTGAGCACAGTGCCCCATTGACCTTTGCTGCCTATTCATCCACTAGATCTTTGCGAGTGAGAACCACAGGATAGTACCAAGACTTCCAGAAGGATGAGCTCCAGATTGCCTTGAACAGAAGCCAGGGACAAAAAGCCTAGGTCACCACACAGACCTGCTGTTTGTGACTTCATGTCCCAGAAAACGTACCACTGAGGCTCAAAGGTCTCCTCTTATCAAGGCCCCCTCATCTAAATCTGCAGGAACCTTAAAGTCCCAGCATTCCTCGGTACCACCCAAGCATGGTTGTGGTGCTAATGATCCAAAAGACTCTGTCAAAGAGGTCAGTATTGAACATGGGTCCTGCTTCTAAGTTGCTTGCAGTACTCCAAGTTGATGTCTCAAGCTGATCGACCGGCATCATCGAAGCCAAGGTCATCCTCTGTACCACCACCACTCTGTAGAGTCTTGCTGGGTTTCTGCATAGATTCACTCAACCAGTACTGCAGGAGTTCAGATTCTGCCGTGGCTTGTGTGTCTCAGATGAACGAAAGTCTCCTTTACTAATGGGTGCAGAGGGACTGTCAGTACTGGAGCCTCATGTGTCACTGGTACTGCCTGGCTTCCACGACCCACTAAAAGAGACAGGCAACCTCCCTCAAGGTCATACCTGTCTGCTCCTTCCTTGGACTGTGAAGAATATAGTTCCTCGGACTCTCAAATTTCTATCAGAGGCTTGCTCGATTAGCAGCCCAGAGCTGCCTCTCTTGATGTTTTTTGTGAGAGAAGCTCCAAAGCCCGGCCAAACTCCTCATTCCTCTTGTATGATCAATCCTGGATGCCCCCTCCTTTTCCTTATGGCCTCCTTCAGTGGTCATATTGGGACCAGTGGGCTGCCTATAGACAACAGTTCTCTAGAGTACCCAGTTACACCCATGGGAGAGTATCAGACAATCACACCTACTTCTCTTGTCCCTCCAAATCAATCTCTACCCCAGGAGGAATCTTTCAAGGAACAGGAGAGAAAAGCTGATGAGGACGCTACTTACTAGTCTAACATTTTTCTCCTCACCTGATGAGACAGTGATGCTTTCCCCCCATGTGCTGATGATTAAGCAAGTCCAAGAGGTCAGAAGAGAATTGCTGACTTCCTTTAAAGGGATTTGGAAGAGAGTTCATGAGATTAGCACAACCTCTTGGACATCCTCCAATCTGCCACTTCTGTTTGGGAATCCTTACCTGTAAACAAGGCCTTGCTTGAACCTGCCAGAACAATTTAGTAATCCCCAGTTGCCATTTCTCCAACTTATAAGAGGATGGAAAAAAAATATGTTCCTGCTCAAGGCACTGACTTTTTGTTCATTCACATAGCCCCCAGCTCCTTGGTGGTGGATTTTGTGAACAAAGCTGCTACACATAAGGTCCACAAATGCCTAGACCTCTTTGGCCACAAAAGTTATTGTTCAGCTTCGTTGCAATTTAGAATCTCCAATTATCAAGCCCTGATAGCAAAATATAACCACACCAACTAAGGAAAAATAATTTTTTATTGATCATCTGCCTCAGGAATGAGAGCAATTTCAAGCGATCGTCACGGAAGGTCACTTGCTAGCCAGAACTTAGGTACAGGCCTCCCTAGACATGACCCACATGATAATCAGATCTGTTTCTACAGTGATTGTCATGCATCCTGCCTGTTGGATGTGATACTCAGGAATCCAGAGGGAAGTCCAAAATACTGTAGAGACCTTCCTTTTGATGGGCTCAAGCTCTTCAGTGAGTGCACCAATGAATCCTAGCGAGAATGCAAGGATTCAAGGGCTATTCTCTGCTTCTTCAGCTCCTACACACCTGCAAATAAAAGGAGATTCAGCAGTCATAGATGGTACAGAGATCCTGCCCAGCCTAGTTCCCTGCTTATCACAGGCCTTGGGAACTGCCTAAGAGGAGACTTGGGTTCCCAAAGAGAGAAGTCTGCCACCACAACTACCATAACTCATGCTTCTTTGTCACCCAAGAGTCAATTTTGATTTGGGTCAAGAACTGTCCTCCCTTCAGGATGTGAAGCTGTATTATTTTGCCTCCTCCCTCCCACTGTTGCAGATTCTCTCTCCCATCTCTGATCTGTATGGGAGCAGTTTATTTCTGACAGATGGGTTTTGGAGGTCATAACATTGGACTAGTCTATGCATTTCATCTCCACTCTCCTCATCCTTTCTCAGGGTCCCATCTCATGAATATCTGCTGAGACAGTTCTATCCCTTTTCCACATGGGCAGATACTGGTTCTACATCTCTTAACACAGAGGGGAGAGGGGTCTATTCCAAGTACTTTCTGGTTCCCAAAAAAAAAGGTGGATGGAGACCCATCTTAGATCTCAGATTGTTAATCACTTCCTGAAAAACACAAGTTCAGGATGGTGACACGTGCAGCTATAAAACTATCTCTAGAGCTGGAAGATGGATTCTCAGCTGTTGACTTACAGGATGTGTATTTTGATATCATGATGCATCCTTTTTGCAAGAAGTTTCTGCACTATGTGGTTGGCTGGGAGCACTTCCAATACTGAGTGCTCCTTTTTGGACTTTACTGCCCCCAGAGGATTTATGATGGTTCTGGCAATGGTAGGTGTTCAATTGCAATGATAAGCAGTTGGCTCCTTAAGGGCCATTTTCACAACAAAGTTCTTTTTGCAGTGAGGAAGGCTATGTCACTATTGGACAAGCTAAGGCTTCAGCTCAACAAGGAGAAGTCTACTTTAATATCTCTTTAGTGAATAGAGTTTATACAAGCCACATTAGATGCCAAAGCATCCAGAGTTTACCTACTGATGGACAGGCTTATGGCATTAACGAATCTGATCTTGCAGGTTCAAATGAGACCGCAAACAATGGCAAGAATTTTTCTGCAGCTCCTAGGTCATTTGGCAGTCTGCACCTTTGTCATGCCATGGTTGCACCTACACTACTTCCAGGGATGGTTGAGAACGGTTTACACCCCCAACAAAGTCTGAACAAACTAGTATCATTCCCTCATCAGGTTCTAGATTTGCTCAGTTAGAGGAAAGACCCGGGCAAGGTCTGTGCTGAAGTTCCTTTTACTCTGTCTCCCTCCACCACAGCATCAGATACATCTCTAGTGGGATCCAGGAGCTCATCTTCAAATGCATAGCACCAAGGCAAATGGACCGCCCTAGAATCCACTCTGCATATCAACCTTTTGGAACGTAAACGGGTCAGATTTGTGTGCAAACACTTCCTTCCCATGATCAAGGACCAGTCCGTCAAGATCATGACAGAGCCAGCATATGCTATATAAATTTGCCAAGAAAGAGGAAGATCTCCCTGTCTTTGTGTGGATGCGTTAAAACTATAGAACTAGTGCATAGCCAATCAGACTCGTATCTCAGCCTCATACTTACTGGGTCTTCAGAACACCATAGCAGACTGCTTGAGCAGACGCTTCTGCCAGGATCAGGTGTGGGAAACCAACAATCTGATTCTCAACTGTATATTGCTTACTTGGGGTTTTCTGGAAATAGCCACTGCCAATAAACAAAGTGTTGGAAATTCTGCTGCGGGTTGGGGTGGGCTAAGACCTCAATCTCAAGTAGTTGCCTTCCTCATTTCCTTGTTGAAGAACCTCCTCTACACCTATTCACCACTGCCACTGCTCATCAGAGTCCTAAACAGAATTAAGCAGGACATAGCCAAGGTCATCCTAATTGCACCGACTTGGCCAAGGCAAATTTGGCTTCCCTACCTGATTTGCCTCACATCTTGCTCGGCACTACAGCTACTGTGACTATTCACGAGCTGGTAACTCAAGATTCTGGGCATGTTCTTCACCCCAGTTTGAACACACCGCAGCTCAGTGCTTGGTTTCTAGATATTTCTCTGGGTTAGAAGTTCGAGACCGGTACAAAAGGTTTTGTTGAGTAGCAGAAAAACATAAGCTACAAAAACTTACCTAGAGAAAGGTTCCATTATTGGTGAATTTTGTCCCTTGTTGATTCTTCCCTTTTGGTTGTGTTTCCTGTGGAGTTTAAAGAATTCAGGTCTCTCTGAGTTCTGTTAAAGTTGATTTAGCAGCTATCACAGCTTTCCATTCTCCCGTTGAAGGGTTTTTAGTGTTTGCTCACTCCACATCTTCCAGATTCATCAAAGGGTTAGCTAACCTTTCCCCATATGTCAGAGAACCCACTCTTGCATGGGACTGGAACTTGGTCCTCAACTTTTTCTTGAAACCTCCCTTTGAGCCATTAGCTGAGTGTTTCCTTTTACACTTGTCTGTGAAAGCTGCATTTTTAGTGGGTATATCTGCTTAGAGAATTGGCTCATCTCCCCCTACACAGTTTTCCATAAAGTATCTCTGGCCACATAGCTGACTTTTAGCCAAGGTAACCTTGGACTCTGATATCGATCAGATCATTTACCTACCAGATTTTTAAGCTTATCTTCATCTGACAAAGGAGGAGGCAGCCCTTCATGCTTTAGACATCAGGAGAGAATTGAGTTTTTATTTGGAAAGGACAAAATCCTTTAGGGGCCCCTCTTTTTAACCAAAGACACTCTACGTGGATTTCTGGTTGTATCCCCTCCTTCTGTGAGGCTGCTAATGTTCAGTCTCCTTTTAGGGTTATAGCCCATTCCCCTAGATTTCAATCTGCTTCCATCGCTCTGCCGAGAAAGGTGGTTCTTGAAGAAATAGGCAAAACTGCCACAAGGTGTTTATAAACATTAAAAGTCTTAGACCAGGCTCTAAAGTATCCACCTCCTTTAGGGAATAGTGCTCGAGAGTTAAGTGAAGTTACTCCTGGAGGAATTCTGTGCATAGAATTCCGCGCCCCCCCCCCCCCGCCCGAGACTGGCTCCCCAGCTCATACTGTGCAGGCAGGCTGCAGTTCCTGGGTTTGACAGCTCTGCTTGGTCACATGGTGCAGGCGGGCCCCCTTCCTCCATGGCAGCTGCTGGAGCCTGCAAGCTGCACCCCACAGGAACAGGCAGGAGCAACAGCTGGGAGCTGCAGGGTGGGGCCACTGCTTTCCGGGAGGGGAGACTGAGGATATGGGTGCGAGCCTGCAGGGGAGAAGTGTGACTGGAGCTGTTCCAGGGGCGGCTGAACCTTTGAATTGTGCTCCGCCCCTCCCCCCCATCAGCAGGTACGAGTCGTCTCTGCCCCGCAGGACAGTAATGAAGCTGTGTGGAGCGGAGCCTGCGGCTGGGCTCTGGGGCAGTGTGCGCACGTGTCTGGATCAGGGGGCCCTGTGCAGCCCACTCCAGCACCCCCAAATACCTTCTCCAAGTACACACCCACACCCCTCCAGCTCCCCCTAAATATCCTCTACAGCTTCCCCCTCCCTCCTGCAGTGTCCTCTATTTGGGGACTTGAAATATGGTAACCCTGAGGAAGTAGGGTGAAAAAATGAGAATCGACTAAAAGACCAGAGGGGCAGAGTTTCCCCCCAAGATGTGCCCTGCTGGCACATGTAACACACCCAGACTGAGGGGCCTGACAAAAGCATAACAGAGAAACAGGAACCAGGTTGTTGTAGCGGTTTCTTTAACTCTCTACTCATGGGAGAATGTTTTTTGTTGTCTGTATTGTTACAGACATACTTGCTGACAGGTGTTTTGAAATAAATTACCAGAATAATTGAAACTGGTGTGATTATATTGTGTTGTTTTGACAAATAAAATATACAGAATTTTGCAGAATTTTTAACTTTTTGGTGCGGCATTCCCCCCAGGAGTATGAAGTGGAGTACCCAAGGGTTATGGGGATTTGAATAACTTTCTAACACTGAGTATTTGATCTGGATAAAGAAAATTGCTGTTAAAGTCCAGATAACTCCATCTCCTCACCTTTGTCCCCAAATACAAAACCCCTTGTGTTAATTTTGTCCTTATTTTGTAACAGAAGACATTCTCCCATATCTACACTTTTTCAGAGAAGTGAAGTTAATGAATTGACTTCAGTAAATTATGTAGTTGTGATGCACCTGGTGCCAAGCTGTTTTATCTTCCATTAGTTTGAAGGCATTTAGCATTTGGATTGGGTAAGGCAAAACCCTGGAGTAGTTCAAAATAGAACACAGCAGATGACCCTAGGAGGAGGAATTGGAAAACAAAGATTTAGATCAGTCCAGTGGCGTGTTCTGCTGTGTAACTGGTCAATCCAGTGTGAGACTGGTCCTCAGATATTTCAGACTAATACTTTGATGGGTCTAAAAATATATGAATTGAACAGGCCATGTTTTATTGTAGCTCAGTTTAGTTGAATTATTGCTTGTGATCGCTCTTCATTCCTGCACTTTAGAAGTCGGATAGGAGGTTAAAGAAAGGGTGGTGAGCTCAAGTAATGATGGCATTATAGAAAGGAGACTGGGTGCAGCAGTGGGAGAAAGTGTTTGTCTCAAGTGGGAGAAAAAGAAACGCAAAAACTTTAACTTTCTCTTCCCTGCCACTCTCCTTTTTCTCAATTTCAGCATCACAGGATGCAGACAGCAGTGCAACGACTACCACTGCAGGAGCTGGAGTTTTTAAGATGGGACGATTTCAGGTAGGAAAATGTTACTTTGTAGATTTACTCTGTGACCAGGGCATTGATCCAGGAATCTCACTTTTTGTTATGGCAAAGCAGTAGGGCCCAGATTTTTCAAGGTATTTAGGGCATTGCTCCACTCAGCGTTGCAATACCCAACTGATTTTGGAGCCTAAATCACATTTTCAAAAGTGGTTTAGGCACATACATGCCTAAAACCCGTTGGCTGTCGATTGGATTTAGGCTCCTAAGTGCCTAAACCACTTTTGAAAAGGAGATTTAGTTTCCTGAATCAGTGGGGCGTTGCAATGGTGAGTGAAGCAGTGCCTAAATACCTTGAAAAATCTGGGCCTTCTTGATTGGTACCAGCTCCTGGCACACCATTTTACTGGGAGGAATTGCCACTATCGAGTTTGACAGGAATTCATTTTTCTATTCATGAACTCTACTCCCAGTCAGGGTTAACATCACACTTTATTGCAGCATTTTCTGGTTTGTGACCTTGGCATTCTGAGACAACTGAAGCCTTGAAATAAGTCTTAACTATGCATTGACTTTGCTATTAGTAGTCCAGATCTTTAATGTTGGCCACATTATGGCTAATGTGACATTGGTGCACTCTGCTGTATCATTCTCTAAGTTTGGTTGTGAGGGAATCTTACTGAAAGATGTAGTTCTTGGAAGAACAAATGTGGGTGTGTATGAAACCAGTTGAAATGGCTTAGCACCAGACCAGATGATATTTAGCCTTTACCTCGAACTCTGGGATGAGTGGGTATGTGGCCAGGAAAAGGAGAAGGCACCTTGTTTGCTGTGCTCAAGGCAGCTGGTTACTTTTCCCAGTTTGACATATTTCTGACCATAGAGGTCAGCTAGAGCCTGTCCTATATATTACTGTGAAGGGTTCAGAATGCTGTGCTCACTTAGTGTTTCCATCACTTCTAGGTGTCTGTGGCAGTGGATAGTGTACTGAGGGAGAGTGACGGTAAACCTGAAGAAACTAAGCCTGTGCATTTTGAGACAACCTCCTCTGATTCATCTTTGTCTGGCAGCAGTCCAGAGAGTACGCTTGTGAAGCAGACTTCCAATGGGACAACAGAGGCTACCACTGGTACCTCCTTAGATGTGACAGATGATGCTGTTTCACAGACCTTTCCTGTCATACAATTGCCATTAGAGGCTGGGCAGCCAACTAAAGTTGGGCGCTTTCAGGTGACGACAACAACAGACCAAGTGGGTCGCTTTTCTGTGTCCAGGACTCAAGATGAGCTCACCTGTGTGGAGAGAGAACCCCCAATGACTCTTCCTCTTTCTGTGGATTCAGAACAAATTTCTCTTCCAGCCATGACTCCAAAGAAAGAGGTTCCAGAATTGGTGGAGCCAAGGCAGTCTCCGCTTATGAATGGGCCATCATCTGATCTGGAGGCTGCCTTCCTGAGTGGAGCGGCTCAGGAACTCGATGATGGCTCAGGTAGCCCAGACTCTCTCCAACCACTGGGTTCAAAGATCAGCCTCCCCATCCAAAGCTTTAGCAACTCGTTGAATTCTTCCTACATGAGCAGTGATGAGTCAGATATTGAAGATGAAGACTTGAAATCAGAGCTACGCCGGTTGCGGGAAAAGTAAGATTTCTTCTTTGAGAATGATGTTTGTGTGAACTGTAACAGTTGCTTAGTCCTTTTTCCGCTTTCCTTTATGAGCACTCTGACCTGCCATACAGAGGAGAAATTCAGACTGATTTTAGAATGAGCCTCTGTTAAATATATTTTTCTGTAGTAATTGCCAGAGTTTTCACATAGGGTAAAATTAGTTTACTGATAAATGAATGTGATGGTTCTTCTTTGAGTGATTTGCTCATATCGATTCCAATTAAGTGTGTGTGCACCACATGCACAGTCATTGGAAAGTTTTTCCCCTAGCAGCACCCGTCGTATTGGCTGTGGAGCCCCCTGGAGTGGCGCCTTCATGGCGCTCAATATATGATCCTGCTGACCCAGTGCCTCCTCAGTTCCTTATTACCGCCAGTGATGGTTGTTGGAACTGCAGTGACTTGCTTAGCAAGCTCTTCTCATTTTCCCTAGCTTTCAGTTTAGTTTAGTTTGCAGTTATTCCTAGCCTCGTTAAGTTTAGTTTTAGTGTTTTCGGTTGTTACAGCAGATAGCGGTTGGGAGTGGGGTGTCTTCCCCTTCGCCCCGACCATGTTCCCCATTGGGACTCGGGGTATGCCTAAATCCCAAGAGTTGAAACCCTGCAAGTCCTGCAACAAGACCATGCTAACAGGCAACCCCCACAACGCTTGCTTAAAGTGTCTGGGGGAAGCACACCAAACTGACAAGTGCAGGATTTGTAAAGGGTTTCACCACAGAACAAAAAAGGAGCGAGATTTTTTTGCCTCAAGCAGCCCCTTATGGAGGCGGTACTTAAACCGCAACCTACATTGGCACGGCAAGACCCGGCACCAAGCTTGTGGGTGCGCAGCGCCCTGGCGGCAGTGGTAGAAGCGGCACTGCAGAAGGACTTTGGGAGAGACTCGCGACACCGCCGCTCACTGGCACCAAAACCAGCGGGATTGACCCGGCACCGGTCTCATTAGCCTCCTTGTCATCCTCCCCGGATGAGGCGGTTGCAGGCACCTCAATCTCTGGACCGCCCCCCCCCCCCCATAGACAGTCGTGCCCACCAGGACCTCCTTCGTAGGGTGGTGCAAAATATGGGTCGAGGAGGTGGTGGAGTCGGAGGACCCGATGGTTAACATCCTGGCCCCGGAAGGCCCGTCGAGGGTGGCTCTACCCCTCATCAAGACTATACAGGCCAATGCTAAGACCATTTGGCAGACCCCGGCCTCCATTCCTCCCACCGCAAAGGGTGTAGAGAGGAAGTATTTTGTCCCATCTAAGGGGTACGAATACCTCTCCACACACCTGCAGCCTTGCTCATTGGTGGTGGCTGCAGTAAATGAAAAGGAGAGGCAGGAACAACAAGCCCCAGCGCCTAAGTCCAAGGATGCCAAGAGCCTAGATTTATTTGGGTGCAAAGTGTATTCCATGGGGGGTTGCAACTCAGGATTGCCAACCAGCAGGTAATTCTGAGTAGATACAGCTTCAACTCCTGGAACTCGATGCTCAAGTTTAAGGAGCTGGTGCCAACAGACTCCAGGGAGGAGTTTGGAGCGATAGTGGAGGAGGGCAAGGCGGTGGCAGGGACCTCCTTTACAGGCCTCACTGGACGCTGCAGACTCAGTGGCTTGCACATTGTCCTTCGGTATTGCCATGAGATGTAGCTCATGGCTGCAGGCCTCGGGACTCCTGCCCAAGGCTCAACAGACCATGTAGGACCTGCCTTTTGATGGGGGCAGGTCTGTTTGCAGAGCAGACTGACTCTAGGCTGCATAGCCTAAAGGACTCCAGGGCTACCATGAAATCCTTGGGTATGTACACCCCGGCAACCCAATGTAAACATTTCAAGCTTCAGCAGCAGTGTTACTATCCTCGGCTGAGGCAGAACTTTTATAGAAAGGGGGGCAGGAATGGCAGACACAAGCCTTCCCACCCCCCGCCCGGGTAGGGCCAGGGCCCGACTAAACCATCATCTGGTTCAAAGCAGGTCTTTTGAAGGTGCACCTGAGGACGGCGCACCAGCCGCAATTCTGGATCCTTCCCCATCTTTCTTGAATCATCTGTCCCACTTCTGATGTGCTTGGGCCCAAATAACTTTGAACTGCTGGGTTCTCCGTACCGTAGAATTGGGATATTCTCTCCAATTCTGCTCCTACCCTCCCTCTCATCCCGCTTCCCTGTCCCTCTTTAGGGACTCTTCTCACGAGCAATTCCTTATCCAGGAGGTGTGGGCGCTCCTTGCCATGGGAGCAGTGGAGGAGGTTCCTCAGGAACTATGGGGCAAGGGATTCTATTCCCTATACTTCCTAATCCCCAAAGCCAAGTGGGGAAGGGGTCTCAGACCCATTCTAGGTCTGCGAGGACTCAACAAGTTCATGGTAAAGTTGAGGTTCCGCATGGTCTTCCTGGGCACAATTATCCCTTCTCTGGATCCAGGAGGCTGATACGCCACCCTCAACATGATAGACGTGTGCTTCCATTTAGCTTATTGGGCCTGCATACAGACGATTCCTACAATTTACGGTCCTTCCATTCGGCGTCTCAACAGCCCCCAGAGTGTTCACCGAGTGCACGTCGGTTGTGGCTGCTTTCCTCTGTCGGAGGCAGGTGCAAGTATACCCCTACCTTAACGACTGGCTGCTCAGGGGCCGCACCAGGGGGCAGATGGACTCTCAAGTCCGATGAGTCAGATCCACATTCGAGAGACTGGGTCTCCTCCTCAGCTTGAACAAGTCAACCTTGTCACTGACCCAAAGAATAGAATTCATCGGGGTGGTGTTAGACTCGGTTCAGGCAAGAGCACTTTTGCCAGAGTCCCAATTCCAAGCCATGACAGACATCATTCAAGGCCTCAGGCAATACCTGACCACTACAGCAAGGGGATGCCTGAGTCTCCTCGGCCTCATGGCAGCCTGCACTTACATGACCGGCATGCTAAACTGAGGCTCAGGCCTCTACCGGCGTGGCTCGTTTCGGCCTATCACCCAGGAGGCGACAGCCTGAATTCAGTGGTTACGGTGCTGGGACAGGTGCCAGGGTCCCTTCAATGGTGGCTCCACCCTCGGACAGTGTGCGAAGGAGTCCCCTTCAACAGCCCTCCTTGTCCCTAGTAAGGACGCGTGAGCTCTGGGATGGGGTGTGCATTTGGGAGACCCCCAAATGCAGGGCCTTTGGTCGCAGGACTAGCTTGCCCTCCATATCAACATTAAGGAGCTGAGGGCAGTGCGACTAGCATGCCAGACCTTTCAGGCCTGACTACAAGGTCAGTGCATAGCAGTTCTGACTGACAACACCACTGCCTTGTTTTACATCAACAAGCAGGGTGGAGCCTATTCCTCTCCCTCATGTCGGGAAGCCCTCTGGCAGTGGGAGTTCTGCATAGCCCACTCCATTCACCTGGAAGCGTCCTATCTACCAGGAGTTCAGAACGTGCTGGCGGACCACCTCAGCAGGTCCTTCAGCAATCACGAGTGGTCCATCTGCCCGGATGTCATATGCTCCATCTTCTAAAGGTGGGGGTGTCATCAGGTCAATCTGTTCAACACTTGGAGCAACAAAAAGTGCCCAATGTTCTGCTTCTTCCAGAAACACAGCCCAGGCTCAATCACGGACGCATTCCTCCTACCGTGGGAGGCTGCCTGCTCTACGCTTTTTTTCCCCATTCTCTCCCGTGCACAAGGTCCTACTCAAAGGTCCGCAGGGACAGGGCAGAGATAATTCTGGCGGCACCAGCGTGGCCTCGACAACATTGGTACACCACACTCCAGGAACTGTCAGGGGATGCCCCGATTTATGTTGCTTCTCCTACCTGACCTGATCATTCAGGTCCACAGTAGTCTTCATCACCCCCCAACCTGCAGTCCCTCCATCTCATGGCTTGGAAGCTTCATGGATGAACCCCATGGAGTTTCTGTGCTCAGAATAGCTAAGGGAGGTCCTACTTGGCAGCAGGAAGCCCTCACCTAGAGCCACTTATCTGGCAAAATGGAAAAGATTTACTTGTTGGTATGACTAGCATCGTACATCCCCCTCTTCAGGCACCTATACCTCTTACCTTAGAGTACCTTCTGTGCCTGAAACAGCAAGGCTTGGCAGTGTCCTCCATAAAGGTACACCTCGCTGCTATTTTGGCTTTCCACCCAGGAGCATCTGGACGCTCCGTCTTCGCCAACCCTATGGTTGGTTGGTTCCTCAAGGGTCTAGAACAGCTACATCCCCAGATCAGACAGCCTGTCCCCATGTGGGACCTTAGCCTGGTCCTCTCCAGGCTAATGGGCCCCCCATTTGAACCGCTGGCGACTTGCTCCCTTCTCTGTCTGTCGTGGAGTTAAAGGCCCTTACCACAGACCCACCTTATACGGTTTTCCACAGGGATAAGATGCAACTCAGACCTCACCCGGCCTTTCTTCCTAAGGTTGTCACACTTCCACAGTAGGCAGAACATTTTCCTGCCTGCTTTTTATCCTAATCCTCATGCCAGTAGCCATTAGCAGAGACTGCACTCCCTGGATGTTCGACGAGCACTAGTCTTCTACATCGAGTGCAGGAAGTCGAACCAGTTGTTCATAGCGCTGGCAGACTGGATGAAAGGATTCCCGGTCTCATCTCAAAGAATATCTTCCTGGATCACGTCATGCATCTGCACGTGCTATGAGCTGGCCAAATTACCAGCCCCAGCTCTTACTGCACGCTCCACGAGGGCTCAGGCTTCATAAGCTGCGTTCCTGGGTCAGGTCCTGATACAAGAAATCCGCGGGGCGGCAACTTGGTCCTCAGTACATAGATCACCTCTCACTACACCATCATCCGGCATGCCAGAGATGATGCAGCTTTCAGCAGAACGGTGCTCCAATCAGTGATTCCATAACTTTGACCCCACTGCCTAGGTAAGGCTTGGGAATCGTCTAATTGGAATCAATATGAGCAATCACTTGAAGAAAAAATGGGTACTCACCTTCTCGTAACCGTTGTTCTTCGAGATGTGTTGCTCCTATCCATTCCAAACCCACCCGCCTTCCACTCTATCGAAGTAATCAGCAAGAAGGAACTGAGGAGGCACAGGGTCATATATTGAGCGCCATAAAGGCGCCACTTCAGGGGGCTCCACAGCCAACCCGACGGGTGCTGCTAGGGGAAAAACTTTCCGACTACTGCACGCAGCGCGCACACCTAATTGGAATGGACGTGAGCAACACATGAAGAATAACAGTTACGAGGTGAGTAACTTTTTTTTCTATAAATACACACCCCTACTTTTTATGCTCAGTTTTAACTGATATCTCTTGTGTATAAATGTGTGTCACAAGTTGACCTAGTCAGGTGCCAGTGTCTCCTTTAAAATGGAACTTAGGTTCCTAAACCACCTAAGGGAACTTGAAAATGTTATCCTGAGCCCATAGGGATAGGGACAAAGACGTCCGAGAAAACTGAGCTGCCTGAGTTCTTGTGTTATTTTCTAAGATAGGCTAGACTTCATGCATAAGTGCCTGTGAAGAACACCCACCCACGTACGTGTGTGTATATTTTTAAGGATAGCTGACAGTTTTAGATCTTGTACATATAAAACATCAGAAGAATCTGAGTCAATACCAAGCCGAGTGGAAATTTCAAAGCACTCATGTCTTAGGAAAGTGAGTGTGAATCTTGCCAGCCCTACAGTGTTTATGCTGAAGCTCCAGACCTTATTGATGATCCATCCCCGCTCCCCTTCCTGGCTTTATCATTGTTATGCTAACAGGCAAACTGTACGTCAGAATTCTAGCCAATGTTACAATTTCTATAAGGGGAATGGAGCAAGTGATTTTTGTGTGTGTGGCATCCAGCTTGCTAATTGTGGCTAAGATTTTCCACCCTCAGAAAGAAAGCCGTTCAGTGGGATGGGACAGGACTGTTAAGTTCTTATTCATGTTCTTAACTCTTTAGGCACTATAAAGAGATCCAGGAGCTGCACAGTCGCCAGAAGCAGGAGATTGAATTGCTGTACACCAAACTGGGAAAGGTCCCCCCTGCAGTAATCATCCCCCCAGCTGCTCCTCTCTCAGGGAGAAGGAGGAGACCTACTAAAGGAAAAGGCAGCAAATCCAGCCGCAGCAGCTCCCAGGGTAATAAGAGCCCTCAGCTGCTAGGTAAGGCACCCTCAGGTTTCAGTACCAATGTGACACGCAGGGTAAATTGTTTATTAGAACCTTTTGATTCTGTCCTAACTCTTTTTACAATAGATCATGGGACACCCTCAACCCACAGGATTGAGGGGTGGTTGGTTGAGGTGATCTCTTGCCTGTCTCTCAGAGGAATCTAACTCACTGAGAGTCTCATCTGGGTTTGTACATCTCACTGTTTTTGCACAGCATACGAGTCTGCTAGGTTCCTCTCAGTCTGGCCTTGGAGAAAGGCCTTTTTCATATAAATCTTACTAATGGTGTTTTGTAGACTTGCTGACCACTTTGGTTTTTTAGTAGGGCTGTCAAGCGATTAAAAAAATTAATCTCGATTAATCGCACTGTTAATAATAGAATACCATTTATTTAAATAGTTTGGGATATTTTCTACATTTTCAAATTGATTTCAATTACTACACAGAATACACAGTGTACAGTGCTCACTTTATATTTATGATTACAAATATTTGCAGTGTAAAAAAAAAATAGTATTTTTCAGTTCACCTAATACAAATACTGTAGTGCAGTGTCTTTATCATGCATGTTATAATTACAAGTGCAGAATATGTACAAAAAAAACCTGCATTCCAAAATAAAACTATATAAAATGTTAGAGCCTACAAGTCCACTCAGTCCTACTTCTTGTTTAGCCAACCACTCAGACAAACAAGTTTGTTTACATTTGCAGGAGATAATGCTGCCGGCTTCTACTAGCACTAGTCATAGTGCTTCTGCTGGCAAGAGCTGGGGATTCCAGTGTCAAAGGATGAAGCCTAAAGCATAGGGGAAAAAGTCAGACAAACTTATTTTTAGTAGGGCCTCTTGATCCCTCCAGTTTAATTCCTGGTTGTTCTCGTCACATTTTAAAGATGGACTTTCACAGTGGAGCTAATTTTGAAGTAGAAAATTGTACTTGGTGGTATTTCTGTTCCTTTGACTGCTGTTGCAGATGTCTTTATTTTCTTTAATAGGTGCTTAACAGCACAGCATCTCGTTGTCTCAGTGAAGTTATCTCATTTTTTGACGTCAGTCTGCTGTGGAAGTGACTGCAGTGTCACAAATTAAGCATCTCATGTAATTACAAGATTAAATGAGGAAAAGATGGATTGTGAGGGAAGCCATTCTTATTAAAACACACAAGTTTTCCTAACTAGCAACAGTAGTCAGAAAAAATAGGTCCATGAAAATCAAAGTTCCTTCCCCAGCACATGTGAAAATCCCTCTAAAACCCTGTGAATGTCATTGAGCACATGGATATGGGAAGGCCAGCATTGTGAATGGAAATATTAGTTGAAGTGGCTGCTATGCTCTGGGTTCAGAGTCCACAGGGCACATATCTTCAACTAGTGAATTTTCCTTCCACAAACTGCATCAGTGGTCTTTGTGAAGTGGGTTGGTGGTCAGCCTAGCAATTTTAGCATTAATTGGCCTGCCTGTTAGTAGTCTCAGTGCGAAGACCAAGGATTGAATGGAAGTTCAGTATCCATTGTCCATTTTACTGACAGAAGAGGTGTCTCCAGGTCAAGGTGGTAGTGCATTGGCAGGGTATTTTGGGAAAGCTTTCACTGTCTGTATCTCTTTTGTGGATAAGTAGGATTTTCTGTCTCCAGTGCTGTCAGCTTCTCATATGACGACAACACCAAACTTTTTTTTTTAAAAGATCAGATTTATAGATGACACTCCCAAAGACTTGTTTAAATATTTCACTATTCTAAGAATGAGATGCAAAAATCCCTGCTGTTATATCTTCTCTAAGAACTGTTACGTGAGCGGTGTATTCTGACCTAAAGGGCTCACAGAACAGAAGATGAATCTCCATACCAATGAATGAGCTAAAACTACTATAAAGCAGTCTTTCGCTTTCAAAACCAGATTCTCAGTAATAGACTGGCATCTGTCAAAGTAATGAGACACCTTTTCTCCCCATGCTCCGTCACCTGCACTGCTTAATTCTGCTCTTGCATGCAATGGAGGACCTATCTTGACACACACTGAGGCAGAACAGGGCTGTAATTAGAGGCCTTTCTAAAAAAGTTATTCCAAATTCTACTCCTGGCTCCTTTCTCAGCAACAGCAAAGTCCCCTCTGTATCCTTTGGTCAGGCATGTTAATCTAGAATTCTGGCAAAAGGGTGAAGGCCCTTCCTTGGGATTTTCCTGCTGATCTTACATTCTCAGCATTTCTCCCTTATCACTCCTACAAGTCCCTCCCAGTGATCGATTTTAGTTCTAATTTATTCACTGCAGATTTTTCCTGCTAAATCTCCCAAGCATTCATCAGCTCTAGACACATTGCCTTCTGGCCAATGGGAACAATGGAAAAGCCTCTGAGGTGAGGTGGGGAAACTGAATGTCTATATTGTCCTGTATCCTGATTCTTATTTCTTTTTATAGGCAATCAGTCTTCTCAGAGTGCCCCCTCAGTCTTGCCCCCCCAGCAGACCCTTCATCCTCCTGGAAATGTCCCAGAGATTGGGCAGAACCATCTGTTACAGCCCCTTAAACCATCTCCTTCTAGTGAGAACCTCTACTCTGCCTTCACCAGTGATGGTGCTATTTCGGTACCAAGCCTTTCTGCACCAGGCCAAGGTAAGAACTTCTATGGAATTAATGCTAAGTCTTATACCAGGGAGTTCTCAGCCTCAAAATACAGTAGATTGACTTCAGAGTATGGCCTGTGTTTAGAGACTGATCAGGGTGTTAGTCTGTCTCTTTGTGAGGCCTAGCACACTATTTGCAGTTAGATTTCTAAGTTTTCAGGTTGGGAAAATCAGAGGTGAGGTAATGAAGAGGTAACATACTGCGCCTTCTGCTCTAATGGCAGCACTGAAAGGTTAGAAAAACCTGAAGAGGGTGAAAAAAATCCTTCATAAAATGCAGCTAACTCTGCAGTTCTATTGGCTAAAAAATTCTGAAGATAGGGATGTAAAATATGAGCACACAGTGGAAGGGGGTAGTTAATAGCACTCTTTTCCTTATAGCATCCAGATTGGGCATTTATCCTTCTGATAAGGTATTAGAGCTTTAACTAGTCTCTGGAAGGCTCTGCTTGGTATTTGGGGGCCTCCTTTCTTCCACTCATTAAGGATTGTTGGTCTATTTGTGTATAGCTTTACTCATTTCTGTGAGTCACAATTGTTCCATTTTTCCATATACGCTATTTTACAAATACCCATTGTAAATGTTCCCATGAGACTAGTTGAATGCAGCAGTCTCAAGCTGGTGGTGGTTTTGTTTGAATTACAGTGAGTGGAGTAAAATGTAGACATTGATAGGAGAAAAGGATCAAGAAGTAAAAGAATGGAAGATGGAAAGCCGCTCCTTCAGAAACTTTTCCTTCTGGGGATTCTCTTCCCTTTCTCCACTAACCTGTTTTAGAAATATTGGGGCTACTAATGTGTAACTTCCTGTGTCCTGAAGTTGTGCAGTGTCTTATGTAATTGGGAGAATGCCTTTGCCAGGAGTTAAATTCAGCTGTGGAGTGCAGCCTTATTCCTAATGGATTAGGTATTGGAAGGTAGCACTCTGTTTTGTGCTTAAAAAAAAAAAAAAAAAAAAATTCGACCTATGAGTGGAGTAAGAGTCTTTGTTCCTTGTACTGTGTACATATCCCCTATTCCACCTCTTGAGGCTTGTTCTTGTGTGCCATGTTACTGCATTTCACCCATCCAACCTCAAGTTGCTAACATCTTGTAGTTGTGTTCTGTCTCTTCTCCTCTCCTTTCTCTGTTCTTCCCTCTTTTGTTTTATCACAGGCTGTGCGAAGTTTAACTGTGCATCTGAGCGGGTGACGTTCAAGCCTGGTGGCAGGAGGACCCGATTTCTGAGTACGCCCTGCTTGGCTCTTTGTGTGTAACACCTTTACTCCTTCCTTGTCTTCATTTTTTTTTTTCTGCTGCTTGGATCTGATGTCTCATGCAGCCCATTCTCTTCTGCCTACTTGTATTCCCTCCACTTCATGGCTCTGCTTAACAGCTCTTAATACACCTTAGAAGTTTGGGTTCTCATGTTAAGTGTCCTGTTTAATATAGCCCTTAACTAGGGCCAAATAACTTAAATAAACTTTTAGGAAAACTTTTCTGTGGGAAATAGTGATCTTCAAGGAATTAGCAGAGAATGGGAGGAGGAGGTCAGTATATGAATATATGGGCCTTTCCTTATGGTTTCACTTATGATTGTTACAGACTGTACTTGTTGACACCAAGGAGACTTCTGGGGAAAAATTCTGGTTCTCCTCAGTAGCAGTGAGAGGGCTGCCCATTCCAAATTACAGCAATGGGGGGTGTATGGTGTGTACTGTCTTTCCTAATAGGAAAAAGTAGCTGCCTTTAATGAAAATGTTAAATAAATCTGTATGGCTTCCTCCTACAACACATCTCCCCATAGGGTGGGTAAACCTCTGCATGCTGTTCCCAGAAGTGCTCAGTGTAAGTGCTGAGGTAATCAGCATTGCCTGTCTCCTAATCACTGAGTAGCTAGTGACTAAAACTGGCACTGTTTAAAGGTATTAGCCATGTGTGCAAAGGAACACTCAGGCCAAATGATCACGTTCCATATTAGTAGCCAAGGGACCTATGTTCAGAAAGGGCTCTTCGTATTGAGGACTGGAGGCAGATTAAATGTGCCATAGGTAGAGGGTTGTGGTGAGAGCAACTCCTCAAAACACCCCTTTCTTCCCAGCCCACAACAAATACTCCATATCCTTCTTATTTAAGGCCATTCCAGCTGTCCTAGCAAACTAGTTCAAGTTTAAAAGCTGAGGGGGCGGGGAGATAGTAGGATGGGGTTTTTGACTCATGAGCCTCAAACTTCTGATGTGGTTATTTGAAGTGTTTAAATGCATGGGCTAAGGCTGCAAAAACTATGCTTTTTTTCCTGGGAGTGATACAAAATCCCACTATACTTCCAATGTAGACAGGACCTTTGAATGCTGTGACACTCCTCTCTCTCCCTCCTCCCCCCCCCCCCTTCGCAAATGACTGGGTATGTGAGAGCTGGCAGTCCTATGAAATGGCCTTCATTTGCCACATTTCACACAAATTCCACAGACTTCTAGCATTTGTCCTCCTACAGCATGCAGCAGCTCAGCTGGGCTAGAGATCTTTGTGGATGAACTCCAATGAACAAAGCAACAGTTATAGAGCAAGCCTTCTACAGAGACAGCTGCAATGGAACTGACAATTATCCTCTTTATATTGAGAGGAGGGTGAGAAGAGTCCTTAACTGTTGAGTTTTTCAGCAATACTTTAAATCCTGCCATAAATAAATCCCCAATATTGGGACTAAATGCACCATTAGTGCATAATTGCTCATGTAACTTTTCACCTCTTCCTGCTGTTTGGCCTCCAAACAACACAGCTTTAAAAGCTTTGAGCAGGTAGACTAAGGTATTGATGGGATGTGCAAAGAATGTTCATTTGGATTTCCAAGCTTTATAGTTTCTTTTCCTGGAAGAAGTTAAATTCTTAGAAAATCTGGGAAAGTGTGTATTTATTTTCCCTATGCCTTTTTTGGGAGGGTAATATAAAGAACAGTGGGGTGTCACTCCTTCACTCTCAGCCTCTGAGATTGGCATTGTGAGCTGGATGTACTTATCGTTACTGCTTTCTTATATGGTAGTGTACTGTTAGCTTGTCACAACCTCAGTCCAGCTGTCAGTCCTCTTGAGGCAAACTATAAAGCCTCTCCTGAGAAGCAGGTATTATGCTGTAGTGGGATGGATTGTTTTCACTCCTGAAATTTGACATTGGTGGATGGACCTTCTAAAAGCTTTATTGTAGCTGTCCTGTAAAAGTGGGTAATGCTTCCGATAGCGCAGCTTGGCTTGAATGCTCAGTTTGTTTACAGGTTGCTTGCTTCCTGGAATCTGATATACTGTCTCAGCCACTTCTGGGGGGGTGGGGGAAAGACACCTAGTTAGAAACAGCAATGAAGAGGAAACAGTGCATTGGTCAATAACATGCTTTTAACTCTGCAGCTGGAGGAGCTGATTGGTACAGGCCCAGTAGGGTTATCTGTAACTGTTGCACTAACATTTCAGAAAATATGGAAGGGGGATGTAGTGACAGATGGTGAGAGTACATGATCCACACTTGGATCCTCTGAGTACCCCACAAATTCTCAGACAAATGAAAGCCATGAGGGATATTTCCCCTTTCCAGATAGAGGTGGGAGATTTTTTTTTATTCTTATTTTTTTCTGTTGCTCTTGTGGTAAACAGCCAGTGATCGATAAGTACTAGCCCTAAACACCAGCACATCCCTAACATTCTTAAGATACCACTAGATTTCAGAGAACTATTAAAGAACAAACATATTAGTCTCGTTTTGTGCGAGAGCACAAATGATGAAACACTGTCTTGTGGTCTGGGTATTTCCATAGAAGATCCACTGGGCTGTCAATGTAACTGCAGCCAGTGGCAGTGTCCAGCTGTACCGTCTCCTCTTTCTCATTGGGCTTTATGTGTTGTTTGCTGATATTAAACACTTCTCACTGTTTCTCTTATTTTAACAAATTACTCTTTCTTTGTGCTTCAGGGAAGATGGTGAAAAAAGTCTGTCCTTGCAACCAGCTCTGTAGTAATTATCTTATTTCTGTTATTTCTGGTCCCTGTTCATGAGTTTCCCTCTGATCAGTGAAGCCTAACCTCTGTGAATCTGTCTCCAGCACAGCATCTGTCTCTGTCTCAATTATTCCCTCTAACATGTGTTCCTTTGTTAACATGTTAATAGGTTCTGGCTGCCTATTCATTTTTGCAGTGGAAAATGAACTGCTGTTCAGTGCTGTAGAGGCTTGCCGGCCCTCAGCTTAGCTGTGGAACTCCTTGCTGATTGGTAATGACAGTGAATTGTGAAGTAGGATCAGTTGCACACAGCAGTGCTGATGTGCTAAAATTACCCCTTTGTGCAGCAGGATTTGCTTGTAATGACTATGCTGAAGGGGTTTGCCTACTCTTGTCTCCTGATTCCATTGCAGAGACTCCTTCAAGATCTTAAAGGGTAAGGACAAGCCATTAAATGGCTTCAACCTGTGCCCCCAAAACAGGAACAGTTTAGATATGCCTAATCTAAGTGTGCTGGTATTATCTAAGGTTGTCTTTGAGGGTGGGTGCTCAGGCTGGTTTCCAAGGGAGGAAATAAAAGGGGGCAGAGAATGAAAGCATGATGGAGTAACAGGCTGAGGGGAGGAGTCTGTTTTCATTTCAAATCCTTCATTATGTCACCAGACAAGAAACTGGGACGTTTGCTGTGGCTGAGCAGGACTGGAGGGGGTTGTTTCCATTGAATGCCATGAATCTATGCACTCCCCTTTCAGACACTTCTGGATGGCTTTAGGTTTGGGTTAGAGCAGAATAACCAACTTCTGAAATTTAAAATCCCTGAGAATGTTTAATAAAATGCTGTTGATAAGAAGTGAGCCTTGTATTATTAGCAGCTCATGTTTTACAGCACAGGCCAATCCTACTCTGTCCTTGCTGTGAGGCTGAGACAAGAGCTCATTAGTTAACAAAATCACTTTTGTATAGAAGCTACTCAAAGCAAGCATTTCGAAATGTTTGTAAATCCCATTGCACATTTACAGGCGAATACACTCTGGTGTCTCTTGACTAAATGTGCCTGTCTCTCCCAACCCTGTGTCTGTGGATTAGGTTGGAGACATTGGGGTATGAGCTATAATTCCTGACCAAAATGTAACTGGGTATACAATATATAAATGTATCGAGCAGCGGGGTGCAGATGACTGGCCATCAGGAAGGGGTTGAGAGGTGCTGGTTCCTGCATGAACTCTTGACTATGGAATGTGATTATCTTGCTGTCTGTTTTGGTACCTCCTCTTAAGTACCTTTTGCTTTCACTCTTGCCTGTTTATGTGGGTTCCAACTTCACCCTTTCACTTGCTTTGCTGCCTTGTCAGATAATTGTTCCAGGCCCTTTCACATTACACATGCTTGAGATTCTCATTGTTCCATCACAGTTTCCTTAGCACACTACACGGTATGGTCCTGTTACTCTGTTCCTTTTGAACTCCCACCACATGTTTGTCAGAGAGGCCCTCCGTTCTCTTCCCCCTTCATCTGTATTGCTGCATGGGGCTCCTTGCTCCTAAAGATTACACCCCTATTATTAAATACTATAGGTGGGGAGAGGGTTTCATGTTTTCTAGACAGTGCTGGGAGAGGGGATAGCATTACTCACTCTAGTAGCACATTACTCAGTTGCTACAGGTAATGAGTATGTTGCCTTTCTTCTTCAATATCCTAACAAGAGCCATTCCAGCTGAGATTTGGAGGGGTTGATGTTCTTTCTCAGGTATGAGGGTCCTGAAGAGAGATGTCTAGGGAAGTGAGTAACAGAGAGCCACTTCATTCGTTTCAGGTAGTGGTTTTGGCTTCTAGCCTTGTTCAGTAGTGAGATGGTGATTTCGGTGCTGAGGTTTTTGATAACTTTTGTCAGACATATCTGTTCAGCACACTTGGGTTATCCCAGATGCTGTCCCTGTTGTAACCTTAGTACCAAGCCAGCGATAATTGTTGTGCAAGCCTCTTACTCCTGGTTGAGAGGCAGGTGTCCAAGGTATGCTGATTCAGCACTGGTGAGCAAAATACCCCTGTATTTTGAGGAAGAATGGTGGTTCTTTGAGTGCTGGACCCTATGTGCATTCCACTGGGGGTGCACATACACACCATGTGCCTGAAACTGGAGAGTTCTTGCAAGTAGTGTCCATTGGTCTGCACCTGTGCCTCCGCTCTCTTCATGATCTGCGCCCAGTGTATAAGAGACATGGCAGACTGACCTCCTGCCTCTCTGGTTCATTTTTACTGCCACAAGGCCTGAGCTGGAATCCTCCCCAGTGTCCAGAGTTTCTCCTTTCTCTTCATCCTGTAAATATATTCAAAGTTACATTATTCTTAGTTTTCTTTTTTTTTTTTAGTGTTTTTGAGTTATAGTTAGCTAGTGTTAGAATCCCACCCTGGGGAAGCTTCTTGGCATGGGACTGGCTTGAGGAGGCACTTATCTGCACCAAGTGCAGTATCTGTCACTCCTTCTCCAGCCTAACACAGCAGGGGCAAGAGCTCTGACTTCAAAAACAAATTATGAAGCAGGCAATGAGACTCCAATCAGACCAACACTGGGGAGACCCTCCCGTATGTTGGCCAGAGTTGACAAGGAGCATGTCTCCTAGTTCTTTGTCTGACTCCAGTGCAGAGAAGGGTGGAGGGAAGGACCTTTTGACTGGGCCTCCTCATGAGAGTAAGGGGCACTCTCTTAGACCCTGGAGGAGGAGAGATCCCTCCATGACCCCCATCCAAGTCAGGTGAGCCTTTATGCCCAAGCCATAAGAGGTTAGGCCCTCGTAAGCCACATAGGCATAGTCAAGACTCAGGAGCAAGACTCCTTCAGTATCAGCCTCTGTTCCAACCTCAACACTGACTGCAGTACCATCCAAACCGAAGCACCAAAACCCAAAGGATTGGGAACTGTTGGTTACGGTCAGGTCAGAGACTCATTCACTAACAGTACTGGCACAGCCCCATAAGGAACTGCTATCAACTACCACTTCAGTGGTATGGAATAACAGATTACAATTTCTGAAAGTATCATTGATTTATACCACTGCTGATGATAGCTTCATTCTCCTGGATCCACAGTCTCCCTTGTTATCAGTAGAGAGAAACTAGTGCCTGTGAGAATCTAGGACTCTGGGAGAAGGCTGTCCTGTCCTGTCCTGTCCGCTAGCCATGGATTTCTCTCTGTGGATCTGTTGGCACTGCTGATGGACCTATATCTGACCTTTTCATCTTGAGAAGGGTCAGATATACTGGTGGAAGCAGCTTCTGCTCCACCCAGGGAAATTCAGCCCAGACAGGGGATTGAGAATTTCTTGGAATCAGCCTAGACTATATAGGTAGGATCTTCCTCCTCAGACCAGTGGTACTCAGTGCCTTGGAGGTCACCACAACCTGGCTTCAACCCCTCATACTGCCCTTATTGGGGTTCTTGGGACCCTTACACATGTTACCCAGAATCTATCCGTTCCAATGGGGACTCATACCACCAAGGGGCCAGTCTGAACCCTTGAGCCCATGGAAAAAGGGAAGATAATCTGGTTCCAACACAGGTATCATCATTCTCACCTGATGAAGTGGTCGCTCCAGCCTCTCAGTCTCCTCTGGATGATCATAGACCGTCCCAGGAGCTTATATGGAGAATGGTGGAAGAGCTTCAGATCTCTTTAGAGGAAGTCCAGGATACTGATCATAAGCTCCTGGATATCCTCCAAACTGCGGGCTCCAGTTGGGTTGCTCTCCTGGTCAATGGAGCCATTCTGGAATCAGCTAAAGCTGTGCCCTTACCCACAAGAGGGCAGAGACTTTGCCGTGACTAGGGGAACAGAGTTCTTGTTTACCCACCCTGCTCTGAACTTCTTGGTAGTTCAGGCAGCCACTGAAAGATCCAGACAACAGCACCAAGGACCACCCCTGCAGGTAAGGAGGCAAATGTCTCAACCTTATGGGGAGAAAGATAGTTGCATCTACCAGTCTACAGTTTAGGATCAAATTATCAGACTCTTCTTGCCAAATAATATTCCTTGAACTGCTCATAAGTTTCTAGACTTTAAGGATAAACTGCCTCAGGAAGATAAGGCTCATTTCAAGCACTTATTGACGGCAGAGTGGTGGCCAGGATCTTTTTGTGGGATGTAATTGATGTGGCTGATATGGTAGAGATCCCTGGCAGCTGCCATTGTGATGCAGCAGGAATCATGGTTACACTCTTTGGGGCTCAAGATGGAGGTTCAGAGCACAGCTGAGGACCACATTTGGTGAAACTAATCTCTTTAATGAAAAGACCGGATGAGTCTCTGCACTTATTGAAAGACTTTAGGGCAATTCTTCGCTCCCTGGTATTTATACACCTGCTCCAAAGAGAAAATATCAAACAGCCTTAAAAATCAAGGTCCTTACCCCAACGTTTTAATCAACACTCCTATGAGCCATCTTGCAAACAACAAAGAATACAGAGACCAAAATACCTGGTGCCTTCCACTCCAATCATGACTACCAACATTTCTGACATGATTCTAGAGATCTCTGAACCAATATTGATGCCACCAGATTCTGAGATTCATTTCAGGGGGGTGGCTAGTGAAATTTCCCCCAAACTGGGAAATAACAGACAAATCTGTACTGGATATCATCCCATTCCAGCTATACCATTGAGTTTCTTTGCCCACCTCCCCCAAAACTCCCTTCCCTGTGCTTTTTCAAGGACCACTCTCATAGGGAGTTCTGTCAGAAAATACAGGGTTTTTTTCCCCAATGAGGAGAAATTATAGCATCCCACCTCAACATCAAGGAAATGGGTTCTGTTCAAAGTATTTACTAGTCCTCAAGAAGAAAGGAGGCTGGAAACCCATTCTCGACCTAAAATTCCGCATGGTTACATTAACGCTGATAATACCATCCCTCAACATGGTTCTCAGCTCTTGATATATGCAGTATTATTTTAGCTGTGCTGGTCCCAGGATATTAGAATGACAAGGTTGGTGAGATAGTATGTTTTATTGGACCAACTTTGGTTGGTCAGAGAGACAAGCTTTTGAGTTTACATAGCTCTATGTAAGCTTGAAATCTTCTCTCTCACCAACTGAAGTTGGTCCAGTAAAGGATATTACCTCACCCACCGTAGCCCTTGAAATGAAAGACATTACTTTCATGTGGCTATTTACCCCTCTCACAGATGATTCCTTAGGTTTGTGGTGGATCCCTACCACTGTCAATACAGGGTGCTCCAATTTGGGCTCACAGTTGCTCCCAGAGTCTTCACAAAAGTTTTCTCAATAATAGCAGCTCAGTGTAGACAAGATGGCTCCGCCATCCTCACGTATTTGGATAACTGGTTTTTAACCAGTAAGTCTTGCCTGGAAGTGTTAACATCAACTTCATTGTTGCTCCAGCTTCTAGCATCCCTGGGAATCTGTGTAAACAGGAAAAAGTCTACCTTGTCTCCGATACAGACCATAGAATTTAGAGGAGCAACACTGGATTTAATCAAGGAAAGGGCCTACTTCATCACTGACCGATTTTGCGCCATGGGTGCTCTCATAGACCTGGTTACATGCAAATCTCGAACATCAGTTCAGATGTGCCTTACTCTTCTGGGCTATGTGGAGTTATATACTTGCATAATCTTATTCACCTGACTCCACCTTTGTTGCCTGAAAGCTTTGCTCCAAACAGCATATACACTGAGCAAGTATAGCATGAATCCCACAGTGACAGTTTCTTCTGAGGTGAGCCCCGTTCTGGCATGATGGAGGGACTCTGGATGTGTGTGTGGGAGTTCCCTTTTAATCACCTACACCCAACCATAAATAGACGCCTCCCTGATAGGTTGGGGAGCCCACATGGGTGATCACACATTACAAGGCACTTGGACATTTCAAGAAGCTAGAATGCACATCAGTCTTTTGGAACTGAGATCAGTATGGGAGGCTTGCTAAAAGCATTTCTACTATTCATACAATCCCAGTACGTCCTCATAAGGTCGGACAACATAACTACCATTTTCTATATGAACAAATGGGGAGGGTATGTTCCTTGCCCCTGTACATACAAGCGGTCAACTTATAGAACTGGTGTATACAGAACCACATCACCCTATTGGCAATGTACCTCCTGGGCATCCAGAATTCACTGGCAGACAGTGTCAGCAGGCATTTCACCACTGATCACAAGGGGGAGTTACATGATTCAGTAGTAAACAGTATTTTCACTCAGTGGGGAGCCCCCACTTGAAACTTGACCATGTGGGCTCCCCAACCTGTCAGGAAGTGCAAAATGTACTGCTTCAGAGGAACCCAAGGTCAGTACTCCAGAAGTGATGCACTTCTCCTCCTGTCGACAGATCACTTCAGCTATGCCTTCCCTTCCATCCCACTACTGCCTTGAGTTCTATGGGAAATTTGACTAGATGGGGCACAAGTCATCCTCCATCACCCAAGATGACCTGAACAATTTGGGTTTCCAAGCCTCCTTCAAATGTCATCCTCTCCACTTAACAGCATTTGGACTTTTCTGGATATCTTGACCCAGAAAAGTGGTAGGGTAAGGCATCCCACCCCAGATGCTCTTCATCTCATGGCTTGGTATTTGGATTGGTGTCGCACCTAGAACATTCCTTCTCTGAAGTGGTGAAAATCATTCTTAATAATAGCAGAAAAAAACACCAGAAAATGTTACCTAGCCAAGTGGAAATGTTTCTCTGTCTGGGCCCAGCAAAACCATACATCTCCACCAGACAGTGGATATTCCTACTGTTTTGGACTATCATTTTACCCTCAAGATGGTAAGTTTTTACCTTTAGTTTGCTATGGGTTTATCTAGCAGCAGTTAGTCTGTGGGTTCACCAGCAAACGATGACTCTTTATCCAGCCAATAACAATCCAGTTTTTCAGCATTATGTGGACTCCTTTATTCTTAATCAACATGTGAATAGAATAGTTTCTCCATGTTATGTTCTCCGTTCTCCAACATCAAACTGAATTTGCTGTTTTCACATGGAACGCTTGCTGCTCTGAATGGCGAATCTGATCACGATGGCAAAAAAGATTTCCTGGAACGCACCAAAGAACGTTGGGTTTTTGGGGGGGGTGTGTGTGTGGGGAGTTGGTTTGTTTTTTGTTTTTGAAGTGTAGGCTGCCCTGCATACTGCAGTCGCTGCCTGATGCATATAGTAGGGATCTGTGTGCACTATCCCATTGGACACGAGTCCTGTAGTGTTTGAGTGCAATAGTGCCTGCAGTTTCTCACTTTCAGCCCGAAGTTCTCTTCACATAAACGGAGTTCCTGGTGCATTCTGCATCCTGCAGAGTGGAGTTCACTGGGTTACAGAGCAGCTAGCTGTGCTGACTGTACGGCTGCTTACTCTGCTTTCTGTACCAGGTGGGCGGAGTTGGAAATGAACTGTGCTCAAACAGTGGCTGTTACGCGTTTTTTTAAAAAACATGGTGCCGGGCAAGTGAGCAGCTATTCATCACGAATACTGCCACTTAATATGAAACCCAATCTTCCCTCCTCCCTCACTGCCAAAAGAGGAGCCTGACATGGGCAGCAGCCACTCCATTCCTACACAACTGCTACTTGCAGCACTTCTTGTAAAACAAACACATCTACAAAATACCTTTAATCTGAGAAAATAACTAAATGAGCCCTTCTAAATTCCCCCTTCAACATGTCCTAGAATCGAAATGTAGAATTCATGTGCATGGCTTTTAAACTCTTGCTCTGTACTATTCCACTATTGTCATAATTCCTAAACTTCCTAGAAAACTAGTTGTAACCTGGCTTTTGATTCTGTTGTTGTTGTCTTTGTAATTTTAGGGACCAGCAGCACCAACACAGTTGGAGGTACAGTGAACAGCCAGGCAACCCAATCTCAGCCTCCTGCCATAACTTCCAGCCGGAAAGGGACTTTCACAGATGACCTGCACAAGTTGGTAGACAACTGGGCCCGTGATGCTATGAACCTCTCAGGAAAGAGAGGTGGCAAGGGGCATAGCAACTATGAGGTAAGATATTTCCTGCTTGAACATGCATGGATGGAGAGCTGTCACTGCTAACCTAATTTATCGGAGTATCAAAACACATATGTAAAGAAGCGTTTCCATGTAGCCAGGCCAAAATAGTGCTCTAGGAGGGAATGAACCATAGCTTACATGTGGAGGGCTCCTGCCACCTGTTCTTCAGGCACTAGAGGGGGGAGAGTCATGATGTCTTTTGAGAAGCACCCATTTAACTCAGTTACATGGAAGGGGCTGTGGATAGAGGGGAACTGCTTCAGCCACACTTAAATAACTTCTCTTGGGGGCTGGGTTTTCTTTCAGGGCCCTGGAATGGCAAGAAAGTTCTCAGCACCAAGCCAGCTATGTATTTCTATGTCATCCTCCCTGGGTGCTACTCCTATCTCTGCAGCATCAGCTACCTCTCTAGGTCACTTCACAAAGGCTATGTGCCCTCCACAGCAGTACGGTTACCCAGCCGCGCCCTTTGCAGCTCCCTGGAGTGGGACAGGTAGTCCAGCACAACCACCCCTTGGTCAATTCCAGCCTGTAGGAGCTGCCTCTTTGCAAAGCTTCAACATCAGCAACTTGCAGAAATCCATCAGCAACCCCCCAGGCTCCAACCTTCGGACCACTTAGCCAGACCCAGAGACTCTGCTGGGTAGAACTTGGGACAGGAGATGGGGAGGGAGTTAGGGCTACTAGTGCTGCACTGAACTGGCTATTTCTGCCAGAATGGGAATGAGCTTCCCTTTTCCAACCATTGCTGTCAGCTCTCGGTAAGGAGAGTTTCTCCATTTCTGAAGGGGGAGGAGGGTGATGAGCATGAACACTCCTGCTCTTGCATAAGATGAGCAATGAAGATAGAAGTCACTGGATCAGTGTGATCTCACTGTAAAAGTACTTCGGTTTGAGTCTGAATCCACATGTGCTGAGATGGAGAGTTTGCTCTTAGCATGAGGTTTTAACACACTTCTCATCTTCCCTGAAGAATCAAGGCCAGGAGAGAAGCTGTCCAAATCTCCCTCCTCTCCCCCAAACAATCCTCCTTACCTCCTGAGCGGTAAGACACACAAATGGACTTGCAGTGCAGCCCAGGCTTGGAGAGATAGGTCATTACTGCTTTAAGTAAAAGATATTAACAGCTTTGACTGCAGCATTAGAGCAATTTAAATTGTTTAAAAATAAATTTTAAAAAGTTCCCTGCGGACATGTACTTACCATCAGTTTTGATGTGGAAACACTGTGATATATAAATGTTGTTGGACAACAGTAGTTTAAAAATGAGTGGAAAATAGAGGGTTAAAAAAAGTTAAAAATTAAAAATGGAAAAAAAGCTAGCTATATCCTATACTTATTGGAGACACTTTAACTTTTTCCTTTGTATTTTCATTGTATTAGATAAATGTGAATGTAAAATTGTATAAATTAATGTACTTGAATACTTGTCTGTTCTCCCAGTATGCTTGCTGGATATTTTAGTGCCTTGGACTTTTATTGCTTCTGCAGTTAGCATCGCTTTCTCAGCAGGTCCCAGCTGGTCAGAGAGCAAGTTAAGGGAAGAATGGACTATTTTGTACCTAGTGACTGAGATACCAAAGGGTTACCTATATATATAGACTAATATATATAGTCCTACTGTAACTTCGATAGGGAGGTGTTGGAAGGAGGGAGAGCCATTGAGGCTGTAGGTTGGAACAGAGCTTTGGGTGGTGGGGAAACCTGTCCATGTTGACAGAGTAAGAAGTTGATGGCACAGTGCTAGTGTAACAAGGGGTGATAGGCAGAAGTGATGGAGGGGGAAGAGGAAGCTGGAATGAAACTAACAAATACTGCCTAGAGCCTTAAGAGGGCTGGATCAGAACAGAGGATGGGAAGAAAGTGCATATTTTGGAGAAGTTCAACTTTAGAAGTGTTTTGACTATTAAGCTGTGATATGGAAAGTGGCTAGGTGAGGGTGTGTATGGAGGTGGAGCCATTACCCTTAGGGGGATGGAGTTATCTGCTGGGATTGCTTTTCTTACCTTTTTTTTTTTTTTGTATCCATTCGTGCTAGGAGTAGACTTTCCTGGTGCGATGTCCATTGCCGGCAATGGATGCACTCGAAACAGCCGGCATCAAGGAATTCCCTGTTTTAAGCATGCAGAGGACTTATGATTTTGTTCACTCTAAAGAATTCAAACTGGTACCAGGACCATAACTAACTGTGCCATCTTTTAGTAGCTGTATTGTACCTTCTACTTCTCAACTCATTTTCCCTTTTTCATACTGAAAAATACTGGTTCCCTGTTCAATGTAATAATACTGCAACCAACCAGTATTACTCTGTAGTGCTGCAACAAGCTGTGAAGGGTCAAAGTACTGCTTCCTGGTACTTGGGAGTAGCTCAGTGGTGTCCTGGAAGTCTCTGCACCAAGGAAATCTTACTCACACGAATTTTCTGTGAGCACTGCTCCCTTGTGGGGGGTCTAACTAGGGAGTTTATACTTTCTGTGGATGTTTTGCTCTTATCTCTAAAAACAAACGCACAGGATCTGTTTCTTTCCCTTCACCTGGTTTTGATGTTTACAGCAGCTTTGTCAGCCAGGATACCACTGGCATATATAGGTTGGAAATGAAGAGTCTGTGGGTGGAGGCTAGTGGCAAGGGGGTTGGGTTCTAACAGTTTCTCAGTAGATTTTTTTTTTTTTTTTTTAATTCTTGGTAAATAACACAGGCGCTGTAGAACCACAGAACGAGATAAAAGGTCTCACCGTTGTGTATGTGTGGTTGGAAGAGGAAGAGAAAATGTCTGCTGGTAAAATTAATCAGAAAACCTCTGCTTTCTGGTTAAAATGACTGGAGAGGAGGCTCCTGAATACACCAAGTATGGGTAGGGAAAACAATGCTCTGTGTAATGGAGTAATTATACGGCTGAAGCAGTAACAGGAGTGGGGCAACACTTCGTGGCAGAAGAACTGATCAGCTGAATGCAGCACATGGTTATTTAATTATTTTGATTTAATAAGTTTGAGGTCGGTTTTTCACTTCACGTTATGCAAGAACTGGTTTTATTTACCATTGATTTCCCTCCTGTGGATGAAATAACTGAAGTCTAGAGGAATAAACTAATGCTACTGAACTGTTAAATTATTTTGTGTTAATATTACACTTTGAGTACCTTTTTTCCACATAAAATCTGTTTCTGAATTACAAATGTTTTCTTTACATTATTTAACGATGTACACTGTAAAAAACAAAAATACACACAAATAAAATGAATTCAAACTTTGGGCTTCCGTGGCCGTAGTTAATTGTATGTTTTGCACTAAATCCAGGCATTGCGCTTCTTGTACGATTGCGCTTTGTGCTGCAGTTTGTTACCTTTGTAGAATATTTAATGAAATCATTCAAATAAACCAAACCTGCTTTTGTTGAACTGTGGGTTTTCATTTTCAGCTGGTACCCACTTCTCCTTTCTCCTGTCACCTGGAGTATTTAACTGCAGATGGGCTCCTGTTACCTTGCCACAGGAAAATACTAAAACCCACTCTGAGACCCTAAACCTCTCAAAAGCAGTGATCAGTAACAATACTATCTGCCCTTTAGCAGACCAAAGACTCTCCAAGTGGTATGGAACAATAAGGGACAATAAGTAGATACAGAAAATAATTTCCACAACATCTGAGTCCACTTTGAGGGAGGCAAAGGCTAATTCATTTTTTTTTTTTGACATGCAGCAATGAGAATCTCTCTCCTGGTGTTGTTTTCTTAGGTTATACTCATTCATAACTTTTTTGAGAACTGGCAAGTTTCCCAGTTTACTGTAAATTGGATACTAGCTAATTTCTAAAGGGTTTATGCTGCCTCTTGGCATTTCTGTACCAAAGAGGAGTCTGTAAAGAGGTTTGTCTTTCCCACATGCTCAGGGTCTAACTGATCCACCAAATTTGGGGTCAGGAAGGAATTTTCTCCTGGGTTAGACTGGCAGAGACCCTGAGGGGTTTTTTCCCTTCCTCTGCAGCATGGGTCACTTGCAGGTTTAAACTAGTGCAAATGGTGGATTCTCTGTAACTTGAAGTCTTTTAAACCAGGATTTGTGGACTTCAGTAATTTGGTTAGAGGTCTATTATAGGAGTGGGTGGGTGAGGTTCTGTAGCCTGCAATGTGCAGGCGGTCAGACTAAATGATTATGATGATCCCTTTTGACCTTAAACTCTATGAATCTGAAAAATCTCCTTTCTGCAGTTAGTTTTGCTCTTCTTTCTCTGTTGCTGTGCCCCATCCCCATCCTTCTCAGCAATGGCGAGAGAGGAAACTTACTGGAACCGAGCCCAGAATGATTCTATACCAAAGACTTCTGGCTACTGCCAAAAGGCAGATGTTTTTTTTGTTTGTTTGTTTGTTCAGGGTCCTCTTCAAGGAGCCATTGTGGGAGCTAGGAGGGGGTACTAGAGTTGAGGAGCTAAACTGACAATACGCTGACTCATTCTGTGTCTCACTGCAGTCCTCCTTGAGGCCCTGATTTAGGTGGGCATTTCAGTGATTTGACCCAGAAGAGGCACTGTTAATCAAGATTTGTCTTGTGGAGACGCTTTGGCTGCAGAAAGATTTTTTGGCTTTCTAAAACTTCATTTGTAAGAATTAGTGAATTTCCTTTTAAAAACGACTTCTGTTTTGATTCATACCATCTCAAGCTGTGGTCGTGTAAGAACTCAAATCAAGCAAGTGCAAGTCTTGTGAATACGGACTGAAAGTCCTCTAAGGAGGAGCAAGGTGTACAGGTGATACAGTGAGATGGGACACTTCCCTCTATATCTGCATCACAATGCCCCTGTATTGTGGCCAGGGTCAGACCACAGTTGCAGGAGACTGGTCCTTAGACTCAGGTTCTGAACATTGTTGAACTCCTATTGTTGACCACACTATTCCTTGGCTAATCTTGCACTGCCCACATGTGCCCTCTGCAAGTTCCCTTTCTAACAAAAGTGCTGTCTTATTTCAACAGTGTGGGTGTGTGAACTCACACTATTGTCAAATACTGAGATTTTTTTGTTGTTGACACAGGCATTCTCCTCCCAGAGCTGTGGTGATCCCAGAAAGGCTGTAGTAGTGAACTGCTAAATAAGACTGGTCAACTTCAGCTGTACTCAGGTTTTATGAATTCTCTATAGACATACTGCCAACTACAAAGAGTTCCAGAATTAGCTGAATTTTCTAGGAAGATGTGTTGGATGTGAGAGAGCTTCTGCCAGTAAAGTGTGGGCTACTGAGGACATTTGCCTGTACTCACTCCTACAACTAGTTTCCTGCTGGAAACTTACTGCTTTTGAGAGGTAGGAAGTATGTGTGGGAGAGAACCATGAGGATGGGTAGATATTGAAAGGAGAAATGTGTAATGGGAGCAGCTGCGGGGCAGAGGAGCACAAAGCACTCACTAAATCAGTCCAAATTATTCACATATGCATAAATGACATGCGGTAGAAAGATGGACTGCTCAACCTCCCCTCCCACTGGCTCATTATAGCATTGTTCCTGTACTTGTATTGTTGCTGGACAAGTTACTGTTTCACATATGGCACTAATGTTACTATGATTGGAACTTTAAGTTCATCCCATTTAGGCTAGTGATACTCCTTTCTCCCCCCCCTTCCCCCCCCTTCAACTGGAATTGAAGCATCTGATCATTTTTACACCTTGTCACTTTTTAGGAGAGTAATCTTCCCTTTTAACTAAGCTAGACTGATTTTTGGTTTTAACCTGTACTTCCTCCTTACTCAAAGGTTGCTCTTTTTCATTTACCTCTTATTGGTCAAGTGCTAAGGGCTCAGAATTAACCACAGCTGCACTTCCAGTGAGAATGAAGGTACAAGAGAGGGTGATAACCACCTTGCTCTACAGCTGTTCGTTGTCCCTTCTGCCTACCTCTTAGAGGTGTAAACTCATGCCACTGATTGCCAGTATTGCTCTCTCTTGCTCTCTTCACATTACTGCTGTCTAAATACAGTAGTTATTTTAGATTCTCTGATCACTGTAGATTTCAGAATTATAAAATGGGATTTGACATCTTGGTTAGGGATTGAGTTTTCAGTTTCACTTGTAAGGTTATGGTACAGACTTGCTTTCTTCAGGAAGACAGAAGTGAGTTTTAACTCTGAGTTGCATTAAACCTTGAGGTGTTACTGTAACAGGAGTATGTCTTCTGCCCTGGTGACTGTTTTATCTTCCAAGTAAACATGCTGCTGCCCCCTCGCACAGTTACAAATGAGATTATTCAACTAATGCTCTGGTTTTTGCATGTTTATTCACATTTTTCCATAAGAAAAGGGGATAAAGTTTAATATAAAAACACAAGTACCTAAAAAAGAACTAGTCAATTTTAGTCCTTTGTAACACATCCAGCCACATACTAAAATCTCCATTCAAATAATTCTTTCCAGGATCTGATCTTACTGAATGCTATCCACATTAAAGGAAACTACTCCCTCTCATGAAATGCAAAGTAGTAGGGCATCCTTCAGTTATCAGCAGGGAGTAGAGTTACATCTCATGTCAGTCCAAAGGAGTTAAAATAACAGGCCCCGGCACTGGGCAGGCTCCCCAACTGCTTCACTCAGGAAGAAATGATGCATCAAACTTTTTAACCACAAGACGGGACATCAGGCACATTATGAGGGGCTAAAGTAAGTAAAGAGTTAGGACAGAAGATTGTCAATGATTAGATCCATGACTTTCATGCAATGATAATGCACTAGATTTTCTTGTGTTTAAACAGGTTCTTGAGATGTGCTTCTGAAAATATGGTTGTAGTGCTCAAATAATCACGAGGAAACTAACGTTTCAGGTGCTGTCCTGTCTGTTAGGAGGGTTCCAGTTTCCTTTTCTTCATGCCTTGGCTCTTCCTGTATGGGCTGCACTCTGCTGAATAAGACAACAGGTCTTTAGTAGGCAAATTATTCTGCTTTTCTCCGCTTCCAAAACTTACCTATGTTTGTTAGTGCTTTTTCTCTCTCACCTAGAAGGGCATGGAGGATGGCCAAGTCCCTTTTCTGGGGAGATCTGTCTCCCTGAAGGAGCTTAAGTCTTATGTTCAGGTTCTGGTAAAAACAAAAAAATCTCTCTCTCCCTTACCCTTAACAGCCCTCCTAAAAACTATAACATTGAAAAGAAGTGCTAGCTGGGGTTTGAAAGCGTAAAGCAGTCTATGGGGGAGGACAGCCATGTACTTCACAGTGAGAGAATCACACAACTGAGTTTCATGCCAGGACAGTTACCTAGTCATTTTGCTGGAATGTGCTCGAAGTGTTCACAAACTTAATTGTGTTCCCTGCTCAGTTTCACAGGCTGCTACTCAGCACGATCACCTCTACTTTCTTCCGTGGCTTGCTCCTGCTTACACTTCACTGTAGCCACTTACACTCCCTTTACAGTACGTACCTGGTGCACCGTGGCTGGAAGAGGGGCTGGAAGGCCTGTGCCGAGGGGACACCTGCCATTGTGCAGCTCTCTCATGTGGTTTCTTAGGGTTCATTGTTTGAGGGGTCCTGCTGCGAGTCATCATGTGATAGTGTCCAAGAGGCGTTGCAGGAGCCTGGGCTGCTACAGCTCCTTTTTTGTGGCTCTCGGTATCACTGAGAGCAGTGGTCTCTAGGGGAATGTCCCAAAGCTCAGGGTCATCTGGAACAATTCAAAGACATATACAACAAAGAGGGAAGAGAACAGTGTGGCAGCCCAGAGAAGGAAGCGCAGTTCCAGTGCCAGTCCACCCTTTCCTCACTTGACCCCTAGAGGGGTTAAACTATAAAGGAGCTTGATGTTAGTTTCCTTTTGCCTATTGATCTAACTCAAACTAAAATGAAAAATCACCTTGCCCAAGAGAAGCAGACACTGCAAGGGTTCTGTCTTGCAGCTACAGGCAGTAAGATGGAAGGAGGTGCAGCTGGGCTTGTTCTGCACTTTATGCTTTCAGGTGTAGGATTAAAGGATACACGTACAGCCCCAACAGAGACTACTTGCTGAAAAGAATCTGATCTCACATGTATATGCACCAAGCCTGAAATCTGTGTGAACCCTAATGGCTACAAGAAAAGATTCCTATGGGCAGGTTCCTTCTAGTGACCCTCTAATTGTAGGGGCTGTTTCATCACTAGGAGAGGTTTAAGGGTGTGGTCATGAAGCAATTCACACCTCTGCTCATGTCTTCCCCCCCTCTAAGGGTTAGTGTTGCCACTTCCTACTGCTAAAGTAAAGATGGTGCCCATGCCACTTTCCCAATCCCTTCATTAAATCCTGCCTCCACCTCTGTGAACGTTTAGCTACCATTCTTTGCTGACCTGCAAAGAACTCCTCTTCTGCGGTTGGCTCCTGTTGTGCTGCTGCTGGAGTGCTGTGTTTCACCAGTGAGGGATGAGATGCTGCTGGGCACAGGTAACAAAGGGGAGCTATTAGTGCCAGAAATGCAAAAGGACACCACCTAACTCCTGAGGGGGAAGAGAGTCAGGTAAGATCAGAAAAATCAGCAGCACCTGATCCCAGATACTAGGTATTCAATAGCCACTCCTTGCCCTTCGCTGGAAAGGTGGGTATGGAGGTAAGGCAGGAGATGGTATTTGGTAAGGCTTACTAAGGACAAGGGAAACATCCTGAAATTTCTTGCAGCATGAGCAAAGGTTTGGTTCTCCCAATCTTTCCTGTTGCTGCTCTAGAGCAGCACTGCCTAACGTTTCCTAAAAGGACACAGGGGCAAGTTTGGTCATGTCCAATCTGAGCCCACATCCCTGCCCTATAGGGAACAAGTATTAAAAACTTCAGATTTCCTTTTTTATAGCTTCCTTCACTCAGACAAGAGGTGGTAAAAGTAGGCAGCCGATGAGGGGTTAACCCTGTCAGCCACGCTTGTGCCCTGCACGTAGCCTAATTCACAGGTGGGGGTGTGTTATGTCTACACTAGCACCTTTGTCGATCAGGAGATGAAAAAACCCAACCCCCTGCTAGACGTAAGTTATACCAACAGAATTGCCAGCATGGACAGTGCTATGTTGGCCAGAGATGCTCTCTGGCCAACATAGCTACCCTTGCTCATTGGGGGTGGTTTAATTATGCCCAGGGAATAGCTCTCTCCCATCGGCATAGACCAGGTACATAGGAGACCTTAGAGCGGCGCAGCTGCAGTAATGTCTGTAGTGTAGACGTAGCCTAGGTTGTTGGACTTGCAGATTCGCAGTGGTGTCTCTTACCCTGTTTGCTGACTGGATTGGCTACTGCCAGCTGTTTTTTCTCCATTTGCTCCCGGAACTGCTGCTGAAGCTGCTTCTGTCGTAACTTCCGCTGGTAAGTAGCATCACTCCCACAGACTAAGGTGATGTTATGTCTGTCCCAAGAAATAAACACACAGTTGGATGGCGTTCCAGCTACAGTTACACCTTAGGAAGAGGGATGCTTATAGCAATAGCACGCCAGGGAAAATACGATAGTAGTTAATGCTTCTATCACACCTTCCAACGAAAGGGCCCCCAAGTCCCAACATGCTTTACAAGCATTAACTATTTACAACTTCAGAGGTGCTTAGAGGGATAAACTAAGGCACAATGAGGCCCTGTCCAAGTTCATACAGGAAGTTTCTGGCTAGAACCCAGCTCTCTTGTCTGAATCATTTACACAAACCTATCCCTTACTCCAGTAGCAGAAACTGATTTGAATTAGGTATGAGAACGTTTATCACACCTTGTAGCAGGCTCTGCACCTTGAGGAGCTCAGTCCAATGCAAATATTGCATGTGTAGGTGATGATTAGACACCTTGTGTGGTCATGTGCAGGCAGAAGTAGAGATCTAACAGCCTTGGACCCTCCGGGTTCTCCTTGTGCCTACTGCTGAGCTGCTGGACTCATGTACTCCCTAGCTTAGAGAGACTGTGCTATGCACCTTGTAATGCAGCACTCCCTTATGCCTGAATGCCCCCTAAAAGCCTTCTGCTAGTCCCGGGAGAACTGTATGGTATAATAGCTATGGATCAAATATAGAGTTGGTATTGTCTGAATTAAGGAGAGAACCAGCCCCAAGCTCACTGACTCAGGGAGCTCCTCAACATGACTCATACATGCTCCTGCAGCTACCGGGATATGGAATTTTGGGAGTGATGGGGGAAGTCTGTACATTTTAACTGCCAAGAGTGATTAGAACATGCGCTGGGTGCTCAGTTATCGTACAATATAAATAATAAACTAAAAATATATTCTCAGGTTAACACTCACCTGGAGCTGTTTTGCTGCTCCTGCTCAGCTGTGCTTAAGGAAGCTGCCTCCTGTTCAGGTTTGCGTGGGGACAGGCTCTCACAGTGCTGGGGTTGCCCTGCACTCTGCTTCTGCAGACAGCTACTGTATCTAGCCTTCTCTATTGCAGGCTCAAAGTCTTGCCTTTTTGCTTTGGCCAAATCCAACTCAGGAGGCAGCTAGTATAAGAATGGTCAATGGATTATGATTCAATTCCCCCTCCCTCATCAACTCAAAAGTTAGAAGATGCTTTGAGTCTCTGTAACAACATTTCATGTTTTGTCTCTCCCTCTCTAGCTGCTCTTAAACTAGTTTAGGCAGGTTTTGTCCCTTCCCACTTGCCAAGCACTGTTTGGGTTCTGTATTCCGAAGGGAGTTAATGTGGGTGTTTGCAGAGCACCATCATTAGCAGTGTCAGCACTGTGTTTGTATAGAGGCAGTGCTAGCTAACAAACACACAGCAGAATTTTAAAATATAAAAGTAGTAGAATCTGGACAATCCCCATGGTATGGAGGCAGGCAAGGTAGTAAACACCAGCTATTACAATAATGTTAACTTCATAAATGTGTGCACAGACATGTATTAGATCTTCACCCTCCAACCCAGGAGTGGGAAAATACACCCCACCCTTTAACTGAGCACACTGTTGGGGAGGGAGGCTAGACAGAGCTACAGAGGGAGACACCACCACCCAGCCTGGACTTGTAAGTGCAGAAGTCTAAGAAGATGGCAATGTGCTACTGACACTAGCTTTGAGCAATTACCATACGTATCTCTGAACCACTATTAACCATGGCAAATAGCCGCCTTTAACTGAAAAGCCACAAAGGGATTTATTCTAATAAACTGTTCCAGCAATAAACAGATTTCACATGTGAATCACATTCTAATAATTCATATTCATTACAGAAAGTGTAACTGATTCAACATACAGCTATTGCCTATGGTGATGGATACCTTAGAAATTCTTACATAATAGTAGTGAAGAAATAACAGATGGGTGGGGATGCTGAGAAGGCATTAAGGGTTATAGTGGATGTGCCACTAAAAAGGGAAATACCATATTCCATGTAAAAAAATAAAGATATTATTCTTCAGGGTTTAGCCTTGGTTAAGTCAAAAAGCTTATGTCTAGCTTTGGGTACCACCCAAGAGACAAACCAGAGAGTGCCCTGAAGAGAGCAACAAACTATAAAAGGTCTGGAAAATATCAGTCTGAGAAAAGATTGAGCCCTGGGCAAGTTCAGAATCTGGGAAAAAGATAAATGACCGTAGTTAAAGGGGTGCTTATATAAGGAGTACAAGGGCCTCATCTCATAATGAAGCACAAAGTTTAGTAGAACTCTGGCCTCAAGTACTTTGCTTAAGGACTGGAGACTAAATTTGTAGGGCCATGGCCCATTGGCTTCAACCAAACAGTTCCCCCTCCAACTCTTTCATCATGTATTTTTGGTTTTAAACATTAAAATGATGTTTCTCTAGCTGTCTCTGGCGTATCAAAACCAGCCAACCTTAAGACAATCAAAAGACAGCAGAGATCCCTCCCGACCACATACAATTTCTGAGTTTGCAGTTTCCATATTAATTCCACAGGAAGCTGCAGTACTGCATTTCAGTCACCATGTGGTACTGAGTGAGGTTATAAATCAGCACCTCCAAGTCCACCCACCTGATTCCAATATGGCACCCTCCAACAGGTACTGATGGCTGCTCCTCCTGGATCCTTCCCTAAGGTAAGCATGCCCAGGGCTCTACTTCTGTATACAAGACTCTCTGGTAAACTGGAACTAAAGTCTGTGGCAAGCCCTTCTCATTTCTGCAGTATACTGGCAATTTTATGGTGGCTTCAAATATATCAAAAACTGGAGGGGTTTTATTATGCTAAATATAAAAATGAATAATATAATCAGTACAGGAGACCAGTGCAGTGTTGCATTCAGTTTATTTTTCTTAGCCCCTAAGTTTTCAGTTCTCTGTATGCTGAAGATTTCTGCATTGGTATTTTGCAAGCTGTCGGGGAGAGCTGAAGCTTTCGACAGCTGTGTAAGGGAAAAGCAGTGGCTGCCAGCACTTTGTTTAGACTAGAGTTCCCACTGTCGCCTACAGATGGTGAAGGTGGACTAGGGACAGTAGCTGCAGGCTACTATATGAAAAATTTCTAGCGTAAAAGAAACTCTACTGTACGTAGCACAGTACAGTGGTTTGAGTAACTTGGTTTGATATAGGCCTGGAAATAATTCATCCTTGTCTACACTAGTATTTAAACTATTATCAGCAAGGGTGTAGCTGGACCCACTACTTGTAATGATACAGAATGGTCTGGTGCTCGGGTACAATTTGATGGGAATGGTATGACAACCTGACTAGAACAGAGTAAACAAGACTCATGGAGAGAGAGAAACAGCAATGGGCTTAAGCATCAGAATGGCATTATTTTGATGAACTATTGGGAAAATCTTTTACAAAGAACAGTTCAGACAAACTAACTAGCAGCCAAGGGAGGCTGTGGAATCATTGCCACTGACACATTAATAGCTGGACACATTCACACACACAGCTAGCAAGTATGGTTTAGATATAATGGTTTCCATACGTATCAATACAGGGGGATGGAACCAATGACCTACTAAAGGTTCCTGGCAAACTAAATTACTCTGCTTTCTCCTTCTCCAAAGCCCCCCATATCGCACCTGACGAGGAAGTTTATTCACTGAGCGCAGGTAGTCTTTGTCCAGGATGCAGTTCCCCAGAGCATTTCCAAAGCACCTGAGGGACAAGAGAGCCTGCCATGATTGAGAATTTAACATTTCATTCTGTGGAAATGTGCAAGCAGAAGGGCAATGTACTGGTTCTCCACTTACTTGAGTGCCCTCTTCAGTCCATCCGTCACTGCTTCTTTCCTTGCCTTTTCTAGGGACAACGCCTTAGATTTCAGGCCCTCACTCACTCCGTAACCCACATCTTCATGGTACGACCCATCCTGTGGGGTGAGTTAAAAAAATGCAGTACTGTTGGAACACTTGCTTTCACACACCTGACTATTTATCTCTTATGTGGATTGTGTGTATTGAGTGGACTAGTATTTACTCTGTAGTAAGCTCAGCTTTCCAGGGGCCCACAGGACTGTCTGGTTTGACACAGTAACATGGTGTGTTGCAGTCCAGCTCCACACACACTAGTACTGTCATTCATGGTTCTTAAGTAACTAGCAGTTCACTAACAGATGGAGCAAACAAAAATACATCCATTTACCTTGAGCTGGACTTTCACAAATGCACAAACTCCCACATAGAATTTGCCATTGTTGAGATCAACAAAATCTGGGGAGAGCAGGAAGGAGATGGAGTTACAATGGAGACCCAAACAGTATATCACAGGGTGAAATTTCTGTCTCATGCTCATCTTCCTAGAAAGCTTAAACACTAAGCCCTGGTCTACACATAAAATTTAGATCTACCTACCTACCTACCGTGCCCTGTGCGCCATAGTTACACCCCCAGTGTATACATGGCTAGGTCGACAGAAGAATTCATCTGTCTACTGATGCCTGAGAGATGGATTACCAACAGCAACAGAAAAAACCCCTTCAAATGACATAGGAAGCATCTGTGCGACGGCCCTATAGAGGCATAATTGCAGTGCCGCACCTTTGCCGCTATAGTGCCCATAGTATAGACATGCCCTAAATGTGAACCACCTAAAAGAACTTATTTGCAAAAGTACCTGGTGTGAGGTTGGGGGGGAAGTTTTAAAACCCTTATCAGGCAACTAGCTATCAGAAAAATCAATACCACTGGAGAAATACCAAGTTTCTCTATTCTGATTGACTGGTCACACCCCAGCATCTCTCTCTAAGAGAGATGGTCTCACCTGCATACTGTTTGAGGGGGAGGGATAGCTCAGTGGTTTGAGCATTGGCTTGTTAAATGCAGGGTTGTGAGTTCAATCCTTGAGGGGGCCACTTAGGGATCTGGGGCAAAATTAGTACTTGGTCCTGCTAGTGAAGGCAGGGGGCTGGACTCAATGACCTTTCAAGGTCCCTTCCAGTTCTAGGAGATGGGATATCTCCATTAATTTTATTTTTTTTTTATATTTTTTTGATTCACCTTAGATCATTACAATTTAGTTTAGGGTTAGTTAAGTTCATTAGATGCTATAGATTGGTTCACGGGTCTTGATTTGCAAGATGCCTATTTTCAGATCTCAATACACTCAACTTTCTAACTATAAGGATAGTTTACCCAAGGTGGTTGTGGAATCCCTGTGACTGGAAGTTTTAAGAACAGGGTTAGGCAAAAGCCTGTCAGGGATGGTCTAGGTATATCTGATCTTGCCTCAGTGTGGGGAGATGGACTAGAAGACTTCTTGACATTCCTTCCAGCCCTGCATTTCTACCATTTTTACGAATATCTCAACATCACCATTCTATCTAGGGCCACACTCTAGTTTCCAATCCTGTAGTGACTCATGCATTTTTTTCACCCACTGGGAAGCTCCCTTGTTCCTGAGACCTTAATATACTACTAGCAAAGTAGACGGTTCCCCTTTTGAGTCCTTAGCAACCTGCTCCCGTTACCACATGTCAATGAGTACTGCGTTTCTTGTGGCCATTACATCAGATAGGAGAGATTCAGGCCCCCTGTGTACAGTGTACCAGTTACTCTGAGGCCTCATCCGAAGTCCCCTCATAGTTCCACATAAACCAGTCCATTCATCTCTAGGTTTTCTTTCCTAAACTTCACTCTATCCTGAGTGAGGAGAAGATTCACACACTCAATGTAAAGAGAATATTGTCATTTTATCTAGGCAGAACAAGATCATTCAGGAACACACCCAGGGTATTTTTGGCATCTTTCTGACAGGGTTAAGTGGCAATCTATATTCATACAGACATTATCTGAATGCATTTCTGAGTACCTAAGAACCTGTTATGAGTAAGGGTAGGAAAGATCCACCCAGTCATATTGGGAAGGCTCCCATATCTGAAACATATAAAGCAGCTACATGGAGCTCAATCCACATATTAGTCACTATTCCCTAGTACAGGCTGGCAAGTCGGATGCCAGTTTTCGTAGGACTGTCCTGCAGGGACTATTCACATAGGCCTCTTAATACCCACCTCCAAGGAAACAGAAAAATTCTTGTTAGTCACTCTGAGTGGAATCCATGCAGACAATTGACAAACAACGCATGGTTCCTTGCACTACAGTAACAGCGTTTTTTCAAGATGTGTTGTCTATACAGATTACACAACCCACACTGCCTCCCTGCTACTTCATTCGCATACCTATAGGATTCTGTACTGATGAAGAAACTGAAGGGCAGTTGGGCCCACTCCACCCTTTATGTCCTTTGGTGGGAGGCATAAGGGCCCCTAAGATGTAAACATGGCCTCAATGGACACCACTGGCCAAACTAATCCAATCTCATGTACAAGGGTGGAATCTATGTGGACAGCACATCTCGAAAAACCACAGTTAGTGTAGGGACGGTTGAGTAACTATTCTTTCCCTTGGGATCTGTTGATACTGAACCATAACAAGTGACACTGTGTAGCAAAGTATGGAGTGACACGAAAGGGTCCCACTCTATTTCAATGGCATGAGAAACATCTAGCGCCAGCAGGCTGTCAGTCCCTTAAATGTTGAGGATCCACTAGACTGACACTGTTCTAAAAATGTGCTTCTCAGATCTTTGTAACTCTCCGGCTTTCTTATCAGAATTCATTAGTGAGGAAGCCAGCACCAACCTTCTAATCACCAGGCTGAAATGCTGGTGCAGTTTAGGAGCTTCTCACTGTAACCCCTGCACCAGACTTAGACTCTCAAAGTGAATGTGCTGATCTTTCAGTACTGCACCCTGTTGTATGAACCTCAAGTGTCTTCTCCAACAGATGAAGTTTGAGGTAGCCCTCCTTCTTTCTAGTGTGAGGGGTGAAAATGATGCAGACCAAGCATCAATATGGATTTTGTCCTTTATTAAGGCACTTAAAAGCACTCTTCATGGTCACCATTGTCACACCGCACAATGCAGAGAGACTACAACTAGTCTTTTTACTGGCAACAGCCACAACATGAATGGTAAATGAAGAGAGACCACTAGGCCTGAACCATGTAACATTGACCAGAACCTAAGAACATAGGGGTCAGGGCCAATGGAGTTTGGTCCCAAACAAAGCTGCAATAGTGCCTCCTAACAATTAAGAGTGCAAACTTAACTGAAAGCTAAGGCCACCCTAACAAACTCAAAGGAGAATAGACTGAAGAAAGCACTGGGGATACCGCAGTGTTTCAACTTGCTGCTCCTGCAGTCTTCAGAAAGAACTCAGGGCAGTTAGGATTGGTCTCCTTTCTGCCATCTGCACAATGCACAGCATCAAGGAGTGTGTGCATGGCTCAAATAGGCACTGTTAGCCAAAACTTTCTGAGTTTGTGCACCTGGCTACAGGTATCCCAAATATGGGGACACATATGAGCAATTACCCGAAGAGTGTCTCGGGACCTGGATGCTGGTCACAAGGAGGTATTTTGCAGGAAGTTCCATAGCTGAAGTGGGTGGATGCATAAGTTGAGATGTTTGTTTGCGGGTAGCAGTTGCACGTGGTTGACAGTTGGCTCAGGGCCTAAGTTCCCTCTAAGCTGCGCAGCCGCACAGCAGCCTATTAAGTGCCACATAAGCACTCAGGGCTGCGGCGGGGAGAGATGCCTCTCCCCCGAGCCCAGGTGCTGCTGAGGGAAGAGAGAGAGCTGGGGGGAGTCCTCTCTCCCTGCTGTAGACCCGGGGCAACCTGCACCCCAAACTCCTCATCCACAGCCCAGAGCCCATACCCCCAGCCAGAGCCCTCCCCATCCCTACCCCAACCCTTTGCCCCAGCCCTGAGCCCCTCATCCTTGGCCCCACCCCAGAGCCCGCACCCCCAATCCTCATGCCCCCACACCCCAGCCCTCTGCACCAGCTCTGAGCCCCCTCCCACACTCCGAACCCCTCGGCCCAACCCCGGCCACATGAATTTTGTTGTGTGAGTCAACATGGAGGTGATGTGTCACACATCACCTCCATATTGGTGCACATAACAAAATTCATTCTGCACATGCGTGGGAAAAGTTAGAGGGAACACTGCTCAGGGCTGCTAGGGTTAAGCAGATGGAAGAGTCCCGATGCAATGCTCTGGCCCAGTCATCCCCACTTGACCAAATAAACTCATTTTCAGTAACTCAGAAGTGCCATTACACAAAGTTGAACTACTGAACATAAACAGGGTTTTCTTTACATGCAGGACAGCTTTTGCTTTCTCCTAACTGTCAAGGAGCCTGTAGGCTACAAAATTTCATCTGCGTCTTTTACAGGGATTGTCACTTTAAAGACATGTTTCCTGCTGTTTCAGCTGAACAGGTTCCAGGACAGATGGTTTCTCAAACAGGGACCACGTTCTGCCACTTTACAGACCCTAAGGGCTGGTCTACACCCAGCCGCTAGTTCGGCGGCTGGGGATCGAAGTTCTGGGTTCGACTTATCGCGTCTGGTCTGGACGCGATAAGTCGAACCAGGAAGTGCTCGCCGTCGACTGCGGTACTCCAGCTCGGCGAGAGGAGTACCGCGGAGTCGACGGGGAGCCTGCCTGCCGCGTGTGGACCGCGTCTGAACCGTGGTAAGTTCGAACTAAGGTATGTCGACTTCAGCTATGTTATTCACGTAGCTGAAGTTGCGTACCTTAGTTCGACTTGGGGGCTTAGTGTAGACCAGGCCTAAGTATGAAGCAACAGGAACACAAATTCTCAGAGCTGGAAAAAGATACTCACCAACATTCTGCTGAGTGACCGAATGAGCCCAGCCATTATAGCCAAACATTTCATTGGCCAGACTGATGACCCTGTGACCCTCAATATAACAAACCTGAAAAGAGGAATAGTGAATTTTAAAAAGTCTTTTACAGTCATAGCTGTACCGCACTAAGAAACCCTGTTAATTTCAAGAAACATATGCCTTTGTGCAAACAAAGAAAAAAGAGCTGGTCCCTTCCAAGCCCAATCTCCAGAAGAAGATGGCACAACTGAGAGAGGCAGATTTAGTGAACACAAAAGAAAGGGGGGAAAAAACCCAAATAATTTATACACAATATGTAGCATTTATATAGTGATTTACATGTTGAAAGTACTGAACAATTAATTAATACCACCCAACATCCTATGAAGTAGGTAAATATTATTTCCATTTAAAGGATGAAGAAACTGAAGGAGAAAGTTAAGTGACTTGCCAAAGGTGTCAAGAAATCAGTGGCTGAGCAAGGGCAGTTTCTTATAGTGAAGAATTCTCTCTCTCCCACTCCCCACCCACAAAGTTTCTGCATACACACTTATTTGTACCTTCTGTCCTCCACCAGCCTGCCGGCTGCTGATGTACTCCGGACCCAGCCTCTGACGCAGGGCATTCTGAATGGCCTGGTATTCATCTGCTGTATACTGGTTCTTTAATAGAAGCATAGCAGAGTCAGACAGCTTTAGTTTCTTCACTCTATTAGCTTCCCCGCACCTCATCCCATTTTTCTTTATTCCAATCTTCCAGGAGAAGATGAGTATTCAACTCTCATGCTTCAGGATGTAAAGAATAGTCAAAGGGCTCAGGAAGGAAGTTACTTTGCTCCATGGGGTAGGTGTATTATGCTGGTGATATTGCTTGCTCTTGCAAGGAACTAGATTAGATGGATCAATGATCTTTGTTAAATTCTGTACAACTTTTCTCCAATTCTCCCAAGCAGCAAACATACCAATAACAAAGTGATAAAACTCAGCCAAGCACACCAGTCTGAAAGAGTACCCTTGCTCCCATCCCTATGAAATCCTACAGCACTTGTAACATGTGCAAAGTCCAGTCCAGGCTGCAGGGGCATGAAGCATAGCAGGAATCCCTGTCAGCACCACTCATATTAGTCAGAAGATCAACTAGGTGTCACTACTTATTGCACTGGTAGAAATGTTAATTAGAATCTATACACACTCTGCAACAGATACAGATAGGCTTAAGTATGTGTTCCTGAATGTGGAGTGAGTGTTCCTGTTCTGCACGGATACAGGTGTGTGTGGGGAGAACTGAGTTCAATTCCAGCTCCTGTCTGAATAGTAGTGTAGATGTCTCTTTCTACTCAACAGCACCACCCTTCCCCCTAACTAAGGAATGGAGCTGGCCTTCTCCAAAGGGAATCTTGCCTAATCCTCTATCTTGCTGCTCTATTCACCTGCAAACCAGAACTTAGAGTGGAATTTTAAGGGATCCTCAGAGCTGTGCCAACTCCCATCCTGCCAGGCAATATAATTCAAGCAAACAGCATGAAACTTAAACAAAAAAATTCTAATGCACAATCATGCGGTTTTAACATTTAGATTTCAATGTATTGTTCCATTTAACTTTTTTTAGGAATAACTGTCCATTTTTTTTCTGGCAGTTATACAGAAATATACACCATCGGGCAAAAGAGAAAGAGAGCATTGTGTACATATATACAAAGACATCATATTCATCAGCTAACTGAAGAAATAATGGCATGGATAGGAGAATTCACCATGCAAGGTCAAAGGCAATCTCTGTCTATTGGTTTCTTCCAATGGCGGAGTGAAAACAGCTACCTTCTCTCCACCAATAGAGGAGAATGCATGTTTTTATAAGTAAGCCTGGGGCATGTCATCCACTATTAAGATAAACCAGTCTGTGACGGGGTGAACCTACCCTGCACTGGTTCAGAAAGGGTTAACCTCACACTGTGGGCTGAGGAAGCCACACCTCCATGCACCTGCTGGGTATGCTGCAGATGAACCAGAGTATAAAAGGGAGTAGCTCAATCTGGGCTGGCCATTGAGGAAAGCAGATGTGTGTTGCAGACTCCTAAAGGGAGACTGCTGGAGCTCCAGGACCCAGAAGCCAGTCGGACTGAGGCTCCAATGGACCCCCAGCTGGCCATTGCCGCTACTGGAGAACAGACGGGGAGGCCATGAGACTACCAGCCTTGGAAGGAAGGGTAGGAAGTGACCCCGGGATTGGGACTGAGGTCTGGGTGACCAAGACTGATCGTGGAAGTACTGGTTCCCTAGGGTCCTGGGTTGGGACCAGTGGAGCTGGATGGGCCTCGGTCCTCCTACTCCAGCTGCCCCGCTGGTGTGAACTGCACTAGTGACTGTAGCCATTGGGCCATACTGCCCTGAGCTACAGGCCTGCTAGATAGACTTGGGCCATTAGGCCAAACTGCCCTGAACAATAGGACAGCCTTATGGACTCTGGCCACTGGGCCGCACTGTCCTGCACTGAAGGGCGGCTGCATTGACTCTGGCCACTGGGCGGTGCTGCCCTGGGGCAGGGGCAGCTGTGGCAACACAGGAGGCCAGGCCACTTGGGATTTTGAAGTGGTTGCTGGAGAGTCGTCAGCAGCAGGCGGCACAACAAGAAGCAACACCAGACCAGCTGCTACAGCAGATCACAGCAGCAGCTCCTAATGGTGCAACAGTAGGAGCAGCAGTGCCAGATGGTGTAGGAACTGGCCACCCAACACCAAGTGCACCAATGGGACCAGAGGCGAGGAATGTTTTGGCGGGACTGCCAGTTCGTGTGACTAAGACGGGGCCCAGTGACGACCCTGAGGCGGTCTTTGTGACATTCAAACGGGTAGTCAGGCCCAGTGGCCACCAGTACAGTGGGCTACCCCCTTGGCACTGTACTTAACTGGCCCAGCCCAGACCGCCTACCGGAACTTACACCCCCATGAGGCACTGGGATACAACAAAGTGAAGGCAGCCATCCTGGATCAGGCTGATGTCAGTCCTGAGATGTACCGCCAACGACTCTGTGCAAATAGTACCTGCCCAAGGCCAGGCCGCAGCCCAGCAACTCCTGGGACTACTGCTGGTGATGGCTGGAATCAGAGAAATGGATCAGAGTCCAAGTGGTGGAGACGGTGGCACTGGAGCAGTTTACCCAGATCCTACCCGCCAGGGAAAGGAATGGGTGCAACGGCACTGCCCGGCAATCCTTGCTGAAGTTGTCTTCTTATTGGAAGACTACATGACCGTTGAGGGTCAGAGCAGCAAAGCCCGTAGACCAAGGAGCCCAGGAAACCGAGATCATCCAGCCAAGCGGGGACCACACAAGGCCGATATAGGAGCCCCCTCCACCAACCCAGGCCACCACAACCACTCCTGACACAAGGTGACTGACCGACCTTGCTGGGTCAGAAGGTACGAAACAACCACCGACCGCTCCTTAAGAGGATAGAGGAAGCCATCCAAAAAGAACTGGAAACCAAGCTGTCCCTAAGGCTGGTAGAGGAATCTCAGAGAGAGTGGCGGAATCCGATAGTACTGGTCTCAAAGCCTGTTGGGGCCATCAGATTTTGTATTGATTTCAGGAAAGTTAACGCTATCTCCTGGTTCTACACCTACCCAATGCTTCGGGTAGATGAGCTCCTCGAGTGGCTGGGTAGTGCTTAGTTCACCTCAACATCACATATAACTAAGGGGGATTGGCAGATACCCCTGACACTGGCCTCCTGTGAGAAGACTGCCTTCCCTACCCCGTTTGGCTTATATCAATTTGTCATGATGCCGTTTGGGCTGCATGGAGCCGCAGCCACCTTTCAGTGACCCATGAACCAAATATTATAGCTGCACAACCAAGATCTGGAAGCAAGTTGGGCTCAGGCTCCAACGGACCCCCAGCTGACCACCGCTGCCGATAGAGGAGAGACAATGGAGGCCATAAGACTACCAGACTTGGAAGGAAGGGTAGGAAGCAACCCAGGGATCAGGACTAAGGTACTGGGTGACCAAGACTGATTGTGGAAGCACTGTTTCCTAGTCCTGGGTTGGGACCTGGTGGAGCAAGGTGGGCGTGGGTCTTCCTATCCTGGCTGCCCCACCAGTGGGGCAGCTGATGCCCAGAGGGGTGAACTACGCAGCAGAAGGCCTGCCCTACTGATCTTAGCCATTGGGCCATATTGCTCTGAGCTACAGGGCTGCTAGAAAGACTTGGGCCATGAGGTCGAGCAGCCCTGAACAAAAGGATAGCCTTGTGGACTCTGGCCATTGGGCCACGCTATACTAGGGGCCAGGGCAGCTGTGGCAACATAGGAGGCCAAGCCACTTGGACTGCTAAAATCTCTGCTTTGATCCCTCCCACAACCCATTGCCCCATAATGGGGAGTGTACCTACTCCACGACACAGTCCAATCCATCAGAGAAAGGAAAACATTCTTCCTGTCCTTTTAAAAAATAATTCAAGGCCCTTTCTCTGAGTAATTCAGATAAAAGCTATTAGTGTTGGAGAGACAGCTCTGCCACCAGCAGGGGAAAATGTAATGAGGATGAAGATTATCATGGTGAGGATGGCAGGTATGATTTTAACATACAACTAGCATCCTGCATTAAAAACAATTAAGTGCTTTGTGAGATTTCCTGATGTGCAAGAAGATGACTTCCAGCTCTGTTCTAGATGGAGAGAGACTGACCTGTCCAAAGCACACAGCAGAGCTACCACTGTTGGAACCAATCTTGCTGTTGTGGCTTCCACTGTTTGTCCCCTGACTTTCAGACATTCCTAAAGACAAAGGAAAGAAAACAAATAATAAACACTGAATCATCATCATTGGCAAAACAAACCCCCCAAAACATCTGAATAGAAAGCAACAGATACAATAGTATCACTGTAGACTTTTAGGATTGTAGGCTAGAAGAGACTTAGTATGTAGTCCATCCCACTGTAAGCATGCAGCAGAAAATCCCCTCATAAAGGATGCATTGAATATTATACCAATATTATACTTTTAATTCTAATGAGCAACCGCAGTTCCAATGGAAATTCATTTTGATTAATAATTCACTTTTTGCTTCCCAAGAGCAAATCTATCAGATCCCTGCAACATAACCACTTTTCTTAAACATAATCTCCAGTGTTATAACTTTGTTAACTTCTGGTAGAGATGGGCCTTTGCTACTTTTTTCCTCATCCATAGCCTCAACCTGTTTTATCTTCCACATTCATTGTTCTCCTCAGGGCTTTTTCTATGTGGAAGTTAGGGTGTGAATTTAAAACACAATATTTATTCTGAATTAACTCTCCATGTGGACATTGCAATTCCCCACTAACAACCCCTTTGACTGGTTTATCTTAGGGCCTGTCTATACTACAAAATTAAGTCGACTTTATCTAATTCGACCGTGAGCCTCCGAATTAATTAAGTTGATTATGCGTGGCCAAACCATGGTCATTATCTCAATGGAGTGTGTCCTCACTAGCAGTGCATCGTGAGTAGCTATCCCAAAGTGCAACTTGCCGCAGTGTATTTTGGGAAGTTTGTGCAATGCCTCATGGGACCAAAACATTATCGCAGGAGAGAATGGGAACATTGCGTCAACATCCCATGATGCACTGTGCTCCCTCCCTCAGATCAACGGCAAACAACCCAGTGGTTTTTGTGCCTTAAAACCTCCACGTGTACGCCATAACCCCAGAAGCATGGAGCCTGCTCAGTTGTGCACTCTTGCTGTGAGCATCTCAAACACCTTACACCTTCTCCTGCAGTATTTCCAGAGCTGAAGTAGGGTCCGCCGCGCGGAACAAAGCGATGTCCTGCAAGCAGCTCTGCTGCAAGCCATTGAAAAAAAATAATTCACAGTTGCTGCTGGCAGTCACTGAGTAAGCAGCTGCACTCTGTTGAGAGCCATTTCTGATCCCATGAAACAAGCACTGACTGGTGGAACTGCATCATTTTGCAGGTATGGGATGACGAGTAGAGGCTGCAGAACTTTCGAATGTGGAAGGCCACCTTCCAGGAACTTTGTTCAGAGCTTTCCCCTGCCCTGCAGATCAGCAACACAAAAACGAGAGCTGCTCTGACAGTGGAGAAGCGAGTGGCAATCGCTGTTTGGATGCGTGCAACGCCAGACAGTTACTGGTCAGTGAGGAATCAATTTGGAGTAGGTATATCAACCATGGGAGCTACTGTGCTCCAAGTGTGCAGGGTCATTAATCAACTTCTGCTACGAAGGGTAGTGAGTCTGGGAAATGTGTAGGACATAGTGAATGGTTTTGCTGCGATGGGGTTCCCTAATTGCGATGGGGCGAGAGATAGCACGCATATCCCCATCTTGGTACCAGACCACCTTGCCAAAGAGTACATAAACGGAAAGGGATACTTTTCAAAGATGTTGCAAGCGCTGGTGGATCACAGGGGGTGTTTCACTGACATCAACGTAGGATGGTTGGGAAAGGTTCATGATGAGCGCATCTTTAGGAACTTGGGTCTGTTAAAAAAGCTGCAATCCGGGACTTTCTTTCCAGACCACAAAATGAACACTGAAGACATTGAGATGCCATAGTTATCCTGGGGGACCCAGCCTACCCCTTGTTCCCATGGCTCATGAAGCCATAGACCGGCCATATGGACAGTAGTAAGGAACGGTTCAACTACAGGCTCAGCAAATGCAGAGTGGTGGTTGAATGTGCCTTTGGTTGTTTAAAAGGGCGCTGGAGAAGTTTACTAACAAGGTTGGACCTTAGTGAAGCTAACATCCCCATGGTTATAGCTGCCTGCTGTGTGCGCCGTAATATCTGGGGGGGGGGGGGCGAAGGGGGAAAATTTTCTGCAGGGATGGGCACTTGAGACAGCTCACATGTGTGATAAATGAATGGGGGGAGGTAGCTCCCTTTGATGGACCCCCAGCCAGCCAGTTAGCTGTAAAATCCCTCTTGGTAGCTGTTCTCTACTTGCTTTACCTGTAAAGGGTTAAAAAGTCCCCAAGGTAAAGAAAAAAACCAAAAGAGCCAATGGGAAGGCTAGAATTTTTTGTCTGTTGTTCTCTGGGCTGCAGGGACATGGAGCAGCAATGCTATAAGCAGAAATGCTGTGTAAAGTTTGAATCAGGTATGAAAAAGTATCTTCTATACCTAGAAGAAATCATTTGGATAGGGAATGTTTAGTTAGATGCCATCAGGTTTATTTCTTATTTTGGCTTGTGGATCTCCTCTGTGCTAATCCCTGATGCTTTTGTTTGCTTGTAACCTTTAAGCTGAACCTCCAAGAAAGCTAGTTTCAGTGCTTAATTTTTGGATTTGCTCTTTTAAAATCTAGAAAAAGCCTAAGTTCCAAATGTATTTTCTTTCTTTTTGTTTGTTTTAATAAAATTTACCTTTTTTTAAGAAGGATTTGGATTTTTGTGTCCTAAGAGGTTTGTGCATATGCTGTTTGATTAGCTGGTGGCCACAGCTAATTTCCTTTGTTTTCTTTCTCAGTTCTTCCCCGGAGAGGGGTGAAAGGGTTGAGGATATGCCACAGGGAGGAATTCCCAAGTGCTCCTTCCTAGGTTCAATGGGGATTTTTTTACACTTGGGTGGTGGCAGCGTTTACCAAGCCAAGGTCCGAGAGAAGCTGTAACCTTGGGAGTTTAATATGAGCCTGGAGTGGCAAGTTGTCATAAATATGAAGAAAAGGGTAGCATAAAATCCCTCCTTGGCAGCTTTACTGAATCGCTTTACCTGTAAGGGGTTAAGCAGCTCAAATCACCTAGTTGGCACCTGACCAGAAGGACCAATGAGGAGGAACAGGCATGCCAAAGGGTTACCCTGCAAAGCCAGAGTCCAACAAGCCGTTTTTTTTTCTTTTCTAGCTTCATGGCAACGAAATAGTTAGGCTAAGTAGGGCAGCCTATGCATGAGGTTGAGGTCAGGCACTGAAACCCTAGAGAAACCAGTCTTCCCAAAGCGGCACACCACAGAAAAGACAGACCCAGATCAAGCCTAGACATCCAGCTCCATGACAGAAATGCAGGGAAAAGGTGGGGGACTGGGAACTTCCCAGGAGGGAAGGGTCAGCCCTCCCACAACCGAGATCCAGGTGCCAGGATGGAGGGATGCCCTTAACCCAGACCGAGTTCTGACTGCAGAAGACTGGGATTTCTTCCTACAGATGAAGTGCTTGGAGTTGGAAGTGGAGAGGAGACAGGTGAAGCACTTGGAGGCGGAAATGCAGGCGAAGCGCTTGGAGGCAGAAGCAGAGAAGAGGAGAGAGGCGAAGTACTTGGAAGTGGAGCCTGAAGCGCTTAGAGCTAGAAAAGGCTAAGCTGGATCAATCAGGTAGCCCTAACAATCCTTCTCCAGGTACCGCTCTCCATTCCAAGAAATTTCCCATATACAAGGTAGGCAATGATACAGAGGCTTTCTTAGAAAATTTCAAAAGGGCCTGCCTTGGATATAATACCCCTATAGACCAGTATATGGTGGAGCTGAGGCCGCAGCTCAATGGACTCTTAGCAGAGGTGGCAGCTGAAATGCCTAAAGAACCCATGAACGAGTACAAACTTTTTAAACAAAAGGCCAGAATTAGAATGGGGCTAACACCCGAGCATGCCCATCGGCGGTTCAGAGCCCTAAGGTGGACACCAGACGTGGACATGTTACAGATGGGTGTAATCCGCCCCTCTGAGAGTGCATGGGCCTCTCCAGTGGTTCTGGTTCCCACTTCTTTGGTGGAGTTTAGCTCTTCAAGACTTTGATTTTGAGATATAACACATTTCAGGAGCCTCTAACAAAGTGGCTGATGCACTCTCCTGGGAAGGTTTCCCAGAATCAGCCGGGTAAAAATGTCCCTGCATTCTAAGTCATTGTAGTCCTTGAAATGTAAAAAGTACTGATTAGTTCTTCATGTAATTATTAGTAAAATTAGAGGTGCATGTATCTTATTAACTGTTTCCTAAATCTCCAGGAAGAAATCCCAGCCGGTGTGGACCCAACCTGAACCAGGCTGGCCAGCCCGGTCTGTGATTTGGGGGGCATGTGATAAATAAAGGGGGGGATAGCTCCCTTTGATGGACACCCAGCCAGCCAGTTAGCTGTAAAATCCCTCTTGGTAGCTGTTCTTTACTTGCTTTACCTGTAAAGGATTAAAAAGTCCCTCAGGTAAAGAAAAAAAAGTGGGAACCTGACCAAAAGAGCCAATGGGAAGGCTAGATTTTTTTAAAATGGGGAAACAAAGGGAAAGTTTGTTTGTCTGTTGCTCTCTCTGGATTGGAGGAACACAGAGCAGCAATGCTATAAGCAGGAATGCTGTTGAAGGTTTGAACCAGGTATGAAAAATTATTTTCCATACCTAGCAGGATTCATTGGGATAGGGAAGGTTTAGGTAGACACAATCAGGTTATTTCTTTATTTTGGCTTGTGGATCTCCTCTGTGCTAACCCCAGATGCTTTTGTTAGCACTGACCCCCCACTTGGTAAGGCAACTCTCCCATTTTTTCATGTGCTGTATTTTTATACCTGCCTACTGTATTTTCCACTCCATGGATCTGATGAAGTGAGTTATAGCCCATGAAAGCTTATGCCCAAATAAATTTGTTATTCTCTAAGGTGCCAAAAGGATTCCTCGTTTTTATTATTTACAGGTAATTCTCTTCAAATTTGCCCTGTAATGGTCCCAGGCAGTTCCCCCCCACCCCCATCATCAAGGAAAGAGATGCACAAAAATATAGGTTTTGCACTGTGCTCCAAAAATGATCATGGCCCTACAGTCTTTTATCCTGACCTGAGCTGGCAGGAAATTCC